ATACCAATTTGCATATTCTGTATCAATTTTACAGTGGTTGGCCAGTTTCCAAGGTCACTTATTAAGAAATGGTCAATTAACTTGCAAGTGACCCTTCCGGACACTTACAGTCACCAAAAACTATACCAATCAACTCTACTCATCGTCAACTACATTTTGATATATAATTTATTGACTGGTATGATACTTTCATATATGGTCATCTCAGCCCTCTAACCTCCCATAGTAACTAAGGTATATACAGATCTCAATTTCCAGTGAGTGAATTTTAATTCTTTCAACTGTACCATGTTCCTGACATCAATTAGTGTATTCTATATCAATTACATATGAATTGGTGATGTTTCCATTGACTTGAGTATACCTTGATTTGGTACCTTACCAAATATGGAAATGATGATATCTCTACTTCTACTGAATAGATTTGAATTGTTTCAACTCCAATACATTGCAAATATCATATAATATATTATGTATCATTTTCACTGTGGTCGGCAAGGTTTCAAGGGTAGGTCATTAAGGATGGCCAATTGACTAACAAGTGACACTTCTAGACATTAACAGTCACAAATATCAATATCAATCACCTCCACTCACTGTCAGCAACATTTTGATATATAATTTATTGACTGGTATGATACTTTCATATATGGTAATTTCAGCCCTCAATCCATCCCATAGTACCTTAGGTATATACAGATCTCAACAAGTACTCATCGAAATTAAATTCTGTCAACGCCAATCGATTTCTAACATCTAATTATGTATCGTGTATCAATTTCATATGAATTGGTGATGTTTCCATTGACTTTATTATACCTTGATTTGGTACCTTACCAAATATGGAAATGATGATATCTCCATTTCTACTGAGTAGATTTGAAATATTACAACTTCAATATGTTTAAAATATCGTCAGCAACATTTTGATATATAATTTATTGAGTGAAGTGATACTTTCATATATGGTAATTTCAGCCCTCAATCCATCCCATAGTACCTTAGGTTTATACATATCTCAACAACTACTGAATAGATTTGAATTCTTTCAACACCAATCGACTTCTAACCTCAAATTATGTATCGTGTATCAATTTCATATGAATTGGTGATGTTTCCATTGACTTCAGTATTCCATTACATTCCCACAGCAGGATTTGAAGGATTCACCCTAATTGATTATATCCCTATGTACATGATTAATTTCAATTATTTCAATTAGATATTATAAATCATGATGGTTAGACATGCAGGAATGAGTGGAATCAAGTCAAGTAAGACATTCATCCTTCAATTACCAATATTGTCAATTTCACACAAGTTGACTTCCAAAAGTCTGCATATGGATCCAAACATGGTTTTTTCAATTATATATGATTATCATTGATATTAACTACAATTTCTAGGAGTTTAATAAATTAGTATAGTGTTTCCATAGTATGGCTCAATATCTTGGTCAATTAAGGTAGAATGAGTACATTATACTAAGGATATAATATATTATACTCCCAACACTTCTACAAGGTAGATATCATCATTATACATCATATATATGAGATTGGTGATGATTCTAATAACATTCATATAATAGTACAATAAATGTTGAAAAGTTAATTTTAAGACATGTTGTAACTTATTAAATACACCGATTCAACATGATTAATTCATAATATCATATATTCATACATATATCTACAATATATTAAAATTTACATTTCAACCCAACTTTGAAATTTTAGACCTACTAGGGTAAAAACCTTAATATTTCAGGCAGTGCCTTATTATTTTTGAACGCAATGATATTTTTCAAATTTATTTGCGAATATAGTCAACTCATATTTATATCTACTACATATATTTAATCCAGACCGGCGATCTCCATATTCATAGAGTAATACCGGGAAAACCTAACTTTTATTTTATCAGAGTTGATTATCTCTATAACTACTTTGAGATATGACTGCTTCGTTACAATATAAGCTTTTTATTTATATTTGAATGACATATATGAAATTCAGATACTCAATATTGGCCGTTCGTTAGTCGTCGATGGGTTTTCGTCTAACCCAAACCCAAACCCAAACCCAATCTTGAATATAGAAAACCACATCCTCAATCAACAAAATACATATCAATCGATTGGAAATCATTAGTACATCTCGAAAATATCATTTATTTTATGTTTTGAAATCTCTCCTTTACCTCTTTTGGTCAATTAAGACAATTAAGGATGAGACTATAGGAAAAGTTACCAATCTCAAAATAAATGATAATATCGTGTTCCGCATCTCAAATAAAGTGGACTTTCTTCAAATTATATATTTTCATTTCAATAAATGCATCCGTTAGATAGTACATGGTGATATTTCAATGGAATGGATGGAAATCTGAAGGATATAGAAACAACTCCATTTTCACTGAAATTGATTTCATGACATGTAGACACTCTAATTAGTATATGGTATCAATTTTATGAATATTGGTTCAGTAGATGTCGACTTGTCAACTCTATCAATTTACTATAGACATTTGACATGATGTCATAGATTACACTCCAACTCACTCACTTTACATACAGTCAATCTAGAATTGATACCACATAGAGTATACATAAGTTAAATACACTGTATATAGTTTGGAAACAATTCGTATTACTTACAATTAGTCAGTCAGTTAATGTTCAATGTCAAAAGTGATTATATCCAAGTGTACACTCTATCTCAATGAATGTACATCCTATCATCATGTAACTTTACCAGATACGTTTAATCATACTATTATACATATGGTATCAATTTAAGTCTATTAGAGTTGAATTCAGTATGATAATAATAACAATCTGCCAAATTGTCAGATTTCAACATATAGAATATACTCCATCTCATTCATTTTACAAAATATCATACAAGTATCAAATATGAATACACTCTTCTTGGTGAGGAGAACAATCTGTGAGAGTTTCATATTGATGGCTCAATATCTTCAACTCAAGAACATCTAAGGTAATAAATAGGGAAGAATCTTAATTCCAAAATTAAATTTTACTATCATATCAAAATCATTGAATAATGAATTATTTATACAAGAATAATATATTCAATTGTTATACTCATGTCAGTAATCAGTGAAGGTGATACTTCTTCAACAGTAGTTTTCACATCTCAATATGTAGACAGTCAATTCCACTGAAACTTGAAATATTACCTATCTAGATGATATCATGATGACTCTCCATTGTAACATGCATGTGAAATTGAATGTTGACAGTTTACATCTTGTTATATTTATAGAGATGGTATCCAACAGAGTCAGTTCATAATATTAAATATTGAAACTCATTCTGTATGACATGTTTGATGTATAGAACGGTTTTTTATTGAATATAATCAGTTTGAAATAATTTGATGAAATTGACACTGTCTAGTCACCATTACATAACAAATAGACCATAGTTTACATTCCATCTCAGTCATTTCAACGAGTTATTGATTAATTCCACCACCATTATGTTTCTCATACATTGTAGTTCAGTTTGTATTTCAAGAGTGATTTCTGTGTAGATTATTATAATCGTAATACCTTGCAATACCAATAAAACTCAATAGAAGAGTTAATTCTTCTGATTTTCAAATAGATTATTCAATATAGAACACATCTAGATAGTTTCCATATCATAAAAGTCAAGATACTATATATGGTCTTTGATTAAATTTAAAAATAGACTGCCGTTAATTACTGGAATATTAATTCAAAGCTTGTTGATCAAGCTATTGATTGAAATCAAACCGATTATTGAATATTGATCATTGAATTGGTGAATAATCACTCTTGATAATGTTACTTATTCATATTGCATGCAAATCAACCTGATTCAATCTACAAAGGTTGGTAGTTGCACCACTTCGTGGCGAAACTACCATTCCACGATGAATCAACATAAGAATCACTTCCATTCAACTCAATTTGACCGTTATAATCAATAAATCAATGAAATGTTCCTTTATTAGCAATACCTATTCAATCTAACGAGTAGATTCACGTCCCAAACATTTGACTTCTCAACGTCCATAATTCAAAAGTTAGTACTGACCTGACCTTTAAATATCTATCAACACAAGAAATGAAACCATCAAATTTACATCATTAATAGATCATAAGAATTATAATCAATGATATGAATCTTCACTAAGTAATCTCTTAAATAACCCAAATAAATCAACTCTGAATCCTAACCAAACCCAACCATTAACTTTGTAAATAATGTCAGATTAAAAATTATAAAATGAAACCATAGGAAGAATGATAATTTCAAAATCCTTTAATGAGATTATATAGTATATATCTTCACTAACAACATTCATAATCACTCTCATATGAAATTTCTAAACTTCATGTCGGTAGGTATAAAAGTATCAAGTGAAAAGGGAAGATGTGAGGTAAAAGAGGTCAACTATAACTTTTGAGTTTCTCATCAAAACATATTGAATCCTAATATGAAAATGTTCCATTTGATTATTAAACATCGAATATCAAATTTATTTTAACTTTCATATTTAAAGATTTCTTCCCTCAACCACACATGGTCAACTATGATGAAAAGGTGGAAATCTTGATAAAGGACCACCTATTGAAACTTTACCAAAATGATTTATATGATCTATAGTGATATAGAATTCAATTTCATATCATAAGAATTAGAAATGGTACCATGGGAATGTAAATGTTGATTTTACAAAGTTGACTGAAAGGAAAGACAAGTCAGATCAAGTCTATCAAATATATCACTTCAATCAACAAATTACACATGTACATGCTCCATTAGATGTGTAGAGATAGAATATCAAGTTTATTTTAACTTTCATAATCAAGATTTCATCCCTTTCATACCATCTAGTCAACTATGGACATGGATGAAAATCTGGAAAATGACCTCTCTATGAAACACTTCCATCATGTTTAACAACTCAAATAATGTAATAGAATTCAATTTTAGAGTTTTAAAATGTAATTTGACAATATAGTAAGGTAAAGGTTGATATTTTAAGGTTGACTTTAAGGATTGAAAGGTGAAAATCAAGATATCAAAAACATCACTCCAGTCAATAAAACACATATCAAAATGTTGCAAACGATGAGTAGTCATCGAAAATATCATTCATTCTAATTGGAAATATCTCTAATATCTAAATGGTGGTAAACTCTCCCTCAAATGAACAAATGAATCAGCCAAGTTACCAATCTCAAATTAAATCATATAATCATGTTCCATATCTCGTATAATGTATATAATTCAGTTTTTAGACATTTTGGTAAATATTCCATAATTCAGTAAGGTAAAGAGTGATTTATCAAGGTTGACTTGGGAGGATCAGGAGGAAATCTTGAATATAGAGAACCAAATCCTCAATCAACAAAATACATATCAATCGATTGGAAATCAATAGTACATCTCGAAAATATCATTTATTTTATGTTTTGAATTATCTCCTTGACCTAATTTGGTCAATTAAGACAATTAAGGATGATACTATAGGGAAAGTTACCAATCTCAAAATAAATGATACTATCATGTTTAACATCTCAAATAAAGTGGACTTTATTCAAATTATATATTTTCATTTCAAGAAATACATCCGGTAGATAGTACATGGTGATATTTCAAGTGAATGGATGGAAATCTGAAAGATACAGAAACAACTCCATTTTCACTGAAATTGATATCATGGTATGTAGACACTCTAATTAGCATATTGTATCAATTTTATGAATATTGGTTCAGTAAATGTCGTGTTGTCAACTCTATCACTTTATTATGGACTTTTGACATGATATCATAGATTATACTCCAAATCACTCAATTTACATGCAATAAATCTAAAATTGATATCACACAATCTAGACATCATTTAAGTATATATAAACAAGTTTAGAAACAATTCATGATACTTTCATTCAACCAATCGGTTCATGTTCAATGTCAACAGTATTTATATCCTAGTGAACTCTCTATCTCAATGAAAGCAGGTTCAATCATTATATAACTTTACCATATATATTAAATCACTTTATTAATTATATGGTATCATTTACAGTCTGTTAGAATTATATTCAGTATGATAATAATATCATTCTTCCAAAAAGTCAGCTTTCATCACAAAGATCACACTCCATCCCATTCATTTTGCAAAATATCATATTAGTGTAAAATATGAATACACTCCTCTTTATGTGGATAACAATCTGGAACAGTTTCATATTCATAGATCAATATCTTAAAGTTGCAACCAATCCATATAATAATTGAACACAATATTTTAACGTAGATAAAATCGATTTACTTTGAAAAGTAATTTTAAAAATTATACGCCAAAATAGAGCAGCTTTCTTACTGGTCTTTCTTGTAGTGTTGAATTTATTTGTCCGAAAACCCAAGAATCTAAACCTAAAAACCTAAGCTAATTGAATATTCAATCTCATACCGGAAAAGATTCTTATTTGCGGAAAAAGATTCGAATCTTAGCGAATCTTCAATCAATTTCGAATGGAAACTGAATCTAATATCGAAATCTTTACCACTTTCCAAATAACAACGCAAACAACAAATACACCAAATCTCGATATCTAGATAGAAAGTATATACTTTTTTTAAAACTTTACTGAAAAACCTTTCCAAAAGCCCAAGATTCACTTAAAGACTCTATATTAGATCATAAAGACCATGGTGCCACCGAAGTAACAAATCAAAACAACTCTAATCCAAAACCTTATTTCCAAAATTAAATTTTACCATCATATCTAAATCATTGAATAATGAATTATTTATACAGGAATCATATGTTTAGTTGTTATATTCATGTCAGTAATCAGTGAAGGTGACACTTCTCAAACCTAAGTATAGTAACATGCATGTGAAAACATATATTGACACTTTTCATCTTGTTATATTTATAGAGATGGTATCTTACAGAGTCATCTCACAATATTAAATATTGAAGCTAGTTCTATATGATATATATGATGTATAGAACTGTATTTGACGATGTCAATCCAGTATGAAATACTTTAGTGGAACTGACACTGTCTAGTCACAATTACATGACAAAGTAAACAATAGTATACATTCCATCTCAGTCATTTCAACGATTTATTGATTAATTCCACCACCATTATGTTTCTCATACATTGTAGCACAGTTTATATTTCAAGAGTGATTTCTGTGTAGATTATTATAATCGAAATATCATTCAATACCAATAAAACTCAATAGAAGAGTTAATTCTTCTCATTTTCAAATAGATTATTCAATATAGAACACATCTAGATAGTTTCCAGATCACAAAAGTCAAGATGCTATATATGGTCTTTGATTAAATTTAAAAATAGACTGCCGTTGATTACTGGAATATTAATCCATAGCTTGATGATAAAGCTATTGATTGAAATCAAACCGATTATTGAATATTGATCATTGAATTGGTGAATAATCACTCTTGATAATGTTACTTATTCATATTGCATGCAAATCAACATGATTCAATCTACAAAGGTTGGTAGTTGCACCACTTCGTGGCGAAACTACCCATCCACAATCAACATAAGAATCACTTCCATTCAACTCAATTTGACCGTTATAATCAATAAATCAATGAAATTTTCCTTTAATAGCAATACCAATACAATCCAATAAGTAGATTCACGTCCCAAACATTTGACTTCTCAAAGTCCATATTTCAAAAGTTGATACTGACCTGACCTTTAAATATCTATCAATACAAGAAATGAAACCATCAAATTTACATCATTAATAGATGATAAGAATATATTCAGTAACAAAAAAAGAAGGAGATGTTGAAACCCCAAAAAGAGTGCAAATAAATCAACCTCACCAAAGAAGAGAAAGACTAGTTCAGATTCAAATCCATCCAAGAGAAAGAAGTCTAATCATCAAGAATCTGATGGATAAATTGAGGAAGATGGCAATGGAGAGCAGCATTATGAGGAAGAAGATTCACAAAATTAATTCTAACAGTTAAAATTGTAACATAATAAAGGTTAAATCATATATTCGAATGAATTGAATATACCCAAGTCTACCTTAATTGAACTGGAAAAAAAATTTCAAGTCGGGCTGCCTCCTAGTTAGCACCTTACTTTTACACCTAACCATTTTGTCCAAAATTAAGGATACAAGTTGAGGCTTAAAGTTGGTGGCTCACTTTTGATGTCATCTTTTCAAAAGTGAGAGTAATACATGGAGGCTAAAATGTTTGGTGCTGACTTTAACACTCTCACTTTCAAAAACTCCAGAGCATTTTAGTTTATTCGGGTAGATTATTGTTCATTTATTACTGGTAGCCACGAAGGGGAGATTCACTTCATTAAAAGTTTGATTTCAAAGGAATTTAAATAAAATTGTCATCAAGGAGATATTAATGGCGCTTGAATCTCGTAATATTATGTAATATATCGTATTGAATAGTAAGCAATTAAAAAGGAGACTATAAGGCACATTTTGGTCTGATATACGAGCCGTAGTGATTATATTATTTTTAAGGCCGACATCCGCAATTAGATGTGTGTTTCTAAAGCAGGATGCTAACACTCGGGGGAACATGGGATAGTGGAAATACCAGTTACGATTAACTCCAAAATGTGAAATTAACGAATTGTGCAGTAAAATTAAGCAGGATTACACCTCACTCAACAGAAAAACAGGGATGAGAGATGCTTAATCCCAGTATTTATACATCAGTTAAAAAAATGTTAAAACTCGATAACACTTTGGTAAAATGGTTCTTGATAGTGATGGTAGTTTCCTTTGCTTTCATTTTACAGCACGCTAGTGTGAGTGCATCCACATCTTCTACTACTGGTAGCTCTCTGCGAGATTGGTTAACATCCTTACAAAGTGAAGCATCTTCTTTGCAAGTTAAAGTAAATCAATTGGAAAAGGTGATTGCCTTATTGACTGATTCCAATTCCACCATTTCCATTGTACAGGTTAGAGCAGCACAACTTGCCAAGATTAAGAAATCGCTCGACATGCTTAATCTTGAAATTCAAACAATCAATCAAGCATGTTCAACAAAGAGTGGGCCAAACTGCGATATATCATTATGCGATTCTAAATGCTTGAATTGTACATCAGCAGGGCAATGTATGATGTGTTCTGGAAATTGGACTGGACCTACTTGTTCAACTTGTAAGGTTGGATGGACAGGTCCAAATTGTAGCACTATTGATAATGTTGGTGATCTAGCAACTTCTTCGATTTTAAATTATACAATGGCAACAAGATTTGTGCAAGATTTGATATTAGGAGTTAAAAAGAATGACATTAAATTGTTATTCAGATCATCAAGAGATGGTTTCTCGTGTGTTGCCAGTGTCCTTGCCAATTTCCAAACACGAGTTTCCAATAAGGGACCAACATTTGTAATTTTCCAAGCAACATCTGGTGCCATCTTTGGTGCTTATACGAGTCAAAGTTTAACCACTGCTTGTACGCAGGTCACCGATACAGCTACATTCTTATTCAGCATTCAATCTAATACTGGAGAACAAAGGTTTACAAAATTGCTCCCTCAGGTCACCACTAATAGCGTTCTACCATGCTCAAACCAGTATTTAGCTTTTGGTAGAGGTTATGATCTTTTTTATGGTTGTTGGGTGGGTGTAGTTGTTGGAAGAACAGTTCCTAATACATTCCCCAACATGGGTCAATATTATTTAAGTGGTTCTGGTGTTGCATATTCAACAACTGGTAGCGCCTTTGATGTTACTGACTTTGAAGTGTATTCATTGTAATGGATTATTACTTCCTTCTTAATCTCCCATATCTTCCAAACAACCAAAGAAAGGCTTTAAATCATATAAAATAATGAATCCAAAATATCACATTGTATTGAATAAAAACATCATATATAGAATTATATAATATTATGATTTTGTGGTGTACAGAACATCATCTGATTTTGTGGTGTACAGTGATATTATTGTACGCATGAAATATGAATAATTGAGGAATAATCAAATAAATCCATAATTTCATCTTCTCCCCAAGATGATACCTCAGAATCATAAGGCAACTCCAATTGTTCAAGAGATGATTCAGCAAGAAGTGGAATGGATTTTGCATCTGAAAGTACATATCGAAGATATTTCAATTTGTGTTGCTCTTTTAAGGTTGTTAAAGCTTTGTATGACGCACCAAAAATTGTGACTTTACATAGAAGGTTTAGTTTGATTAATTCTGCAATACTTTCATCCGAACCACTCAAATCTTCAATTTCAATTTGTAAATTTGGTCGATTCATAGCTATTGATTTCCAATTAATGTTTTCTGCAGTAATGTAGCATAAACTTAAATAATTGAGATTAGGGAAACATTCAGAGGATGGTTGTGCTAGTAATTTGAGTATTTCTGAAGAAATTTCCCCTTGTAGAGTCAATCTTTCAATAAAGCTGTTACTCAAATCTCCCATTATTGTTTGGTGTCTGGTGTAAAATGATAGAGATTTGATACAAGGTGTGTGTAGTAATGTATCTATTGAACCACCTCTATAACCAGTGATTCCTATATGCTCAATTTGTAACTTGTTTGGATTATCAATAATTTCAAAATTTTCATGTTCATTTCCTCCTTCAATATCAAGCTTTTTGATCGTACTATTACTTTGAAGGAATACTTTCAACTCTTCTCCAATATGTTCATCAATTTGAACCCTAAGACTAGTGAGTTTTGGCAGGAGTGACGATTTTTCGTGTAATGCTTTGAAAAATCCATTCTTTACATTTTCAATATCTAACGTCCTTAGTGGAATTGGCTTTTTCATCTCTGAGAATAAATCAGCTCCTACAATTTCATTTGTTGAAACCTTAAGCTCTTTAATTTTTTCCAGAGAGAAAAGTTTCCTTATGCTAAACTCTGTTATCAAATTATTCGAAACATCTAATTTTTCAATATTAGGTAAAATAGAGATAATTTCCAACAATCCCTTATCATTAATTCCACAATAATGTGCCGTAATTGATGTAATTCCAGAGAATGTTCCAAAGAATTCGGTAAAATTTCCATTGTATATCATTGGTGTCCCTTCTTCATTTTCATCAGAGTGTTCAAATTCTACAGATTTCAAATTTAAACCACATTTCAAAAACCTTTCATAATTATCCTTTGTTGAAACATCCAAAAACTTGAGATTTTCAAGACCAGGACAAAAATCCCAGTACGGGAAATCAACAATAGTGCATTGTCCAATAAAATAAGTTGGCCAAATTAAAGACTTGATTCCGTTCAACCTCATAGTTGAAACCAATTGAGAGTGTTGATATGGACAATTCACAAAATCAAAATCTAAATGTTTAAACAAGAGTTGTACCTTTCTAAATGGATCATTTGAAAAGTATCCAAATATTAAATTTTGTAATTTAGAAAATCCTATTTTCTCTCTAATTTCCCAATTACGAAAGCTAGCATTAAAATCAACATCTTCATACTTTTCCATATCCGATCTGGAGATGTAGTAGTACCTATTGAGAGGAAATAATACAAAATCGAAAATATTTAAAATCAAGTGGTGTGGAATTGGATGAAAAATTGACATGTTTTGATCATGATCATCTTTACGCTTTTTTGCAGAGGGAAGTGCTTCCGATGATGCTGATGAGGTTGAATTGATATTGTCATCAAGCAAACGTTTTGACATTTTTTTTAATGGTGTTTTTGAATTTACAATTACTTTCTAATAACTTTACAACAACAATCAGAGTAAATAATGAATCAAATTATTAATATTAACTGTAAAGTTATTGTAAACAAACAGTTGCGATCGCATTTTAGAAAGATCCTTTTGTTGATTTGTGATTGGTCTAGTGTTTAATAGTTCTGCTTACTTTCAGGGTTTTCGAGCAGTTACGAGAACACACTAAAAAATGTCACAACTTAATCAACACCTGATTGACCAACTGTATAAAACTCCAGAAGAGATCGCCAAGCTTGATCAAACAGAACAAAAGATTGGTGATATTATTAATTGGTGCAGTCACAATTATCAAAACAGTGACAAGGAGCAAACCTATGAAAAAACCAAGGAGTATCTGGCTGCAGTTCTAACTGTATGTTTTTAAATATTTGATCAATATTATTGATCAATTTATTTTGATGAAATATTTGATGAAATATTTTGTTAGAATGTTGTGTTTTTTATTGACTCATCAAGCCGTGAATTGGAAACATTGATCGAGTTTGAAACACAGGAAGTCAATCGTATTGGAGCCGAATTAACAATAATTTACGATCGTTTAAAATCTGCACGTTCAATGACTGGTCGTGAAGAATTATCCAAAATGCATGCTGTTAAGCCAACATCACGCACAGGTATGAAGAAGAGAGTAATTGAATTATCAAATTCAAACTTTAAGAATAATATTGTTTCAATTGAAGATCTGGAAAATATCTCAACCCTTTCCTATCATACACCCAAGTCAACCAGCCAGACTGATTTCACAACTGTTGGTAGAGGTGGTTCATCGGCTGGAATGATGGATTCTCCAGTTAGTTTGGATATTGATGATGACAATAGTGGTTATTTGGAGAGGCAATCATCATTCTCATCCACTTCTTCAACTCAACAAGGTTTTAGCAGACCTCCTCCACCTCCACTCAAGAGTAGCAATCAACCTCCACCTCCACCTAGCAGGAGTGGTCCTCCACCTCCACCAAATCCAAGAAGATTTAATTAAATTGATTTAATCAAATAAATTCATGATCTGTGTCGATCCGAGAAATTAAAATATGTTGTCGTTCTTCCGAGAATTAAATCAACAACTAAAAACATTTCTTTTAATATCCAGTGTGAAACATAAATCTACTGATGATGGTTATTGTGTTGATGTATTGATAATTATTTGCATGTTGAAAATATAATTGTATTCCATTAAAATTCATTCTTACTATTAAAATCTCCAACACCTAACATTTTATCAACTAGCCTATTCCAACCCATCCAATATTTTCCAAAATGAATTGTAAAACCCTAAACTGATTGTTTAAATATTTTTTCCTTCAAGTTCGATCCAGCACTGGAAGCCATCACAAAATTTGGTTTCATTGTGTTTGATGAAAATATCGCGCTTCCAGCTGGTAAGTTCTAAACAGTTCAAAAAAAAATGAGCGCCAACACTTCTTCCACAAAACCTCCTTGCAAATGTGCTGCTCGTCCTGCTTCGGTGCTGAGAACAGTCGTAAAGGAAGGTCCAAACAAGGGCAGACAATTCTACACGTGCGCTAAATCTAGTTGTAAATTCTTTGAATGGGTGAATACTAATGCTACTAATACTTTACTATTGCCTTCATCAAGTCCATCAAGTCAACCATCAGTTTCTATTGAAACCATCAAGAATAATATTTTCGCTGATGCTCTAAAGAAAAGTGTTAATAACAGCTCTAACAAATCATCAAGTGGCAGCACCTCTTCCGAAACTGATAGTAATTTAAATATTCCTTGCTGTACGAATCATCAAACAACCAAGTGTAAACTGTTACAAGTTTCCAAAGAGGGACCAAACAAAGGAAAATTATTCTGGGCTTGTGGAAATACTAATCAGAGTGAAAAATGCAACTTTTTCAAGTGGTTTGATGGAATAGTGGATCAGTACAAACATTTGGTACCAAATTACAATAGTGGAGCTCAACCATCACCAAAGAAAGAGACTCCTAAATTTATAGCACCTATGATTAAGGAAGAAACAGTTCCAATATTCATGTCAACAAGCAATTCTCAAAATAACTGGGTTGCAAACCTCCCAGTCGAAACTTTTTCTGAGATTTTGAAATATTTACAAATTGCTCCAGATTGTGTAAAAATTCAAAGAGTTTGTGTTGAATGGAAGAGAATGAGTGATATTTATATTGGAAACGCAGTGAAAGATCATCAAGTTGATCTGAGTTTGGGATTTTTGAAGAATGATACACCATTTTCACAATGTTGTGAAATTTTCAAGAAATTCTATAGAGTGAAACAAGTTACATTTTGTAACTTTACAATTTATAGTGAATTGATGAGATTATTGGAGTGGGTTCAAGTAGAAACAATGATTTTCTATAATTGCAAATCAACCATGTCATGTGATCAGAATGAGTCAGTCGCTGAGCATGTCCCATCTTATCATGATTATGAAGAAGTTGATTGGGAGTATGTAAGATCAAATCCAGGAAGCTTATTTTCCAAGAGGGATATTGCATCGTACAAAACCAAGTTTGCTTTCCGCAGAAATGTTACTCAAATGCTATTCTCAGGACTAGAAGAAGATCGAGACGTTCTCGTTGCAGATGCAAAGCCAAAGTTTATTGATGACATGCTACAATTTGCAACTTTGAATTATTACAAGAAATTCGTAACTTTTATAAAACAGAAATTGGGAACTAATTATGTGCAAGGAAAGAGATTTGGAAATCTAAAGAGGATTATTTCCATCGACTCTTATGAATTGAATTTTGCATGGGTCAACAAGGATCGTAATGTTTATTACAAAGTTGGTAATGGAATATGTGAAGCTGATTTCACAAAATTTATGTTGGCAACCCAAGAAAAGGCAACAATTAAAGAAGAAGATGAAACAACGGCAGTCCATATTGATTGGCGATACAAGAATTTCATGGTTCAAGATAGATCCATAGCTATTATTTCAATACCTTTCTCTTCTACACTCCTTTGTAAAGTTCAAATTTACAATAGCATTTCTTGCTCCTCTAAAACAGTAGTAGAAAGAACACCAACTCTCGCACCCAAATCCATCACAGGTGTATTGGAAAAATGTAACATTGTTCAATATGTTAAGAAGGATGTTTTCAAACCAAAGAATCTCTTTCTTGCTAAATATGGATTGATACTTGGCACTTTGAATTTGCAAAGTCCTTACCCTCGTAAGACTATTTTGGAAATGTATTTGGAATCTGCCTTGGCTTCCTCTAGAAAGATGGTGAGTGGTGACTTGGATGAATTGAAAAAATTTTGTTACAAAGATCCAATTCAAAAGGCCATCAAGTTACTTTTATTTTTGCATAGGGAAACAAAGTTAATGGATAGTTATGAAATAAGTTCCAAGGTGAAGTATCTCATTAAATCAATAGATGCCTTATGGTCTCACAAGGAGGAATTTATTAATGATGATGATGAGTACAGTGACACACCATCAATCAATACAATCACTGAATTGGTTTCTGTAGATGGAGAATCATTGAGAGTTCCATTTTCTTGGTATCATTTCATTAAGACTGGTAACATTAAGCATATTTTCGAATTGAAACCAGAAGAAGCTAGAAATGAATTACCAAGTGGAGATTATGAAGAGGAAGATGAAGAGGATGAGGATGACAGTGAAGAGGAGAATGATAATTTTTTTAATTTTCAAAATAATAATTCTGATCTCAGCTCTGAGGATGGAAATGAACCAGAAGAGGACGATGATTACCAAGAGAGTAATGAAGAAGAAGAAGAGGAGGAGGAAGAATCTGACTACTCTGATGATTCAGACAGTGGAAAAAAGAGAAAGAAGAAAACTAGAGCAACCCGTTCTAAAAAGAGAAAGTATTGATAATTTATCAAGATAATTTCAATTCCACGACAATTGGTTTTTTGATTCTCGGATCCGTATGATTCAAAACGGATGAAGCATTCGAATAGAGTAATGACTTAAGACTATGTTGTGTGATTGCCTCAAATGTTGTTCCATGATAGTCATGGACATGACCGAAGAAATGAGCTCTCAAATTACCTTGTTGATTGAGCTGTATAGTCTTGTTTCGCAAACTGGAACATCCCCAGTGTCTCTTGTATTTATGCTCCTTTCCACAATATTCGCAATAATAATCAGGTCCACTACATGTTGCTAAATCCATGATACCAAATGGAGGTGAATGAGTAACAAGAAGATCAGTATCTCTGGGTATTTGTTCCCATTTTTCTTCAACTTTATCCTTTTTGAGAGTAAATCCCATACCACTAGAATGCGAATTGGGTACAGTCCAAGGTGATCCAAATATCCTTAAAAAGTCAACATCCTTATATTTTACAACTAATTGTTGATCTTGCAAATAGATGGCATTTGTAATTACATGTTGCTGGATATAGTCAGCTCCTAAATCTTCGAATCCCATATCATGATTGCCAAATACTACAATTTTGATTGGGTGAGGTAATTTTCCAAGCCACTCATTGAAAGATACAATACTTGGCACAATGATTGGATCATGAGGTTCCTCTTCGGAATTGTTGCTGTGATGTGGATGATCCTTAGTTATTTCACGCCACTCTGACTTGTGTGAAATATCTCCACTGTGAATGAAAACATCACCCTCTGGAATGTTTTTAAGGAATTGATGTGACTTGTGTGAATCACTCATATGTACAATGGTTAATTTATGCTCGGGATGACTTTCGTACATTGGTAAGGAGCTAACAACCAATTCTTTAATTTCTATCGGTTGAGGTTTCTTCTCATAGAAAATATAGGGTGCTTCATGATGGCTATACTCTCCTCCTCCTTCCTTTGAACTATTCATACTATGTGTATCATCAGTGATATGATGACTGTGATGATCATCTAGAAGCGGAACAGAACATCTTCTTCCTTGCGAGCTCTTCTTAACCTTAACAAAAACAACGTCCTCAGCCTCTCTATCATGCTCTGGAAAACTTGTTGCACTCACCAGCAATTTATCCAATTTGATATCAAAATCATCTGAGTCTAGCTTACTATCGGAAGCAACAGAGAGAGAATCCCTTAGACGACCAAACATTTTTTTTCGCTTAATATTTTTATTAAGGAGTGCGAGTTCATTCTTCTTATTGTTGGTTTGTAGATTCTTAGGACAAATACCAAATAGGTACCTTCTATTCCACACCAGAAAGATTTCAAAGTCGCTCCTGGTTCCGCTCTTAAATGGAAGGGAATTATTATCATGTTGGTAACAATTCTAATTCGACTAAGGAATATAATGTTTTGATTTTAATTTTTGAATTTATTAAACTATTGTTGAGCAGCAGCAGCGGCTTCTTTGGCAAGTCTAAGTTTTTCTTCTTTTTCTTGTTGTTTTTTGGCCTTACGACGTTCTTCCTTGTCTTTCATTTCCATAATGAGAGATTTCATTTCTTCGTCAGCAAAGCTTTGAACTTGAGCATCTGATTCTCTGTACATACAAGCAGTGATACCAGCAATCTTTTGAACACGCAAAGCGTGCAAGCACAAACGAGAGGCAATGTGTGAACTCTTAGCAATTTGTACAGCAATTTCAAATGAACGATGTCTGCAAGCAGTAGCACCTTCCATAACATCCAAAACAACTCCATATTCCTTAGCTTTTTGAGCAGTAATCAAGTCACCAGTCAAGAGCATGTATGAAGCAACTTGGTGACCAACCAAGTATGGCAATAAAAGTGATGAACCCATACCAGGTGACAAACCAATTTTTACAAAGTTGAATGACATTTTAGCAGTAGCTTCCATAACTCTAATATCAGTGGCACAAGCAATACCGAGACCAGCACCAACAGCATGACCAGACATACAGGCAATGGTTGGAACAGGACAAATTCTAAGCAATGGTGACAAGAAGCTGTCATAGAATTGACTCATTCTGTTGGCATTATTGAATGGAGTATCATCAATTCTTTCTAAAAGGAAATCATAATCACCTCCAGCAGAGAATGCAGGATGATTCATTTTACCTTCGGAATCAGGAGCTGGTGGAGCACCTGTCAAAATAATAGCTGCCAATCTGTTATTATTTGTAATTCTTGAACTTTCCATCAATGCTTTGAATTGAACAGCAGTTTCAGGACAAAGAGAATTCATCTTTTCTGGTCTATTGATTGTAATGACACCAATGGTCTTGTGAGTCATTGGTGTGAATCCACTCTTTTCTTCCGAAAGTTTCAAATCCATTTCGTGAATATCTGAAGGATTAAAGTTTGAATTACTAGCCAACATTTTGATGCAATCAGTAACATCCAATTCATCAAATTGAACATATTGATTTGGATCAGTTTGTCTACTCATCATGGATGAATGAAATCCTCTCTTTGCTCCGAGGAACATGACAGAAGCAACCTTTCTAGTATTCAAGAGTGTACTCTTTCGGATCAATGAATTCATCATTTTCTATATTATTATTGTTGTTGTATAATTTTTTAAATTACTACTATATTTTGTATTAAAAGGTCTTCCGTAGATTAATTGTTGTTGTATCAACAGAAGAGTTTAGAGTTTGTTGTTTTTTTTTGTTTGTTGTTTTTCGGTGTTTCAGCCCAATTTAAAAGAAGTTTAAAAACCATTTACGGGACTGGATTAGGTATTTTGGCTTAATTCAAATTTGTAGGTCCAAATAAGGAGCAAATCACTACAGATTCCTAAGGAATATTCAGTTAATTATCCATTTTCAATAGGTGATGAAAGATGGCGAAAGTTATTAAAATTAACAAGATGAGTAATGGATGATGAATATTTGAATTACATTTTTCATTATTTTACATTAATTTTCACAAAAATTGTGAACTGTTTTCCACTAAAATACAACAAAATTTAAAGTTTACAATTTTTTTCATCACCAGAATTTTGAATTTCCTAAAAAGCATTTCAGATAAGATGCCAAATAAGAGGAATTACTGTCTGATGTTACAATTTTAAAAATTTCCTTAATGAAATCCAAAATAGGATTTAATGCTCTTTACGGATGAAGCAAGAGCTGAGGCAAATTGAGAGTTTTCGAATGGAATTGAATGTGCTGCGCAGGTGATTGGGAAATTTGCTGATTGTTGAACTCTTTCAAAAGCTTGTAATCGTTGGAGAGGGGAGGAATAGCTAGATTTGGCATTTGACATTTGTAAATGCCAATGGCAGACAGTGAGAATGGAAAATGCATTGGGAGAATTAGATTTTTCTTGAGAATTGAAGGGAACTGATTCAAAATCTTTCAGATAGGATTTGGATAATTCTCTAAAGGAATATTGGAATAATTTGGCATTGATTTGGCATGTGAATTGTAAACGACACATTGCAAGGTTTACAAAATCAGAATTTGGTTTTTTCATCTTTTTGATTTGATCTTGTGTGAAATCAATTTTCTTTTTTGGTAAATTTTCAAAAAATCCTTCATTTAGAATTTGATCCAAAACTGAATTCCAAAAATTCATATCTGAATTGAACGATTCCACTTTTTCTGAGAATAATTCATTCGAAACTTGACTAATTAAAATTCTCCATTGATGATCAGGATCAATATTTGATGTGTTTTCATCCAATTCTTCATCGGATCCACCACTTTCGAAAGCATCAGCTAGTAAAGTATGCAATTGCTCTTGTAAATGAGAATCCATTTGAGATTCCGAGTTTCCAATATTTTCACTAAGTTTCGAATAGAAAAATTGTTCATCTCCACCTGAGGATTGATCAATCAGAGGTGAGGAAGTTACCTTAGCATCGAAAGCAAGTGGGGATTTTCCAAACGAAATTTCCCTCTCTACACACTTTCGTAAAACAACTTTTATCAGAAAGTGAGCAGTTAGAAACGTTTCATCTCGATCCGAAACTCGATCATAACAAATATAATCACAAATAAATTCAGCAATCCAATGTATTTGCATTTCTATCGGAACCTTGTAGAATGTTTTACTTTCAATCGAGTTTCCAATAACATTTTTAAGTTTCTTACAAGCTTCATTTCCACAGAATTGATCCCACTCTTCAAAGATTGTGTGTCCTAACCGAACCAACAGCTGAGACAAGGATCGGTTTGATGACATTTTTTATTGTGAAAGAAGTGTTGATCATGTGATTTGCGACGTCACTTGTCAGTAATTGGACAAGTCACAAAACAAGTCAAAATATTCTATTTAGAAATTGTCTTTGTAAAACAACAGTAGCTGCACTTACAGTATTGCTTACCAAGCTTATTTGTCACAATATTAGGTTCCACAAACAATACTCACTAATCAGTACTTAATTAAGGACTTGGAAAAATTTTTGTAAACTGTTAACAATATTACAAAAAATTGTAAACGTGCATTCTTACATACACATCTTCAATGCCATTCACTCCACAAGGTAATAAACCAAGTTCCATTTCCTTTTCCAATCTTTGAGACAATTCCAATTGTTCATCATGATTCAAACTCTTGTTTTCAAAGCATGATAATCTTCCATCCACTCTTTTGACCATTTTCCACAAATTTAAAAGCAAACACCAAGGATATTAAACCATCTTTAGAAAATTAACATATCGAGTAATTGTGGGCCAAGAATTAATGGTCAATATGGCCCAATCATCACCAATTTACACAACCAACAATCAATTCAACAACCAAAGTAAATTTGTGGAAAATGGTCAAAAGCTTATCTTCCATATTTTCATTGGCTGATTTTTCGATGTTCCATGAGAGGATACACGAAAGAGTCTGCTCCCTTAGTCAGACACAACACAATGTCAATTTCTTCAGGATTCGAATTGTGAATATTTGAAGTGGCTGATTGAATAATTGGATAGTCGTTGAGGAAATCTTTTGGAATTGAAGAGAACTGACATTCTCTTTCTATCTGGTGTAAACTCCTATTCTGCCCATCGTTAGAGTGTAGGTTTTTGGGAGAGAAAAAATATTGTGGATCAACATCAGGTACATCATGCCTCTGTTGATTCTTGGAGTGATTTCACATCTATTAACTCCCAGAATTTCACCACATCATCTCATCATGATTTAAATAATAGTATTAATAGTAATTGTTGGAATTTAATCCTTCATCATGATTTGGAAATAATTTTATTATTTGGAAAAATTCGAGTGGGTATTTCATCATCGGAACAACTACCATCATAATTTTTATTTATCATCATTATAATTGTAATATTTAGTGAAATAAATCATCATCAGGTATTTGGAAAACTTTCAACACTTCCGAACATTTTCCTATTGATTATGAGTGAATGTTAACATTAGAGATTCATGCATTTGGAGAAGCATATCCTAATCACTTCAACTTTTCAATAGTAAGGTGAACTATTTTCAGACGATACATATTTGAAATCGTTTTGATTTCTTACAAAATTATCTTTTATTATTAATAGTATTTAACTTGAAATACTTGGCTAAACTATTTGGATTTTACATTTGTGGCGTTTTGTCTGCTAATTAACATTAGATTGCCCGTTGATTTCGTATCACAACTCCACGGATTTTTGTAATCTCTTTCCATTTAACAAGATTCACAGCTCAAATTGAGGATTTATTTCTCGATTTTGGAAATTCACCTCAATGATAGTCTTGGATATTGCTAATGAATCGACATGTGCTCACACCACAAACGAGGAAACCTACTCGATTCGTTTGGAAAATGAACCGCCTCTGTGCTACTCTTTCAACAAAAAAAAACATGGAGGTTTCGAATAATGTACCACCCCAACAACAAGTGGAACACAATGCAGATAGTACATTGCATCCTAAACGGTTATCTGGTACTGTGACCTTCGAGGAACCATCAACCACAGTTCCAATCACTGAGCAAGACTCCAAATCTAATATAACTTCTCAATCCATAATGAACAAATCCTTGTTTAATAGTTTCTTTCTAATAAGAATCTTGGAGAAAATACCTCTCATCATTAAATTGGCCCTCATTATTGCCTTTTGCTTGATTCCTATGGCAGTATTTGGTGCCTTACTGATCAATTCTGCTGCTGTCAACTTGAGCCATGCGAATGAGATTAAAAAACTATCAAAAGTAACAGTGCACCTCTCAGAAATTGTTAATTCTTTGCAGAATGAAAGAGGAACCACAGCTCTTTATCTAGGTTCTCACAAGAGACAGTATATTATTCAATTAGCTAAAGCAAGAAATCAAACTGACATTGCTATAGAAAGATTCTTGGCACTTTCAGTAAGCCCTAACGATATTTTGATTAATGAAAAGTGGAAGAGGACGTGGTATTTGTTTGAGGATTATTTGGGAAAGGTTACAAATTATTCGAAAGGTATTGGAGAGTGGAGAATGAAAGTGGAGGATGTTACTAACGAAACCTTTTTACCAACATTCCAAATCGTCAGTGATTGGAATTCCCTGACCAATGATTTGATTAGAGTTATAACAAGTCAAAGCTTGGATCCAACTTTTGCAATAATTCACAATTCATTCAACTTGCTTACCTCAACTAAGGAATATCGAGGAATTAGAAGATTTTTAGGAACTTTTGGATTTTTAAATGGAAGTTTGTCTCAAAGTTCGATTAATTCATTTAAAGAGGCTGCCATTAGAGTAAGTAATTTATTAGAAGAATATTTTGTAATAATTGAAAATTTAACTACTTTACAAAAATCTGTTAAATCGTTTTTTAGGGAAGATTGCTTAGACACTTATTTTCACTTCAAGCATCCAACGATATTTACGAAGAATTCCATTCAAATGTTCTCAGTAATGATCAGCAAAATGTCTGTCAGAGAATGGAAGACTATGTCTTGGCAAATTATCAAAATTTAACAAAGTATACAGTTCAAGAATGGTATGATAACATGACTCTATGCATGGATTCATTTAGGAATGTGGAAGATGGAATGAGAGCTTTCTTATTAGACTATTCGAATCAAATTGGTTCGAATGCTACCGATTCATTAATTGCATTTACCATAGTTATAGTAATGGTGGTTCTTGTGGCAGCATTAGTGGCATTACTATTTTCGAAAACTATTCTAGGACCTTGGAAGAAAATGTTGCGTCTCCAAGAGGACATGGTTTACAAATTCGTGCCACGAGAATTCATGTCCATTATTAATAAGGAGAAGGTTACAGATTTGCATCATGGTGATTTCTTTGAGAAGGAGTTGGACATTATGTTTGTCGATATTCGAAACTATACTTCAATGAGTGAGAGACTACCAACTGATCAAATGTTCAAATTCTTGAATCGATATTTGGCTTTGGTTGGTCCGATTGTGAGGAGAAATTGCGGATATATTGATAAATATATGGGTATGTTCATTCTAGAATGATTATAAACTTTATTAAGGTGATGGATTTATTGCCCTATTTACAGAGCCAGGCCATGCACTGAAAGCATCTATTGAAATTCAAAATTGTGTTCTGGTGTTTAATGAGAGCGTGTCACCAATCATTGGTCCTATTTCAATAGGATGTGGAATTGTCAGAGGTCGATGTGCAGTTGGTTTGATAGGTGAATCAAAGAGAATGGATCCAACTATAGTTGGGGATGCCGTCAATTTATCTGCTCGATTAGAATCTCTGACGAAATATTACAATGCCAAGATTCTAGTTTCGAAAAGTGTAACCGATTCTTGTTCACCTATTTGGCTGGGAGATGGAGGGACTTGGCGATCCATTGGAAAAATATGTGTAGTGGGTAAGAGAAATTATGTAGAAATTATGGAAATTATTCCTTTTAATAATTGTAAGAAACGGTCAACTAAGGAAATGTTTGAGAAGGCCATTACACACCTATTTTGCAGAGATAAATTTGATCCCATTACTGCTGAGCAACTATTAGAACAAGTTTCTATCATTGATCCAGACGATAGGATTTGTAAAATGAGATTATTATTGGCACAGTCGTTGGTTGTGGATTGTTCACACTGGGATTTTGTTGATACTCCAAATACCAAATAATGGATCGAACATTCCAAAGTGTTTGTAATTATCATTTCAAATGAATTTCAACTATATGACCTAAACAATATTACAAAAAAATTAGAATCTTTGAACAACATGAGTACGAAACATACTACCAATCCGATTGGAATCATGATTGATGTATGAACGAGACGTTTGACACCAAGCAATCAAAATAGAAGAGAACTCTCAAAAATGTGAATCACGTTTTGCATTACAATACATTTTTTGCACTGAACTTATTGTATCTAAAAAAAAATGTGTTTCGTCCAATTCTCTATTATTTGTCTTGTTATAGGATTGTTATTGATAACAAAAACAAATACCTTAGCTAATGAGCAACCAAAGCTGACCTATGAAATGATCACTCAAATCAAGGGTTGTCCTTGTCAAGAAGAAACTGGTGGAAACCCACACCTCATTTACGATTTTGGTGGAGGTGACATGAAGAACGTAGCATACTTTTCAGGCCTAGTTTATTTCCTTGATCAATGTAACAACAAGATATACTCATATGAATCCCAAGAAAACCAACAAATCTCAAAAAGTAATCAAGTTTATGTGAACTTGGTGGCAGGTGGCGGTGACGATTCGTATTTTAATGGCACACATGCTTGTAGAAGATTTGGATTTGCAGGTGATGGTGGGATGGCTATCAAAGCTCTGTTTAATAGACCTGTTCATATTGCGATAGATCATTCAAATGGTGATCTGTATGTCACTGATCAGGGAAATCATGCTATCCGAAAGATTACTTGGGATAAGACCATCAGTACTGTTGCAGGCATAGGCAGATTTGGTACAGATTCCTTTATTGATGGAGTTCCTGCTACAAAGGTCAGTTTGGATACACCCATCAAGTGTGTGATCGTGGCAGGTGAACTGTACATTCAAGAAAATAGAGGAATTCTTAGAGTTGGTAAAGATGGTACCATTTCTATAGTTATTGACATCAAGAAGCACTTTTACTATGCAAAGCAATTCGAATTGTTGACATTCGACATTTCCCAAGATGGATCCATTGTTTACGTTGCCATGAGCTTTGATAATTCAGTTTTTATCAAGCAGTATCATGAAAGTAATGAAACTTGGACTCATGTAATGGGTACAGAAAATTCTGAAAGCAGTTGTCTCTCTCTTCCCAATTGGGAAGAAGGTTATTATTTGAATCCTTCCAATTATACACTCTGCCATGTTACAGATATGATATTTACAAAAGATGGAGCGATGATTCTCATAGACACTTATTCCAAAAATTATACTGAGATTACTAATTCTGATGTTCCAATGGATATTCAACCAATGTCTGCAATTCATCGTTTAGAACAAGATGGAACGCTTTCTGTATTAATGACCTCAACTAGAGGCTATACATTCGGTGGACTGGGGGTTTATCCAAATGGAGATTCAATAATTTATACTGTCCAAGAAGAAAATGTGAAGAAAATTATTGAAACTCATATTACTTGTAGAGAATATTTGAAACTGTCCAGTGAAAGAAGGAACTGTGTACCAGTATGTGACACCAGACCAGCTGATGATCCAAAGGTCTGTGGTGGACATGGCACTTGTCAAGATACTAATAAGTGTGTATGTAATGATGGTTTCAATCCTGAAACATTTTGTAAATCTCCAATGTGTTTTGGAGATTTTTCAGAAACTGGAGGATGTTCTGGTCATGGCAAATGCGTTGATTATGATAAATGTTCATGCAATTATGGCTATTGGGGGGACAATTGTCAATATCCATGGAGTTTTACAATTATCATTATTGGTTGTATCATTTTGGTTGTAGCTTTAATGTGTGAGTTCAGTACTATCTTTGGTTGTTACATTTACTTGGACAACAAGAGGAAACATAAAGTGTTGGAGGGTGAACATTCAGACATGCTGGACGACTACAAGAGTGCTCAACAAGATGTTGCCGATATGAGGGGAATAGTTAAAGTGGTAGAATTTACAAATGCCATTTCCAGTAATCAAAGGTCCACCTTCAATATTAATGGAGAAAGCTATCCATGTTCGTTTGAGGCAAGAAAAAGGTACTTACATATTGAACCCAATGATTTTGGTGTTAAAACTGTGCTATGCAACAATTTAAGGCCATTACTAGTTTACAGCAAAATCTGGCAATTTACAATAGAGAGAAATGATCAGATTGCAAGTATTCGTAATGTTGCTTACTTTGTAAATAGTTTAAAATCCAAACCATCCGAGTCCAAATCATCTGAGTATGAAGCTTATCCATACCTATTTGTGACATTGAAACACTATCCACTTAGTAACCTTTCCATAAGGACTGAAAAAAGAATTTTACAAAAACTGTTTACAAAAGAAGGAATGAGAAAGGCATGTCTTAGTATGGCAAAAGCAATAGCTCGATTCCACAATACTTTGGGCTTAATCCATTGCGATATTGCTCTCAAAAATTTCGTAATTGAAGAACTTGGAAATGGAGAATTAGTTTTCATTTTGATAGATTTTGATGCAGCAAGATTCATCAAGCCAGAAGATGCCACAAAAATGTTACAGAACAATAAGCGAGTATCAGTGGATAGTTCACAAGGAATCCAACCGCTCTCAGACAATTCCCTAGATGAATATACTATTTCACATTTAACAGGAAACGAGGATTACCAAAATACGACACAGAGGGATCTTTATGCCTATGGGGCAACCATTGAAGAACTTTACGATATTTTCCTTTTTCAAATTACAAACATAATTAATGAACTCACTGATATGATTTCTAATTCCAAGTTTACTGAAGAAAAAGAACGTTTAACAATGGAGATTAAGGCATTTGAAGAAGTAATTCCAAATCACTCTGAAATGTTGAACTATTTCGAAAGCAATGTGAAGCCAATTGTTGCAAAATTGAAAAATCATGAGTATCAAACAGACTACAAATCAGAAATGTATCTCATTGAACTATTTTCAGATGAAACATTTTCTCAAACTCTAAAGAATGAACAACAAGTTTCACCTTTGTCTCACAATACAGCATCAGTCATAACTCCACATCAAAATCCAACACAAACAACAACAACTTTAAGCTCAAATCAACCAGAAGAGATTGATGATGAACAAAGTATTCTTTTGCGCAATAGAAGATAATCAGTTATTAGTTTAAAATCGTTTGATTTCTTACAAAATTATCTTGCATAAAATTCAATTATACAAATTGAAATTACAATATTTTGATGTTAGCACAATCTTGTTGACTAACTCAAAGAATATTCAACCTTCCTTATTGTAATCCAACTCTTCCCAATTTGTAAATATTCATTAATAAGTACGATGATGGAGCAAATAAGAAACACATCCTTCCAAAACTTGCCTATTTCTCTCTCACTACTGCCGAATTTCAAAAAAATCAACACCTTTCGATTCAAAAAACCATTCGAAACCTTTGGTCCCATCATATCTCTAAACTTTAAAAAAACTAAACCAGCATGTCTTCACTGCCCACAACTCATAATCAACACCACACAAAATACTACAATAGAAAGTCTTCCACCGAGTCCAACTAATTCGTCCAACTCTAAACGAAAGAGTTTCGAATTAAAATTCAATCCACATGATTACGTTCTAGTTTTCGAACACGTCATGAATGATAAAGAATGTAAAGATCTTTTCCATGAATATTTGACGAAACATGCAAAATCTGCTGAATTGTTGGATTTTCTTAATGATTATCGTGAATATGTGGTTTATTACTTTAGTTTGAATTTGAGGGCGAAACCTTCGTGTTTGATAAAGGACGTTTGGAAGAAAGTGCCAGAGAGAAAGACTGAACCTGAGAAGGAAAGCGAAGAAGTGTTGGTTATTCGAAAGAATAAGAAATTAGACGATTTTCATGCAATGGCAAGGAATTTAATGGAAAAATATATTATCGAGGGTTCACAACATGAAATTAATATTAGTTCTTGTAGGAAAGATATCATACAGAGATGGAATAACATTAATAACTTTTTGATATCTGACAGTATTAGGACGACAGTTCAAGGATTGACACAAGTTATTGATTTGTTGAATCCTGAAACCTTGTTCAGAAGTTCAAGTAATTTAGTTCGAGTTGATTTGGAATATGATCAATTTCCTCGTTTTGTTAGAAGTGATTTAGTTTATCAATTCCTAAAAAGGAAAGGTGAAGGATTTACTCGATCTGTGGCTTTGAATGTTTCACAGGGATACAGATTAGATATTAGATTTAAACCTCACGAGTTGGTTTCCAAGAAAATTGACGACAAGATGATTTATTTCGGTAAGTTGTTGAATATTCGAAATGTTTAATGATTTTGTGAAATAATTAATAGGTTACACCCTCCTACAAGATACACCTGACTGGGAATGTATTCATGACAAGAATGAATCTCAAGTTTTCATCTCCAAAACCAATTACACATTCGGTCTGAATTCGAATAATTTGAAACTAAAGAAACTTACCTTCTCAATTCCTTACAGTTTAGAGAACTTTTGGGCAATCTACGTAGATACAGAACTATACACGAAATACAAAATATTCCAAACGAAAAACTACAAATTTCGTCAATATATTGAACCAAATTCAGGTAAAACCGATCAGTCAACTGGAGAATTATTGGATAATCAACTGGCAATGGCTCAAGTTCAATCCTCACTTCGTCTCGTTCCATTTACCAAATCTAGACAATATTCAGTGATTACTACAGTGATTTATGAACCTCTTCTTGATTGTATCGTTCAAATTTCACCAACTTATAGAGATCCAAATGTTGGAAATGAAAATGTGTTGGTTATTGGACTTTCGTACAGTTTTTTCTTTAGAATGAGAGATGGCTCGACTAGAGTAGTTTTGATTACGTATTCTGATATGAATTTTAATATTCCTTCCTTTGTAGAATCTCGAGCTCTGGTATTTAGTGTCAAAAATTTCAAAAAGGGAATTGTCAAAGCTTTGGATGAATTGACAGGAAAAGACAAGTCAAAAGTAATTGAATACAAGGATGATCAAGAACGTCCTTGGAATATCATCATGGAGGTCAATAAGAACATGTTCCCAAATCGATCTTGGTTTAAGGAATGGAATGAACAAATGGAAGAAAAAGAAGAGCAATAAGGAGTTGTTTATAAATGGAATTTTTACTTATTCTATAACATCAACAACAAAAGTTCGCCTCTCTCTCACCTGATTGAATCTTCTCCTGGGTGTTGAGGGGAAATTTGGAGTTGTATTCAATTTTTGGGTTCCTTATTCGAGATATGAAAATCCTTCACCACCTGCATTCTCAATTTCGATGGGAACTGATCTAATCTTGTCTCAATACGAGGAGGTAGTGACAAGACTCATTTACACTTTCAATGTTCAAGAAATTAAATTTACCAGAGAGTAGGTAAACCATAAAATTCATTAGTAAATATAACATTCAGTTCACTTTCTAATAATTAATTGGTCACCAATTCTAACTTAGTAAAATAAAAAGCCCTAGAGATGTTTCGATCATCTGACCTCAACCTTATGAGGGTTATGCTCTCCCACTGAGCTACGAGGGCTTTGATCAACAAAACCAAAAAATATCAAAATTATCGTAAACGAAAAAGATTTTAAATTCCAAAAATTCATTTAAATTAAACTTTAAAGTTTGTTAAAATTGGTTTTTACAATGTCACCGTAGTGTGAACACCAAACTGTAAAGTGTTGAACTCGTCAATTAGAAATATTTGAACTTTACAATAAAAAATTCTTGCCTGAATTAATTGACAATTGTAGCCATGCACTTCCACTCCTGTTTTAAAGAACCATTACAATGAACATTTTTCCGTACAAAGATAAAATGTGCTAAGTGATAATTCCTTGTTAATAACCAGCTTAGATGTTTGGGTTTCCAAATTCTGTTTCTGGCCATAACAAGCTGTCATTCTACTTTATTGATCACTGACAGCTACCAAATGATTGGATTGAACAAAAATAAACACTTCAAAAACCTCTTCATTGTTCTTTTTAAAAATAATAAATTTAAAAAAAACCAAACAAATGAAATCACTATTGCTACTTTTCACACTCTTGGCAACTGCAATTCTCATTGCTGGCCACAAAGTCACAGAAAAGACAATCATCAGCTCTGAAAAGATAGGTTACGGTGTGTTGAAGGGTCCAGAATCTATTGTGTGGGATCCAGTCCATGCTGATGTATTATATACTGGTATTAATGATGGTAGTATCATGAGAGTAAATGTCACGTCAGGTGTCAGTACTGTTTACGCTTATTCTGTCCCAGCTTTGAATGCCACACAAAGAGCTGTCTGTGGTACAAGCGTGTTATATGAAGGTACCTGTGGTAGAGTTTTGGGAATGGTATTTGATAAGAATAACAATTTAATTGTCGCTGATGCTTACAAGGGATTGTTGAGAATTTCCAGAGCTAATCCAAGTCAAGTTGAAGTTTTGGTCAATTCATACAATGGAGTCCCATTCAAGATGACAAACTCAGTTGTCTTGTTGAAGGATGGTAAGACTGTCTATTTCACTGATTCTTCCCTTCTCTATTCAAGACTTTACTTTGTGTCCATCGTTGTGGCCAACAATCCAGATGGAAGATTATTCAAATTCGATTTGGAAACCAAGCAATTGCAAGTTGTCATTTCTGATTTGAAATTTGCCAATGGTATTGCTGTTTCCAAAGATGAATCCTTCCTCGTTATCAATGAATGTTCATCTGGCTCATTAAGAAGATTCTACTTAAAGGGAAGAAAGGCCGGAACTAATGATGTTTTCGTTCAAGATATTGGTGGATATGCTGATAATATCAAGACTGATGATGATGGCAATTTCCTAGTTGGTTTATTCTCAAATACCACTCAAGAAGTTACTGCCATTCATGATTCTGCCAAGTTGAAGAATATTTTCCTGACCATTGTGCCAGCAACTACCACTTTGGGAATGATTGTTCCACAAGGATTGGTTAAGAAGGTCAATCAAAAGGGAAAGATTACAACTGTTTATTCTGATAAGACTGCTACTTTTGCTTTGCAAGTTTCTGAAGCTGATGTCAGAGGTGGATATTTGTATTTGTGTTCAGTTTTGAACCCTTGGTTGACCAGAGTTAACTTGTCAACTGGTTTGCAATAAGTGTATTATATTGAATGTGTTGATATTTTCACATTTGTAAATAAAATTGTAAATTAAAGTTTCAACACAAATAATCAAATTTTCAATTTTTTAGAAATAATTAAAAAAAAATTAAAATCATGATTTCTGTTGCTCTTTCTTGATATCGATTATTATTCGAGATGCTTGATTTTTGTGATTAGATTAACAACAACAAGCACTGGAAAGTCCTCGTCTTCGGAACGACACTTCCAATTTTCTTCTTCTCAATTAATATTAATCAACTTTACCTGATGACTGATGTAATATTGTCATCATGAATGATGAACAAAAGTACTTTGTTTTCACCAGATCACACAATTAGATTAATAACAAACAACTCGAACAAACAACTGAAACAAGCCTTACAATATCACCACAACAGAAAACTTCCATAATAATACCTCACGCAACAACACAGAGAACAAGAGAACAGGTTCACATCACCGTAAAACACTACCCAAAGAACAAAATTGCTGCAACAACAACAAATTGTGCAATGCTGCTCTCTCTGAAACGTTCACTTTGCACTGCGCATCTAGATGCCTTCTTTGGCTCTGAAACTACTCTTGGTAGGAGTAAAGAAAATGTCTCTACAGCATCAGCAGCAACAGAAAGAACAAGTACTGCAGTCAAATGCAAATAATGGACAAATTGTGGATGTTAGTACAGGTAGTGATGATGATAATAATGGATTGGAAGATGAAGGAAAAGGAGTGAATTTGCATCATGTTCATAACATGTATGGACAAGTTAATAATGATGAAAATAATGGAGTAGTAACAACAACAATTGAAAGGACAATAGTAATGGATAATGATGAGGATTCGGGTAGTAGAATAGCACTGGAATTGAATGCCATTCCACAGGAAGCTACACTGAATGGAAATGTAAAGACAACAACTTTGAATGATGTAATTGTTAAATCTACTTCACAGATCAAGTTGGAATTTCATGATGATCCCCTAGTTGAGGAACATGAGAGATGTTTCATGGAGTGGAGAAATGTGTGCTATCCAGTGGGAGGTAATAATTTAATTGTGAGAAATGTGAGTGGATTTGTTGCTCCTGGAAAGATTACAGCCATTATCGGTTCAGCGTTGAGTGGAAAAACAACTCTATTGTCCATTCTATCACAAAGAGGAAATTACAAGGATTTTGGAGGATTAATTCTAATTAATGGAAAAGTTGTAAGGACATGTAAGGAAGGACCATGTGCTAAAATCTCATCAACTCAATACAAATCACTGATAGCTCATGTCCCAAAGCATTTTACAGCCTCTCATCCATTTCTTACTGTGAGGGAGATTTTGAATTTCACAGTCAAACTGAAATTGACCAGTGTTAAAAGTGCACTCACCAAATGCAGAGAAGAACGATTAGAATACCTATTGACCAAGTATGAGCTGAAAGAAAAGGAGGATGAATTGTATTCAAAACTAGGAGTAGCAGAGAAGAGAAGATTGCACATTGCTGTACAGAATGTTCTCAAACATAGAGTTTTGCTACTGGAATATCCAACTGATGGTTTGGAATTTGGAGAGGCATCCAGAATTATTAGAATTATGAAATCAATTGCCAAGATGGGAGTTGGTGTTGTTCTTACTTCACACAAACCAAGTTTATTAGAATTGGAATTATTCGACTACATTTCAATACTCAATAGAGGTAATCAATTATATTTTGGTCCTCCTGGTGAATTAATTCAATACTTTTCGAGAATTGGTGTCAAACTTCACAACACCAACCATAATGAAGTGGGATTCTTGTTCCAAGTCATTTCTCTGCTTCAGGCAGAATCATTCCATCCAATGTACACCGACACTTATGATACAAAGGAAAATACAGAGAGATTTTCCATAGAGTACGTAAGGCAAACAGAAGAGTTTTACATTCCAATGAAAAACAAGGAAGAAGCACCATATTTGACCAATGACCTGACTCGTTTTCATTTTGAACCTTATTATGCCAACTTTTTCTATTCAGTATTCTTTCTGATGGCTAGAAATTACTTGAGCCGAATTAGGAATTGGAAGGTTGAATTTCTAATTCCACTATTGGAAAAATTGGCTGTTTCAATATTTATTGGACTGCTTTATTTCCAAATTGATGAGGGAAATATGTCGCTGAGAGGAAAGATTTTCACCTTTCTCAATCTTAATATCTCCCTTACTTTTACTGCGAGCTTGAAGAATCTTATCAATCAAATACCAATGTTAACTCAGGAGAGAAACAGCTCTATCTACAGAACCAGTGTATTTTTCATTTCAAAAACCATTGAGGATTTGATAGAAACTTCGATTTTATCTCTATTATTTGGTTGGATTGTTTACTTTATGACTAACTTGAGATTGGAATATGACAGAGTATTAACGTTTGGACTGATTTTTGCAACCTACCATTGGACTTGTGTCAGTTTTGCGCAAATGCTGGTTTCTCTGATTCCTGTCCCACCATTGCTAAATTTAATTACACCAGTAATTAATATCATGTTCATATTAACGAGTGGGGTGTACGGTTTTCCGAACACTGATTGGTTGTCGTGGTTTAAATATTTGAACTATCTCTTTTATGGTTTCAAAGCAATGTCTCTCAATGAATTTGATATTCAATTGGAAATTCCAACAAATACTACCTGGCCTGCTAATTATTATACCAATGGAACCTATTTCCTCTACAAAAATTATGGATATTCAGATCCTCATTACATGATGTGGGTCTATTTTGGAATTCTCACTTCTTTTTGGATTGTTTGTAAGATTCTGAGCTATGTTGGATTAAGATTAGTGTATGGAAAGAAGAGTTATATTCGACTTGCCAAGAAACTACTACGTTCATGGAAGAATACTTGAATGCATTCGTCCTTCCTCAATAAAGATAAAGATCATATACAATCAAACAACTACAGCAGGGTAAAGATAATATATCCTCAACAACACTGTTTTAACATGTCCATAAGTAAATAATTTTACATGACTAAACAAGTCTTCTACATCCAAACTAGAACATCAAACCAATTGGCCATCAAATCATCATTCCACTACATCCTCCTTTCCATTTCATGATTGTATTCATTTCTACTCTGGCCCGAAATATCACACTACGTTACATTCCAGCATACTTTCACCCATCATGTACTTGCTTATCACAAGAGATCTTTCAAACAACAACATTTAATCATTCATATTATAAGCAGCAAATAATTACCTTCCTTTCCCCTCATCTCATCCATCACCAAATGCTTGCTGTGCTGCTTGACGAGGACACAATTTTTTCATCATTAAAAAAAATCACTAAAATTTTAAGCGGGAACCTTCAAAGCCTTTGTTCTTCCTCCTTTCCTTCACTGCACACGGCAAGAAACAACAACAACATCATCAGATTATATTGTTGTAGTAATAGTATTTGAAAAGGATACCTTAGTTATAACTAATTGTTATATTTCCGCTAACGAACGATTATTAAAATTATATATTTCTAGAAGAAGTATTATCATCATTGTCATCATCATTGTACTATATTATTATTATTATTAAAATATGAGAGTATTTAAACAACGTATTAAAGTTAAACTTGGAAAGGCTGAATCTACTCAAGACCCAGAAGGATACAATGACTTACGTGATCAAGTGAAAAAGACTGAAAATTATGCTAAAGGAGCTTTAAAGATTGTGAGAGGATATTGTCAAAAATCCGAAGCAATTACAAAGGTTCAAAATGAAGTTGGTCAATACTTGGTAGAAAGTGGTATGCAAACAAATGATGAAGGTAAGTTAATTTCTAGAGGATTCGGCTCAGTTAATAATTTTATGATGTTTGATTGATGAAAATGACGAATTGACACAGTTGGTGAATCTTTGATGAAAATTGGAGAAGGATTAAAATCACTTGCTACTATTCACCATGCCATGTTGGTTAACATTGTTGAAAAGTTTATTCAACCAGCTACAGAATTCAAGAAGGAAGTCAAGGATTCTGAAGTTTCTCATAAAAAGTATGACAAGAAGCGTTTGGAATTTGATGCCCAAGTAGATCTTGTCAATTCATTAAAGCAAAAGGGTGAAAAGGTAGATCCACAAAAAGTTCAAACAGAAGAAGAAAAACAAACACAATTTGACAATGAAAAGGATGAAGCTTTTGAAGAAACATTGGAAGAAACTTGTGATGTTTTGGTAAAGAGACAAACCAAGCACTTGGCACAACTCAATGAATTACTTTTGAGTTTCCACCACTTTTTTGCTGAAGGTTATACTCTTACACACGATTTGAAGGAACCATTGGAAAAATTAATGGAAAAATCCAACAAGAAAGCTTCCACATTCAAACAACAAACAGTGGAAAGTGTTTTGGGTGGAGGAGGATCTATCAGATCAACACCATCACAATCTTCATTCACACCTTCAACTAAATCAAACACTGAAACATCAACTTCAACAGTCACAACAACCTCAACAGCCAAGTCATCAACTAATACTACTTCAACTAGTGCTGTTGGTGGTATGGGAGCTGCCTTCTCAGCTGCCAAAAAGACAGAAAGTGCTGCAGCAACAGTTTTGTGTAAATGTAAGGCCATGTATACTTATGATGCTCAGGATAGCACAGAAATTTCATTCACTGAAGGTGAAACTATTTTGGTTTATGAAAAGGAAGAAGGTGGATGGTGGAGAGGTGCTAGAGAAGCTACTCCAACCAAGTCTGGTATCTTCCCATCTAATTTCGTTGTAGATTCTAGTGCTTCTTCAGGTAGTGGAAAAACAACAACTGCATTGTATGATGTAAGTATTATTTGTTTTATTGGAATTGATTTATTAATTATTTTATCATTTAAAATTATTTTGTTAAATTATTTAAATAGTATGAAGCTCAAGAATCAAACGAATTAACTTTCAAAGCAGGAGAAGTTATTGAAGTCATTGAGGAAGCAGATGGAGGGTGGTTTATGGGCAAGAATTTGTCAACAAACAAGGTTGGTCTTTTCCCTTCAAACTTTACAGAACTAGGAGCACAATAAATATAAATAAAAATATTAGAAATTAATTTATTAAATTTAAATGTTATTATAATTCCAATAATTCCTAATTATTTAATTGATATTTATTTAATTAATAAATAAAATATTTCAAAAATAATTTAATTACTCTTAATAATTCCATCAATCATTGAAATCCAATCAGCAGCAGTGAAATCATATCCATTGAAAACATTAACACCATTAACAAAGAAGAATGGAGTTCCATACAATCCTCTTGAAGTAGCATAACCAAACATTGAAGCAGCTTGAGCAAATGATGATTGACTATTCATTTCACTCAAATATTGTTCATAACTAATCAATCCCAATGGTTGAACATAGGTAGCATAGATCAAGTTGAAAATTTGAGCTTGATTCATATTCTTCAAATTAGCATTTGAAGCAGGTGATTGATTACTAAAGAATAAATCCAAAAACTTCCAACAAACATTTCTATCAGCCTTTGAAAACTTGGAAACAATCGAATAGGTTTGAGCAGAATAAAATCCAGCAATATGCATTGGCAATGGCATCAAATGAAGACTAAAAACAACCTTATCTTGATTTCCAGAAGTTCCATTATTAAAATAATATTGAACAAGAGGCTTGGTAATACTTTGGAAATGTGTAGCACAATCAGGACAAGTCAAATCCAAGAACATTTCAAATTCAACAAGTGTATTCGGAGAGGAATTTCCAATAGTCCATGAATTTTTCAAATTACTAATTCTTGGTCCGACTGGTGTAATGGCGAGTGATGATTGAGTAGAAAGGAATAAAATCATCATTACCATCATCACGATGGAAGCAAAAAGAGCGCGTGATGAGCGGGTGCTGCTGAGATGTTGAGACATTTTTTTTTGATGATTCTTCTCCGAACGGAGTTAAAACGGATCAGTTCAAATAGATTAATCTTTCAGAAAGAAGGAGATTCTGTCTTAATCTTTGACAATATTCGAATATGAACTGTTTCGATTAATTTTTATGAGAAATCTGAATATTAAATCATACAAGAAATTGAGATTAATTGGATGAGTCAAACCCTTACTGTTCAACTATTCATAACCTTGAAACTGTCATTGTAACAAAAAACTGTAAGACTTTACAATAAGAGTGTTGTAAAGGAAACATTTCACATCACATCTGACATCAAACAATTTATTTGTGATTTTTGGCAAGTGTTTGCCATCCTCCTAATTAATAGGCATACCCTATTTGTTGGTGCACTTCCGTATTCACATCAGTTCGATAATATTTATTTAAACTACCGCTTCTTTTATTAGAATCTCACAAAAAACAGAAAAAAAATATGCAAACTAAATCTTCCCTCCTCGTTTTATATTTCACACTAGTTGCAACTGTTTTGTGTGTTTTGACTTGTTCGGCTCAAGCTTCTATCAACTTGAACGTTCCAATGAAAACTCAAACTTTTCAGTCAACTTTCAAGTATCCTAGCGCTCAAGCTGCTTATCAAGTTTTGAAGACAACTGAAGTTATGTTCAGTTTGCAACCTTATGTGTAGGTATTTGTTGTTAAATTGTTGTTTTTCTTATCAATTTATTCCGTAAATTAACAATTATTAATTTGACATTTTGACATTTAACAGATATTATGTTCAAATTATTTCTCAAACTGATACCTCTCGTGAATTAGATTTTGCTGAGAAAATCCCAGTCTTCTTTGGTGTTTTCAATTATGATACTGGTAAATTGAGAGCTGTCCAAGCTTTTGACAATTCTCAAAGATCCATCGTGTCAAATGTCCCATTCCCAGGTGGTTTAGGAACTTTGGTTGCTAATCTTTCATTCACTGAATCTGCAGATGTCGACGAAAATGGCTTAAAGACAATTACTTGTAATGAAATTGTCAATGGTCAAGTTTTCTTGCTTGCTAAATTATTTGTTGAAGATAGTGTTAAGAGTGCTCATACTCAATTGGTTGCTGATATTGCAAATTATTTCACTACTCATCCAGCTAGTGCTTAAATAAAAAGTTAACATTTTCCCGCCAATTTACTAATTAGGACATTATTTCTCTTCATAGCAAGACTGGAAAATTGTTTTTTGGCTACCTGAAATCTGCGAAGTCAGTTTTTACCAGCTGATTATTTTTAGTCGCGAGTTTTTGATATGGTCTAGCTGGTTTTGACCATCCCAGCGCTGGGATGGTAAGCTTAAAAATTCTCCACCAGCTAGTCTTGCTATGTCTTTAACTAAACAATGAGAATTTGCTAGTGGAATATGAAAATATTTAATGTAGTTTAAACTTATTTAAAATATGGATATTTGAGTAATTGTCTAGCTTGTGGTCTTGTTGCGCTATCTTTACCAACCATTTCAATAACGAGTTCAATAAGCTCAGTTGAGTAAATATTTGGTTTTTGCATATTTTCTGTAAGGATTTGTTTAACTTGAGAACTGTCTTTAGAAAAATGGAGATGACTGATGGCAGTTGTAGTGTCATGTGTCATTAATTGATAAATAGTTACACCCAAACTGTAAACATCTGTGTTAAAACCATAACTTGCTCCCAAACCTAGTTCTGGACTCTGTGAAAATTGTTAACTTTCGAATAGCAATATACTAAACTTACCAAAAACATTGGAGTTCCACAATAACTGTTATTTGCAGAAAGTGAATTATCCCTCGCCAATCCGAAATCTGCCAAAACTACCTGAATGTAATCTTGAGTCAATTCCTTAATAAAAATATTCGATTCCTTAACATCTCTGTGAATCAGTTTCTTCTCTTCATGAATATATTCTAAAGCATTCAACATTTGGAACAATACACTTTTCAACAAGGTTTCGGATATTTGAACTTTAAGTAAACTTGTCAAATCTCCCTTGTCATAATATTCCATCTCAATAACCAATAATTCATTCTTATCAACGAACATGTCATTCACCTTAATAATATTTGGATGTGCCATGTTCAATAATTGTAAACCTTCTTTCATGAATTGGTTTAGTTCAGAATAGGATTGGAATTTGATAGCTTTTAGAGCTTTGAAAGAATTGGTTTTGACATCGAAAGCTCTAAAGACAGATCCGAAACCTCCACTTCCAATCTTTACCATGTCCTTGAAACGACTCAATGGATCAAAAGAAGAAGAACTTGAGCTAGTTCCATTTGTGGAAGACGAAACTGATTGGAATTCCATGGTTGGTCGGAAGAATATGGAAGCTTCAGATTCGGGAAAATCGGTTGCTGTTATATCATTCTTGGATTCTATCATTTCCAAGTTGAGGTTTTCATTTGATTTCTTTTTTTTCCTAAAATAGAAAATTAGAATGATAATCAAAATTACAATAATGACAATTAATAGAAAGACTGAAAGGATGGGAACTAGAGTTGCTATCAGAACTACTTGAGTTTCTTGTTGCTTTGAACTTTCTGGTGAGATTCGTAATTGAGAACATTCGTTTCCAGAATAGTTTAAAGTACAGTTACATTGATTAGGAGAAACACATTGTCCTCTTTCTATGCCATTACATGCATCACTTGAATTCTTACCATAACAAATTGGAAGGCAATTCTCAAAATTTGAAATGAAATATCCAGTTGGACAGTTGACTGAAATTTTGTAAACAGTTCTAGCATTTGCAAAAAATATTTCACCAGTAGATTCACTAACAACAATCGAATTAGGATTACTATAAAAAACCATAATAATATCAACCTTTCCTTCCTTGTTTAGTTTCTTCAATCTTCCATTCTCAGCAAAATAAACTATTCCATTAATATTCGAAACATAAAGTGTACTAACAGCCTGTTGAGGGATATAAACAGTCGTTACAATTCCATTGCTATCAATTTTCCTTATACCAACCGTATCTACATAATAGATTGAATCGGATAAACTATCGTAGCTTAATGAAACAGCACTTGAAATGATAAAATCAGTTGCTAGGGATCCGTCTGAGGAACGAGTGCCTCCACCAGCTACTTTTGAAATGGTATTATTTGAGGCCAATCTTATCAAGATATTATCTGAAAAGAATAAATAACCACCTTCCTTATATGGTACAATTAATTTTGGACGTGGAATGTCTGTTAATCGATTGTTGACAACAGAACTTCCAGATCCAAACAAATCAAACGTTATCGTATCAGTGAATGCTCGTACAATACAACGACACTGGTAGAAATTCTTGAGAAAAGGTTTTCAGGCATAATTGAGTCAACTACCACAACACTGCCTTGGAGTTTGGCTAATTTTAAAAATGCATGGGGCAATCCGGAGTGCCCTGTCTGTAGGGTATTGTCATTGTATTGTTCTGTGATTTCCATAATCTGCAAAGATATATTGGTTTGCAACTTTAGTAATTCCTGAAATTCCAGAAAGTTTTGTTTTCCTATTGTCAAACTCTGAGTTGTAATAACCTCCCAAACAAGGACCAATCAGATTTTTAACTCCCTTGCTTTGTAGATTGTATTGGAGTACTAGATTTTCACTTTGACTATATAAAATTAAATTATTTCCTGACATGGCTAAATTGGCCGAAAGGTCAACAAATTGTGGATCTTCACCATTGTATTCTCTGTAAACAGCTCCATAACCAGCTATTGTACTTAGTTTAGATGTTGTGTCGTTATACTTTCTTATTAATTGATTTCCAGAATCGCAAATAATAAGTGTTCCATTTTGGTCAACTGTAAACGCAGTTGGATATCTTAATTTGTTATCATCAAAACCTGGTACGGTTCCAATCTGCGTGTTGCCGGCATTAGTAAGGTATCCATCTTCTGAATTGGTGTAAAACGACATTCCCTTATAGCGTCCCATATTTGTTACCTTGTATGGAAAAGTTGTAAGATATTGGAAAATATTTTCTATTATGATTGCAACAGAATTACCATCTGTAACAAATATACTTGTTTGTGATTGAATAGTTTCTACATAGATTGAGGTTGGTGCCTTAAAAAGATAATCAATATTCGAAACTATTCCATTCGAAACTATTCTAATTCTTCTATTTCCAGTATCTGAAATATAGAGAATACCATTATTGTAGAATAAACCATTTGGATTGTTAAGCTGACAATTTATGGCCAAACCTTCTCCATTATATCCAGCAGTTCCATTTCCAGCTACTCTATAAACAGTATCTGAGCTAATATTATAACGAATTACTCTATGATTATTCGAATCTGATATATACAATGATTGATAACTACTATCCATTACCAATGATTGAGGAAAATTCAGTAAAGTCTTGGTTCCTGCCATTCCATCAATGTCCGATAAAAACCCCGCTAATCCGGAATCTGCCCCAACCACTATTTTCAAAGTTTTGGTAGAAATGTCCAATTTCAATACTCGATTTGCATAACTTTCACTCATATAAATATTTCCCTCCAAATCTACAGCAATTCCTCTACATGCTGTCAATAGTTGAGTTTCGGCCATGTAGACGAAACCTTGTCCTAAAGATTGAATTCTTTCAGTATTTGGGGAGAAACCAGCAAAGTTGTGCACATAGTTTTGTTCAATCACTCTAATTTTTTGATTATTTTTTTCTAAAAAGTAAACATTTCCATCAGACGAAACTTCAATACTTGTTGGATTGTAAAGAAAAAATTCAGTATCAAAGTGTTGCATTCCATTTCCTGCAATTGTTGTGATAGAACCATCTGTTGTTATCTTTCTAATACGATTATTTGCAGAATCTGCAAAGTAAACTTCATTATTCGAAACTCTAATGGCCTGTGGATAGTTTAGTTTAGTTTCAGTAGCACGTTTTCCATCTACATCAAACCCACATCCATTGTATCCTGCAATTGTTTCCATTTGTCCATTAAAAACTCTTCTCAATTTGCAATTGAACGTGTCAGCAATATAAATTTCACCTGTAGTATTCGAAACATGGACAGAATGTGGATAATTCAACATGGATAATGTTGCCACACCATCCGAATAACCAGCAGTTCCATTTCCAGCAATTGTCGTAATATTATTCGTAACAAACGAAAGCTTTCGAATAATATGATTTTCTTCTTCAACAAAATACAATTCTCCACCATTTCTCTCAACTACAAATAAACCTCTTGGATTTTTCAAATTTGTTACCAATGCATTTCCATCTCCATTCCAAGAATCAACAAAAGTTCCAGCAACAATTGTTACCTTACTCAACAGATCGGAAGTAAAATTAAAAATTTGCTTTCCAGTCGAAACATAGATCGTATCCAGGGAGCTGCCACTCATTCGTATTGAAGTAATTGCACGGTAGTCATTTCCGTTTCTTGTTGAAATGACAGTTTGACTAGTGACATTTATGGCGGTCAATTGGGAATCGTGAAGAACATAAAGTGTGTCAATGCCATTGAAGGACATGTCAAGGGGTTGATAGAGTTTCAAGTTTCTGGCATGTTGGGATTGTCCAATAAATTTGGAGAGTTTATATTCGAGGGGAAGATTTTGGCCTTGTGTAAAAATTGGCAGCAATAATAAAAATGTCAAAGTCACTACACAAAATATCAGATAATTTGGCAAGTGACAGATGGCGTGTAACATGCTGAATTTTTTTTTGTTGGTTTGGAGTGTGACTCCGCCCTTTCCAGACTGAAATCTTTCAAAGGTTCCAACAAGACACTTCAATCTCTTTAAGCTTCTAAAAAGAGAAATTAATCGAATTTGTAATTTCACAAAAAATTCAAAAAAAATGAAATGATCGTTGGTGGCGCCTTAAAAGGTCTCGGAATGATTTTTCCCGCCAATTTGGAGCATATCGTAAATGAGGAGAATGAAGAGGAATTTATTTTGATTCGGAAGGGATTTGATAATAGAAAACAAGTTGCTTTAATTTCTGGTTAGTAACATATTCATTTGTTGGATTTGGATATATAAATTGGTGATACTATTTAATTTTATTATTTGATGATTTGATGAATTTAATTTGATTTTAATATTATTGATGGTGATGAACAAATATGAAAAGGAGGAGGATCTGGACATTCACCATCACATGAAGGATTTGTTGCAAAAGGAATGCTCACAGCTGCTGTTTTGGGAGCTGTTTTTACTTCTCCGAGTGTTTTGCAAATCTTCAAGGCAATCACTGCTGTTACAAGCAGGAGACGAGTTGATGAAGAAGGAAAGGGATGCTTGTTGATTGTGAAGAATTATACAGGAGATATATTGAATTTTAGATTGGCTAGAGAAATGGCCATTCAAGATGGATATAATGTGGAGATGATTATTGTGGGAGATGGTATGTTGTTTGAATATATATGTGAAGATTGTAAAGTTTTTGAATGATTAGATGTTACTCATCAGAGAGGAGTTGCTGGAACTGTTTTTATTCATAAATTGTGTGGAGCTATGGCTGAGAGAGGTGATTCATTGAGTGAGATTTTTGAGTTTATGAAATCAAAATTAAAAATCACATCGGAACAAGTATTGAATAATGGAAATGAATCATTTATTAGGAGTATTGGAATTGGATTGAATAGTATTTCAATGCCAGGTAATTCGGAACCACTCTATGAATTGAGTGACAGCGATCCTGTCTATGAGCTCGGCTTGGGAATTCATGGAGAGAAGGGCGTTTGCAGACTTACATTTTCTCCAACTAATCCAGTCACTGAAATTTCCAACACAATGATTGAACATTTATTACCAAAGGAATTCAGTGCCGAGAATCTCAAATTTGCTCTCATGATTAATAATTTAGGATCTACCACCTTGTTGGAAATGTACAATATTGCAAGGGTGGTAATTACCTTATTGGAAAATCAAAACATTTCTATTGAGAGAGTGTATGTTGGAACATTCATGACTGCTCTGAATATGCATGGATTCTCTCTCAGCTTGCTTAATTTAGCTCAAAACTCTGAACAATTATTAGAACTCTTGGACACTCCAACAGAGTCAATGTTTTGGCCAACTAGTTTGAATCTCTCCAAAAAATCAAACAATTCTTCGAGAACTAGTCACTCAACTGGAGGTATTAAACTGTCCCCTCAAATAGGAATAACAGCCACAACAAAATCCATCATATCTACTGAGGAAAATTCACAAGTAGAAAAATTCCTCTCACTCACAGGGGTCGTTTGTGATTTTATCTTGACAAGAATTAAAGAATATAATTCTTTGGACAGTGAAGTTGGAGATGGGGATTGCGGGAGTGCCATTGAAAGGTATGTACAAAATATCACATTATGTAATTATATAATTTATAACTATTTTATATATTTGGAATATTTTAGAGCTTGTGAATCAATTCAACAACACATCCTCAAAAAACAAGATTTGAAAATGACACTTGCCGAATTGGTTTATCAAATTGGAATTTGTGTTCAAAATAGTGGAGGTAGTTCAGGAGCTATTATTTCCATGTTCTTTTTAAGATATTCCAAATCATTGAAAACGAATTCATTCGATCACAAGAAGGCATTCATTGAGGGAGTGCACGGAATGATGGAATTGGGTGATTCAAAGAAGGGAGACAGAACAATGCTCGATACTCTCATTCCAGTCAGTGAATATTTACAGGAACAAGAAGAATCTATCGATGTGGAAACCATTGTTAAAGTTGCAAATGAAGGAATGGATAGTACAAAATCAATGCTTGCCAAAAGGGGTAGATCTCGTTATCTTGGAGACAGAGTTTTAGGATTCTTAGATCCTGGTGCACTTTGCATGTTTGATATTGTCAAAATTTGGTCATTGTGGATGTTAGATAAATCACGGGTGGCTAACTCTAGCGATTTTTTTCGTGAAGTCTCCGACCCACGAGTTTTTTTTGCCACAGTAAATATTACAAGTTGTACTATTTGAACCAATATACAATCAATAAATGTTTTGAAAATGTAAATAATCATATTTAAAGACTAGACTCTATCGTTTACCTGTTGACGAAAAATCTTGGGGTTTTATCAACCCCTAATAAAGAATTTGATGTGTGCAACAATCATAAAAATAAATATAACCATAAAAGGTATTGAAAAATGACTAACCGAGCTCAAAATCAAATATAACGAGTTTTATTCGAAATACTAATACAAAAATTGGTAAGTACCTTTCTTCTTACTTCAATAACGAAATGTAAAATTTTGAATTAAATATCTTGAGAGTTGATGATTTGAGAAGGTTGCGGTTCAATTTCAATTTCCTCAAATAAGCAATTATTGCACCATCTTTCAAATTTAACACATGAATCACAAATAAGAGATCCACAATCATGACATCTACGTACTGACTGAGTTCTGAAGTGACATGATTCACAGACAAATTGAGGGAAATGAGTGGAACAATTTTTACAAACTCCTTGAAATTCACATAAATTACAAATCTCCACTCCACATTGATTACACTCATCAAGTGATTTTGTGTATCCTAAACAAATGTGGCATGGATAAATTGGATAGAAAAGTTCTGTAAAACAATCTATGCAATATAATTGATGCCAACATGAATCACAAAACAACCTGAAACAATCACCACACTTATTAATTCCTCTCTCATGTCTACAATAGTTGCAACCTTGTTGTTCACAAATATCTGGATCACATTTACAAGTATTTGGAAAGCAATATCGTTCATTCTTCTTACAGGAGCATTTAAGGTTTGAGCAACTGGTTGTACAACGGCATCCTGTTACCTTAGTAAGCTTGGATTCTGAATTTGATTTCTTTCTTTTTTTCTCAATATTTGAGGTTTTAGAGAATTCTTGAATATTCGAAATGGCTGTGTTAACATCATCAAAAAATTTGTTTAAAATATTAAATAATCCAATTACATCAAAGAATGCACAATGACAATCCGCAACATTTCCCACTTGGAAATGTTCAATTAACATTTCTTCTTTGAATGCAGTTCTTCCACTACTCTCTTTTTTTGGTAATTTGTGATGTAGATCTTTGTGGCTTTTCATTAATTTCAAGGAATCTACGAAAACTATATTTTCAAACTTTGATTCTCTTTTCGGATAAAACTCTTTCTTAAATACTTTGAAATCAAGTATCTCACCATTGTGCGCAATTAAGAAAGTTTTCCCTTTAGTATTACTAATAAAATCAATAATAAAATCAAGCTCCTTTTCAATGATTGGTTTGTCTCTTACATAATTCAAATTGATTCCAGTAATCTTTGTTGAATGATATGAAATTGATTTTGTTGGATTTACTAATCCATAAATTGATTCACCTGTTGCCATATTTAAAAAGCAATATTCTGTTATTTTTGGTGGATCATCATTTGTCCAAAATCCTGTTGTTTCAAAATCAAACAGAATATATTTGTCATCTCCAAAATCATGTTGAAATGGAAGACCCTTATTGTGTGTGTACAAATCATCATTGAATAAAATTCTGGAAGCTCGTGGGATTGGTTCTGAAGGTCTAATTTTTTGATCTACTATTGATTTATCAACAGTATTTGTAATAAGTGTTAATAAATTATCACTGTCCAATAGGTTGGAAGAATCTGACTGTTTGATTGATTTCAATAAAGCTTCAATCATTGACTGCTTTCCCTCTGAAAATGAATAATTATGAACGTTCATTACATGTTTCAAAAATGATTTCAATCTCACAAAAGGTTGATTACATTCTTTACAAAGAATGTAAATATTATTCATGATGTTTTTTGAGTCAATGTTCGGTGGATTTTTACACATGAATTCTCGTATGAGCATAGTGTTTCTTTGAGGTTCAAATCCTTCTACAGCATCCAATATATAATCGAACATTTCAGTAAAACTATTTTCTTTCTCTAATATTTGATCTTCTTCTTCCTCTGTAAGTTTTTTCTTATTCTTCTTCTTATACTTCTTTCTAGTTAATTCCTCATACTCCAATTCCAAATCTATTTTTCCATAACAATTCGAATAACTCTCATTTCTCAAAACAAATGGTCCGTCACTTAGTTTTGCTTTTAACACTAACCAAACAGATCTATAACAGGAACAATAATCCATAAATGTTGGATATCTAATTTTGGATCTAACAATGCTGAAACAATGTTCTACCATTAATGTAGATAAGCTACAAGTACATAGCTCAATTGTTGGAAATCTTGTCTTAAGCTCCTTTAAGGATTTTAATGTAATTATAATATGATCAAATAATTCATTATTTAAAGAAATATCGTTTGATTTTTGCCATGGATTAATAAATTGAAAAACAGAGTCTAACAGAATCTCTTTTGCTTCCCAACAATAATCATTTTTGAAAATATAATAAATATCCTGCATTAGTTTTAAATATTTAGAGACTGTTTGACAAGTAGTATTTTTTGATTTGGCCAAACCATCAATTAAATTAGTTTCTAATAATGCAAATACGGGATCCATAGCCATTTTGTCAGTAGGATAAATCACAGAATTAGGTAGCCAATCAGTTAAATTTGATTCAGATTTGGCAATCAATAACGTCTCAATTGAAAATGAAATGCCATCTATAGTCATGGTTTCATTTAGTAATCTATTTCGTAATCGTTTTAGTAGATGAGAGTAATCAAAGAAGTGAACAGTATTGGGAAATATTTTTTGTGTTTGGAAAAATGTTAAATTTCCAGTCAATCCATCGCTACTGAAACCTACAACTTGGAAAGAATAATTATTTAACTGAATTCTTTCAAACTGTTCCTTAATCTTTTTTACTTGATCTTCCAAAAAATCTGCATGACTTGATTTTGTACAACCTGCAAACATTAAAGGGAAAGAAACACTTCCATCAATTGTAGTAGCAAAGAATTGGCAAATGTGAGAAGCAATTTGGGAAGGTACAATTTCTTCTTTAGATTTGTATAGCTGATCAAAATCTTTTTCATTATAATCTGCAAATCCTATAACTTTTCCAGAATCTTTAAGAACACATAACCCTCCTCTTATTTCTATTTCATCATATGAAATTATTATATTATTCGTAACTTTCTTTTTCTGTATAGATTTCAATAAAGATTGCAAATCTAAATCAGAGGTTTGCCCTGTAGATAATTTGGGAAGATAAGATTTCACTGTTGCTAGAGATGGAAGTAATAAATTCACTTCATCAAGGGCTGTTTGAGAATTCAAAGCTGAGCCATTTCCTTTCAATATTTTCCATATTTTTGATCCACCAAAATATCTTAAAATTAGACACCAATGAATAATAGATTCCTTATACTGATATCCTCTTGACTTATTATAATTAGTGATATTTTCCAAAGTATTTTCCATTAATTGGTAGAAAAATTGTTGTTCATGCAGTTTTTCATCTTCAATAGCAGCAATCACCAATTTTACAAGTTTGTGATGATGAATTTTGGATAGTTTTTCCTCTAATGAATCCAATTTTTCTTCCCGTCTTGTTAACATAGATTTTAATTGAGATACTTTCTTTCTTAATTTCTCTATTTGATCTTTTTGTTTGATTAATTTTTCGTCAGAGTTGTTTGATTTAGTGGTTGTCATATGTCGCAATTTTTCATATAATTGATAACAATCTGTGCAAACTCCATTCCGATTTAAATTAATATTTCCACATTTCAATGATTTGAAAATGAAATTTCCATTATCATTAAATGATACAATTCCTACTTCATTGTTTCGTTTGTCACAAACTTTTCCATCATAATTTAATAAATTCCATACTTTTTCCACAGCAACTCCTTTACATGTAGTATTATTATTTTTACAGTTAGCACATGATCGTGTATCAGCATGTTTACATTTCCCCATGCCTTCTTTAATTTCCGAAAATCCTTTTTCTGAATTATATTCAACTTTGATCGTTTCATCATTTGCCAATTTTTCAACAAATCTTATTAGCTTCTGATAATGACTGTGACATAAACGTGACGTTTTTTTGTTGATTATTATATTATCAGGAACATTTCTTGTGCCAGGCTGTTTACAACAACAACAACTTGTACGTTGTTTTCTTCATGACATTTTTTTGTTTTTTACTCAAAAAAATGTCATGAAGACCCAACACAGCCGGAGTTCTTTACCTAGGATGTTCAAGCCAAGTATTATTCTCAAGAAACTAGAACCAATTCATAAATTAAATATTTAATTAGATTACTAGTAATAACCCGCCAGGTTCATACAATGAATAAACATTTAAATTTTTTTATTTTTTAACGGAATTAATTTGCTTTGATGAAAATATAATGGAGACTGTTGGTATGTTTCATGCAAAGTTCCACGTTGGTCAAATAATTATTAACATCAACAAGTAGTAGAAAACAGTAGGTTTTAAATTATTGGATTAGTTTTTTGACCAACGTGGAACTTTACATGAACGAGGGCACACTTTGAAGATTATTTTTCTGTGGCTTTATGTTATTCTTGTAATATATCTACAGACTCGGAAAGTTGCCAAGCAATAAATAAACAATACTAGTACTCATATGTTCAAAAGAATGACAAAGATCAACTTTAGATGTATTATAAATCGATTTAAAAGTTGAAAATTATTTATTGATGAGCAACAACAAATTCCAATTTTATTTAAAAACTCGTGGGACACAAATGCTCGATTGCCTGAGCCAAAAATGACCCATAGTTAGCCACCCGTGAGATAAATGATTGAGTTTTGTGAAACAGCTCATCAACGGAAATTGGTTGTATCCAATTAATTTTCAAAAAAGAAATCCATTATCTTACTGTAATCAATTATTACAATCTAAAATTGATTACAAGTAGCATCTGATACCAACACCATTATAACCAAACTGTTGAAACTTGACGAAACTTTTTCATCTTTAAAAAAAATGAAAAGATTCATTGGTGGTTTATTTCTCGTACTAATCTTTGCCACTGTTGCCATGTGTGCCAGCAGTGATGCATTCGACACCTTGAGTGATTACATCTCTCTCGCAGACTCCCTCAGAGGAGGTGGTTCTTCAGGAGGTGGAGGTGGCAGAGGAGGTGGATCCGGTGGTGGTGGCAGAGGAGGAGGTAGCTCTGGAAGTAGAGGAGGATCCAGCAGAGGAGGAAGTAGCTCTGGAAGATCAAGCACTGGAGGTAGATCAAGTACTGGTGGTAGATCAAGAAGTACTGGAGGAAGAGTTTCTGGACCTGGTCGTTCACCAACTGGACCTTCTAGATCAATTGGTGCAACTAAAGGTGGAAGAGTTGGAGGAAGAGTTGGTGGAAGAGTTTCTGGACCAGGTAGATCACCAACTGGACCTGCCAGATCAAGAGTTGGAAGAGTTTCTGGACCAGGACGTGCTCCAACATCTGTTTCCATTCAAAGAAATGCCATTCAAAGTAGAATTAATGCTGCATTTGCTGGATTGAGTAAGGTTTCTACCAATCCTGCCTTGTCAGCTGCTCTTTCTAGATATGCCTCAATGAAAGCTGCTTCCTTGAAAGCTCCTTCAGTAACTAGTGCATTATTCTCCAAGACTCCATTGGGTCCAGTGAGTACTTTCTCAAAGGTCAACCCATCCTTGCCAACCAACAAGTTCACTAAACCTGCAACTGTTGCCAATGTTCCTATTCCACAACCTCGTCCTGCCAATTTGGCCAAACCAGCAACTCAAACTGTTGCTGCTACTACCAGTGTCAAGAATCCAATTAATCCTGCTGGTGTCCAAAGAGTTGCTCGTAGTAAGCAACTTACTGGACCACAAGTAGCTCAAAAAGCAATTAAGGAATTAGCTGCTGCTGGTGTTACTTTATCAGCCGATCCAAAACAAAGAATTGCTCAAATTGCTGACCAAATGGCCAACCCAGGATCATTACACAAATGTGCTGGTTATGTTGCTGCTGCTGTTGAAGCTGCTACAGGAGTCTCTCTCAGCAGACCTGCCTCAGCTGAAGCTAAGGATTACGGAACTACCATGGCCAAGGCTGGAATGAAGTCAATTCCAAATAATAGCACTCCACAAATTGGTGATGTCAGAGTGATTGGACCATCTCCAACCAATGCCAAGTACAGTATTGGTCATATGGAGACCTATACTGGACCAAAGAGTGGATGGGTTTCTGATTATGCTCAAGGAGTATCTGCTGTTGATAATCCAAAGAGTGCTTATCATGGAGCTTCTGTTTCTACCTATCGTTTCTAATTTTTATTTGATAATAAATATATTGATTTAGGTAAATAATAACTTGCTTATTCACACAATTCTTTTCAATCCAATTTGGAATATTTCAATTTCACTGGTTGCTCAAGTCATACCTCTTTTGATTCCTAATTGGAGAGTGATACGTAATATTAATATTGAAAACTTTTACAACGACATCATCAAAATAATTCAAAAAAAATGTCTTCACTGCTAACAAGCAAACAAATTTCTCAACTTGTTTCTCTCCCAGGCAACAATAAATGTGCCGATTGCCAAGCACCAAATCCCCGATTTGCCGATATTAAACAATTCACACTTTCGTGTATTTCATGTGCAGGAATTAAACGAACCAAGATTGGAACACATGTTTGTCAGTTGAGAGTTGTTGGACTGGATACTTGGAAAGAAGAACACTTTAATGCAATGATTGAACAAGGAGGAAATGATGCAGTGAATCGAATTTTGGAAGCCGAATTGAAAGATCAAGATAGGAAGGAAGAAATGAAGGATATGACACGTTTTATTCGTGCAAAGTATGAAGAGATGCGATGGAAGGGATGTAAAGCATTGAATGAGGTGTTTATGAAGAGCTACTGGTGTAATTTGAAGGAATTATTGGAAAGGAATGGAGCAGTTGGTAGTATTGAAATAGTTTTGAAGAGTGTAAATTCGAATGATTGTGTGAGAGTTAAACAAGGTCAGAAAATGTATGAAATTAATTTGAGAGATTTTACAATGGAACAGATAGAGAATTCAACCGATAGCTCAATTGAATTGAGTTTAAACTCTTATCAATCAATTGACAAACCAATCTATCAAGCAATGATTGATCAGTCAGACGAAATTTCAATATTTAGTAATGGAAGAGGATTTTTCAAACGTTCAGGGACGAGATTGTTTGATTTTAATTTAGAAAATGATTTTATTTTACAAATTATTTCTACAATTAATGGAATTTTTGTAATTGACAGGAATTTGAAAGTTTACAAATATTATTTCTTGAAAATTTGTGAAAATGAAAAGTTTACAAATGGAATTACTCTTCAAAAATGCGAGAGAGATGAAACTCCATGTGGATTGACCTATTTTAAATCATTCATTTCAAGAATTTATCCTAATTTGTATAAATTCATTGAAAATGATAATTTGTTAACAAATGAGGAAATTGGAACGCTAAATATTATATTCAACATGTTACTATATGATAATTATGATATTAATGGCATTGATTTATTTTCATTAGCTTGTATTATTAATAATTCAACCCCAGATTTGGATTTTTTTATGGAAAAACTTGAGTTTTTAACATTTAAAGATATGAATGGAATACAAACTGTTATTGAAAAGGTTAAGAATTATATTGGTGAAAATTCTACTAGATCAGTATCATTTCTTAAATTATATTTATTTAAATGTTTACAATTTATTTCCAATTATGGAAATGTTAATAATATCAAGATTTACTTACCATTCAATTATAGTTTGAAACCTAAATCGAAAGAAAACTTGACATGTCTATTTAATTGTCAAAAAAGTAGTGATATTACTATAAAAATAGAAAATGAATTATTTTATTTGCATCGAACAGTATTAACAAGTAAATCTTCAGTATTTAAAATAATTTTGGACGAAAATAGTAAATTTAATGATGTGAAAAATAATATTTTGGAAATTGATTGTGAAATATTTAAAAATTCCAAAAATGGAAATGTTCCAAATTTAATGGTTAAATGCTTTACAATACTATTTAACTATTTTTATGATTTTGAAATTGATTTATCAAAATTTAACTTTTATCTAATGTCTACATTATTAGAAATGTCTCAATTTTATCAACTCGATCAATTCCATGATAAAATCAACAATGAATTGAAATTTTTTCGATTTTGAAAATAAATTTTGAATTTCTAATAAAAATTAAAATCTTTCTAATTTTTATTTGTAAGTAGATTCGAATATTCTTCTTATTATTTTTGTTGGAATGTTCAGTTTGGTAAAATTAGTTTCTAATAGAAAGAAATTTCATTGGAAACAAAACTGATCTAATCATTCCACATTGTAAAAACCAACAATATTAAAATAAACTGTCAACTCCGTGCCAACTTTCCATTTTCCTTCAACAAGAAATAGGAGTTTTCTTTCCGAAACTCACCGAAACTTCAAAAAAAAATGGCCAAACACCATCTCATCATTGGAACCCTTCTCCTGATAACCTTCTTGCTATTCGAAAGTAGCATCCTCGCCCAAACCTGTTCCATTACCCTCTCCGATGGTACTTCAATTGATGTTTCCAAATTGGATACCACAAATGGCTATGTTTCGAATGATGACAAGGATCCAAACTATAAATTCTACTTGTATGTTGTTATTAGTTTAAATTAGACCAATTTGTGTGTTAAATAATTTATCATGTTAATGATGAAATTGATGTTCCTTTCGAATATTGTGAAAAAAAAATCTTGAAAAAAATCTTTATTCGAAACTATAGTAATATTTGTGGAGGATTGAAGAAACCATCTGATGTGTGTCTTGTTGATGGTCAAGCATTCCAATATTCAAATGATATCAATCTTTGCTATCCAATTTCAAAGCCAAATACTCCAACCGTTACCTTGTTAAATCCAGCAGATGAAAAGGCAGGTGTCAAAGTTGTCCATCAACCTGTCTCAATGGATAGAACTTCCAGACAATTATCTTTGGAAATTTCATGTGATGTTAATGGTCCAGCTGCTCCATCATTCAAATACATGAAAGAACAAATCAATGGTGGAATTATTGTCTACTCTTTCAGTGGTTCAACCAAGTCAATTTGTCCAGGTGTCAAACCAGATCCAAATAATCCAACCAATGACAGTGATTTACCATTGGGTCAATATGGTATTGGAGGTTTAATAATGACCTTGGCATTGGTCGCCTTGATTTTATATTTCATTATTGGATTTGCAATTTTAAAGTTCAAAATGCAAAAGACTGGAACTGAAGTTATTCCACAATTTACATTCTGGAAGGATTTGCCATTCCTTTTCATTGATGGTATCATGTTACCTGTTGATTTAATTAAGGGATGTATGGGAAAGAAGAATTATCAAGAAATGGCTTAGTTTTTTTCATCATTAAAAAAGAATAAATGTAATTCTATCTAAATACTTGATTGACTGACATCTGTACTGGAGTGAGTTTTGAGAAGATAACGTTTTTACATTCTGAAATTGCAATTTTTATTGTAAACTATTTTTCAAAAAAAATGAAACCACAGAAGGAAGCGATTTGGTCGCTCAAACTCGATGAAATTTTTAGTTGCTACTCGCCACGTGATCTTCCCGATGCCATTCGTAATTATTTCGAAGAGGATTGTGATGAAATTTATTTGGAAATTGGAAATTCTTCTGCTGGATTGAAGCACATCATGGAAAGACATGAAAATCAATTTATAATTCCAAAATTGAGGAAATTGAATGATGAGAAGGGAGGTGATGATGATGATATTGAGAGGAGTATGAGTTCTTGTTCATCATCCGAAGGTTTGGAAATTGATTTTACAAATAATATTAATGATGATCGGAATGAAAATATTGAAAATAAAGAAATGGAAAATATGAAAAATTGTAATGAGAATGATACTGATTCAATACCATCATTGGAAAGGAATTATCAACTAGTTTCTGAATACATCTACAATATTATGAAAAGAGCAGATTATTACTATTATGGATATAAAATTCTGCCAGGAAAGAAAATTCCAGAACGTGTAACTCTTGCCTTGCTATATCAATTGGATTTTAATAAGTTTTTGAGGGTTTCAATGGGAACGAATGGTTTCATTGTGACTGCAGTGCCTCAAAGTATCAATAATTATGTTCACACTTCATTGTGTTGAAAAAGTATTTCACAATTTCATCTTTAGAGAACTATATGAAATGCAAGACTAAGGACTCACTATTTAACCAACTAGATTTGACAAGATTATGAAATATATCATTTGTAACATTATCAATAATCAAGATGATACAATAATTTTGAAACCATTTTCACACACTCTTCTTTGATTAGGAAATCAAAAAAAAAAATGACTAGAAAACAAAGCAAAAGTCATCATCAAACTCTCAGCAACAACACCAACATACAACAACATCAAAGGCTTCTGGTTCTTCTCCTGCTTTGGAAGGAAAGGAAAAGAAGAGAAATTCGGATCCGCCTCCTCCGAATGATCAAGTTGTTGCTCAGCAAATTGTTGTTGAACAATCATCATCGGATGAGAAAGAAAAGAAGAAGAATTTGGAAGAAGAAATTCCAGAAGTTGTCTATCAAGATGGAGAACAGGATGCTCTTGATCGATCACAGGAAATTGAAGTTTTACAATCAATTTATGGAGAAGATTTTGCTATGATTGATGCAGAACAATGTTTTGAAATTACAATTAGAGGAAAATTAAATTTTGAATTACCAAGTGATTCGGATATTGCTAATAATCACTTTTCAATTTCGGAAATTCCTTTCAAATTGAGTCATGTTGGTTTGAAGCTTTGGGTCAAGTATGTGAATGGTTATCCATCTCAAACTCTTCCCAAGTTTAAATGTATTCCCTTGATAGATTTGAATAGAATTATGAGTTTGGTAAGAAGTGCTTCTCAAGTTCATGCTCAATTGTCTTTGAAAAGTCAAATGCAAGAGGAGGAAATTGAAAGCATTTATGCAAAAATTAGAGCCAAATCAAGTGAATTATTAGGATATGCGATGGTGTATTCTTTCATTCAGGAAATTGAGGAATATTTGGAGAGTAATAATGTATCTGTCTCTCTTGCTGAGGAACAATTCCAATTCCAACAGAAGGAAAAGAAGATTATCAAAACATCTGTCGTATTGACAATGATTGGAGATGCTGCTCTCACATCAGACAATGTTCTCAACGTGGAAACAAGTGCCAAGTACAAAAACAAGGAGAATCACGAGGAGGAAGATAGGAAGAAGAAAGGCTGCACTAAAAATAATGCCGTATGGGAAAATATTCAATACTTTAAGGCAAAGAATAGAATTTCCATCGAGAGTTATGTCAAGGTTGAGGCCTCGTATAGCAAGAATAGCATTAGTTCAAACTTTTGGCTAAATAGATATGGCCATGCTGTGGCTAGTAACGGTAATCACTTGTGGTTTAGTTTTGGTGGTATTCATGAAGGAAGGGTGACTGCTGATTTGATTTCGTTCAATGATTCAGGAATAGCCAAACCTGCCCTTCTTAAGGAAACCATTAATCCAAGAATTTTCCACACATTCACCTACATTGTTACTGCAGAAATATTTGTTATCTTGGGGGGCATGTCTGAGAATCGTGACTATTATTCGGATGCATATCTCATTGACTGCCAATTCAATCATCCTAACGTACAAAGATTGCCCGTATTTCCATCCAAGATTGCTGGACATTCAGCAACCAATTTTGAAGACAAGCTCTACGTGTTTGGCGGATTTTCTGGAGATACTTATTCTAACCACCTGTACAGTTTAACACTCAGAAAGCCAAAAATTGGAAATGCTCCAAGTAATTCTTGGATTAGAATTGACGCACCTAATGGACCTTCTCGCAGATGCGGATGTAGTTCAGTCGTTTTCAGAGATATTTTGTATGTATACGGAGGAAACAATAAGGGAGCCTTTCTCGATGATTTGTATGCCTTTGATTTGAACTTGAAATATTGGACCAAAATTGTCACTTTTGGAACTAGCACTGCACTTTCACATGCTCAATTATTTGCCACTGCCAATAATACACTCACTCTTATTGGTGGTATTTATGTATACCGTAATTGGAATACTACAGTATTGGAGTTTTCTATTGACAGTTCCACTTGGAGTGCTTTAAAATGTGAACAGACCAAGAAATTTAACGACAGAACTGCCCTCTGTAGTGTTTTACAAGATAATCAAAATTTTATCTACACTGGAGGTATTAAGAATTTGGGTTTTACTTCCCTTGCCAAAATTTCACAATCTAACCCAATCATGGCAAAGGAAATGCCAGAAAAGGTTGATTCCGTAAGAAAGATGGTTAAACGATACGTTGGAGGATTAGAATATACCAGAACCTTATTCGACGTATATTATGACATGATTACCTCCCAAATTGAAAATAATTCTGACCTTATTATTAATTACTATGAAAAGGATGAGAATGGATGCACTGATCACCGTAAAATCTTTGCTCACCAATACGTTGTAATTTCAAATCCAGTTTTAAGAAGATTATTGGCCATTCAAAATGTTAGAGATCACTTGAATCAACAAGATTATCAATATAGTATGGAGGCTGATGAGGAAAATGTGCTCTCATTTAAAAATGTATATATAGACATTCAAACATTCAAAGGTTTTGAAGATTTGACTTTTAATGGTATTATGGGTTGCTTACAATTTGTGTATTCATACTCGTTTGACCCTGAATTAGTAAGAACAGATAAGGAATGCTTAGAGCTCTATCAAGCTGCCAAGAAATTCAAATTAACATTATTGTGTGAAATGTTGTGTAACTCTATCACTGCCGATTCTCTCCAATTGACCATTGGTGATTTCATTGAACAATCAATGCAAGAATTCTTAAAACCTGCAGCTGTTGGACCAGAAGAACAATACTTTTTGAATACTGCCAATGAATTTGAAACATTTTCATCAGAACAAACCAAAGACACTCCATATGTTAGAATTATTGCTCCTGATCTTTATAGCAAGTTGAATTTGGAGAGAGCAAGATACATCAAGTCCATGAATGAAGAATCTTTGGAAGAATCAGCTATTCCAGAGGAAATGCCAGAAGTGGAATCATTTGATGAGGAATTATTTGAGGAAATTGATAGTGCAAAGGGAGAAGGATTCAATTGGATGACTGATGTTCCAAAATCAGCCGATGATTTACCAGAACTTGAATGGAAGTACATTATTGTTCACAAGAGTATTTTAGTATATAGATCCAAGTTCTTCCGTACAATGTTTAACATGGATTTCTCAGAGAGTAAGACTAATGAAATTAGATTGAATGATACCTCAATGCAATCTATTGAAGCAATTCTATATTGGATGTATTCTGGAAAGTTCCCAACCATCTTGTCAGAAAATGCCATTGAACTATTCGTTGCTGCAAGTCAGTATGATTTGCCAGAGGTGAGAGATTGGGCCAGATCTTTTATTGAAAAGTTTATTGATGTTAATAATGTGATTACTGTTTTGGATATTGCAGACATGATTGGTGATGTTAGTTTGAAACGTTTCTGTATCTATTTTATTGCCAATAGATTAGATATCATTTGCAGAGATCCACTCTTTAATGAAATTCCACATAATACCAGATTTGAAATTAGATCACTCAACAGTAAGATTAATAGAAAAAAGGTTAAAAAGTAAACTGTTAGTTGTGTGGATTATTTAATTAGTGGATTCCCTTTGTAATCTTTTGTTTAGGACCCATTTCGTAATAGTGAAGAAGAAATGCAATTCAGAAGGATGTAGTAGCACAGTTAAATCCCCTATTTCAATTCTATCAAACCAAGTAAGCTGTATTTACGAACCAATTGTAAAACTGTAAATGTAATGAATATAGTTAATGGAAAGTTCATTGTTTTCTAAAAGGTTACGCCCACAATTAATATTTTCATGTAGATCTCTTTGTCAACTGTGTAACCTTTCAAACTGACTTTTATAATCCAGCTCTAAATATGATTGGCTATTAAATATCAAAAAAAATGGCAAAAACAATCTTTCCTCTCCTCGATTTACACGAGGACTTCAAGTTCCTATCTGTCAAACAAATACCAACACTTCTCCTACTAAACAAATCCACTCACGGTCAATTGGTACAATCAGAAAGATTTTGGAAAGGAGCTGCCTTTAACTATGCAAGAGCATTCTCTCTCGAATTACCAGTAGAAGATTTATCAACCGCAGATTTGCCTCAATCTTTAAGAGGACTAATTGAGGAAAAACAATCAAAAATCCACATACTCCAACAAGAAATTCATGCCGCCGAAAGTAAGGCAAGTACCTACAGGGCACAAGCAGCTAAGATTAAAGGACAAACACCAAGTGCAATGAATCTTTTTATAACAAAAACTTATGAATCTGAGACGAAGGAATTGGAGATGCATTTGAAGGAATTGAAGAAAAATGTTCAAGATTTGACATTGGAAGAGTGAACTTTTCTCTTGTTGCATATTATTCTATAATGAACTGATTTTCCAATTAAGGTATTCTTTTTAAGAGATTTAAACATGCTTGAATGGAAGGACATATTGACTTGGATCCATATTTTGAATATTATTCTTTACACCATTTGGGTATTACGCTAATACATCATTATTCCTCAATATATATTCTTGTAATTTCTCCAATAAATTGCATTTTCATACAAGTTCATTTAGTTCAACTTGATAACACTTGTAAAACCTTGTCAATACAAACGTCTCTATTCAAGATACTGGCATGATCTCCCTTCACATAAACCAACTCTGTATGAGGTGAATCCTTCAAATGAAGAGGGATTGAAGCTGTCTGTTCATCTACAGTGAGAACCAAATCAGAGAAGAGAGATGGTTCATTTTGTTGGAATTCTGTCATCGAAGTGACAATATTGGTCATTCTAACCTTATTACTTAAAACAGAATCTTGTGCCCACCAAAATGATTTGGCAAATACTTCATCCCATCCATCACTTTCAACATGATTCATAAATTGTTCCACAATGGTTGGTTCCTCTGGATAACTTCTCAAAACCTTAGCCATAGGATGAAGAAATTTCAAATCTCTTGCCAATTTTACTCTACCACTCAACAGAGGAGAAATTTGAATCAATTTCAGAGCATCCTGTTTCAGTAAATTATCACAAATATTGCCATCATTGATATCTAAATTATTTTGTACATTATTGACCAAAAAGTTTCTGACAATCATACTCCCCATCGAATGGGTTACAAAGTGAAAACTTTCATCTTCATTACTAATCTCATCACTTGTTTCTTGTTGCTGTTGTTCCTTAACATAATTTGAATACCATACAGAAGCACTTCTCGACAAGACATGATCTCTGCTCTGTCGATGCTCATTCAAAAAGTCATACAATCCACTCGATGATCTTTCTATTGATTGTCTATAGGAAGGATACCAATAATTTAAAACTCTGAATTTTCCACTCTCAATAAGCTTCTTTTCAATAAAGAAGAATTGAGAGGCAAAGCCAAAACAACCATGACATAATACAACAGTGGTTCTTTGATTATTTGTAATGTTGGACATTGGATGAGAAATTGTGGTTCCGGAACCTTCTTCTTGATGATGGAAAGATAATGTTGAGAAGGTTCTTCCTTTGAGGTGATGATGAACATTCATAAAAGACCAATGTCCAATATTATTACTACTATTAAAATCAATCAAAATCTTTTCGCTTCTTCTTCCGACAAGTCCTCCCACACTATTTAATCTCTTCATATTTTTTTCTAATTATTATTTAAATTATTATTAATATTATTAATAATCTTTAACAGCTTACCAATATAATATTGTTTCCGCATCATCATCATAGATAATGATTATTTTGATTAAAATTAATTCTTCATCATCGGGCGTTTTTTAAAAAGTTTTGGAAAATTTTTCAAGGCTTTGAAGTTTCTTTCAAATTTTCTTCCGTTTGAATTGCAACGAATTTCTTAGGAGCGTAAAAAAATGCGTCAACCACTCGAAAATACCACAAGGCTTTCATTTCATAGTAATATCATTAATAATAACAATAATATTTGCCGGCTAGTAGTGGTGGTGCTGATAGCAATAATTGTTGTTGGCTTTTTTGGCTCATCATCTTTGGTAAATGCTATTAATCAACAAGAAGAAGAATATAAAACTCTGGATAATCTTCCATCATTTAGCAAGTTGAAGAATTTGACAGTGTCGGGATTTGGTGCTGGAGCTTCTATGGCTATCATGATGCAAGTTGCTCACTCACAAAAGGTTGGAGGTGTTGCTTCGTTTTCAGGCCTTCCATATTATTGTGTGAAGAATAACATGTCTCGTTTGGAAACTTGTTTTAAACATACTGAGAAAATTCCAATGTCTGAATTTATGGAAATGTTCGACAAGTTTATTTATTTCAATTTGATTGATAATTTGGATCATCTTCCTTCCCACAAGATTTATTTGCAAAGTGGAAGTAAGGATAAGAGTTTGACTCAACAAGCAGCTTTGAAATCTAAGGAAATGTATGAAACTTTGGGTGTTCCAAAGGGAAATATCAAGACTGTTCTTGATATTCCATCCGGTCACTCTATGGTCTCTGTTGATTATGCTAATGCCGAAAAGAATCAATGTGGAGAGAAAATCAAGGAACCATACATTCAAAATTGTGGATTTGATTTAGTAGGAGATGCTCTCAAATTTGTCATTGGTGAAGATAATTTTGTTAATGAGGCCAATTTTGTTGCCAGTGCCGAGAATGTAAGTTTTTCATATTTAAACTTGAATTTCATGATAACACAATGATAGCTCTTTAAAATTGACCAAAGACCATTCGATTCTGAAAGACACTTGATGGGAGATTTTGGATACATTTACATTCCATCAGCTTGTCAAAAGGATGAAACTAAATGCAAACATATTGTAAGTTGAATTGCAAATGATTAATCATTAATTCACTATATTATAGCACGTTGCATTCCATGGTTGTGATCAAACTGGTGATGAATTCCCTCTCTACTCTGGTTACAATAGAATTGCTGAACAAAATAACATTGTTGTCTTGTATCCAAGAACTGCAGTACAAGATAGATTTAATCCTCATGCATGGTAAGTTCCATTATTATTATTATTTCTAAATTATAAATTTTAAATTATTTAAATATTCAATCAATTTTTGGAATATTGTAAAATAGTTGGGACTTTTTTGGAACTGAAAATGGTGACGATTATCGTGCTGAATTGTATCCATCAAGAATTGGTCCACAAATGCAAACTGTTGCAAGAATGATTGAACAAGTTGGTCACGATATGGACATGAAGAGATTAATTGAACGTAGTGCTAAGGAAGCTCTTCTTCTTCTTGGAGCTCTTGTTGTCATTGTTGTCTATCAAATGTACAAGTTGACTATTGGTTCAAAGAAGGAGAAATCTGATTAAATTTTAAAAACACTTATTTATTTTCCATCATTCTTTGTTTGAATTTTGACACCTTCTTTGGTTGTTCATGTGTGGTATTACCTGGAGAGGCCTTAAATATCGATGATTGACTTGGTAAAGCATCTCTTTCGACAATGTTAAATGAAGTGGTATCTTTCATGGTGGAGGAAGATTGTTTTGGTGGTTGTTGAGACTTCTTTGGTTGTTGTTTTGGCTCAGTACTTGCACCACCAGTAGCTCTATGGAAATATTTGAGAATGTCTTGTTGGAGTCTCTTTTCTTCTTCACCAAATTCTTCACCTTCATCTTCTTCATCTTCCTCCTCTTCGATATGCTTATTCAAGTTAATATTCACACCACCCTTCTTCATATCTGTTGCTTCCTCTCTTTCTAATTCTTCCAAAATTTCCAAGATATCCTCTTCATCCTTCCTTGTTGTTTTGTGACGATAGTACAATTCATCCCGATCCATTCCCTTTGAATTATATGGCAATTCAATATCCTCCATTTCTGAAAAATCAGGTAATGATCCATTACTATTCATCTCCATTTCTCTAAACATTTGTTCAAGCTTGGTAGCTTCGGACATGTCTTGATATTCTTCCTCCTCTCGCTTTGATTTCTTTTGTTCTTCCTTGAGAATATTCGAGTGTTTACTCAGACCAATTCCTTCATAAACTGTGTGTAATAATTTTCTCTCTTGTTCCAATTTTTCCATCACCTTTTTAATTCTTCTCTTGAGTATTTCTCTAGCTTGATAAGCAGAAGTTTTAATAAAGTAATTTTCTCCCAGCGAAACTGTAATTTCATTAGTTTGTACCAATTGTCCAGGCATGAAAGCCAATTGATGTGTTCCGATCGGTATCATACAACTTTGTTTTAAACTTTGTGGAATGAAGGTGAGAGTTTTATATAATTCCTTGTATTCTTCGAGAGTTTTTTCATAGTCTTGAATAGCTTTTCGGTGTCTGAGAGCAACTTCAGTGAATTGTCTTTCCAATTCCTTCTTGTTCAAATTATTGTTATTTGACGACGATGTTCCCTTTGATGATGATTGCAACATTTTTTTTAATTTAATTATTTAATAATATTCCTGATGAAGAATTCTTCTTTAATTAATCAATTAATAACCATCATCACATCGGATTCGATATTTGTATTATTGTTCTATATTTTGATGATGAGCAATACGAGGAAGAGACTAATAGTGCTTGCCTCCAAAATATGTAACAGTAATAAATTTAAGGTTTGGCGCCCAATTTTGAATCATCAAAAAAAATAGGAAAAAACACATCAAAGCCTTATTGCTTTGTTTTAAAACATGTCTTCGGCTGCGAACAACAATACTAACAACAATAATTTTCCATATGGGAAGAGAATAACCCACACTTCCTCGACAGTAGGGTCTTCATCTAATGTTGGTTCTGCCTCATCAAATTCTAATAGTACTAGTATGAAGTTGGGTAATCTCTCACCAATACAACATTATAGGAGCTCAAATTTACATGGCACCTATTCTCACTCTGATATCAGAGGGGAACAAACAAAGAATATGGATGAAGTCATTTTGCATAATACTCAAACCTTGATGGATTACAATACTCCAAGGGGAGCCAATAACAATGATTTTGAATTGAAGAGTAATACTTCTCCACTTTCTTCAACATCAGAGAGTAGTGCCATTTTCAATAAGCCCTTGGATCAGTTGGTAAAGTGTTTTTTATGTTTCAACAAACCTTCATCACCTCACTTGTGCCCTTGCTGTTCCAAAATTGTCTGTTTGGGATGTGCAAAGAAGTGGATCTCGGAAAAGAGTTCTTGTCCAAACTGTAGATCACCCCTTTCAACAAGTCAATTAGTTAATTGTAAATTTGTAACAGAGATTTCATCTGAGTTGGAAAAGCTTCAAACTCAAATCAAGAAGGACAAAACTATTGTTCCTTCAAGAGCAAGTTTAGTGAATGAACATTGTTCTAGCCACGATCTTCCTCTGATTTATTATTGTGAAACTTGTAAGGAGCCAATCTGTTCTGATTGTGCAATGTTTGAGGAAAAACACAAAAATCACAAATTTAAAAAGGTCAATGAAGTTTACAAGGAATGTGTTGACATTGTAAAGGTAGAATCTGAAACTGTTAAAACTCGTCTGAAAGATTTGAACTCTCTCACACTGAGTATCGAAGAAAATATTAAGAGAATTACCAAAGCAAAGGAGGAAACCTTAAAAACAATCAATGAAACTGTCGAAGAAATGCGTACTAATTTGGATTCACTCTATAAGAGCAAGCTTTCATCATTGGTCTCCCAAAAGAATATGATTATTGATGAAATTGCCATGTTAGAGAAGCTAACCAAAGAGTTGGGAAGACAAATTGAGACGAGTCCACAATGTGTTTTGATATCCAAAACTCCAGACATTGTCCGTGTAGTGGATGAAATCAATAAGAAGCCAACAGTTGCCTTCAATAAGATTGCTGTAACAGAAAGTTTCCCTAATGAAATTGTTCCACCATACGAAGGAGGCCAGTTTCGTATAGAAAACTATTCTGAATTACTTAAAACAACCGAAGTTATTTATTCTGATCCAATCACTATTAATGGATTGCAATGGAGGTTGAAGGTTTATCCAAATGGTACAGGAGTTGCCAAGGGAGTTTTTATATCTGTCTTTTTAGAAATGTTCAAAGGGTTGACTGAACCTAAAAAGTACCACTACAAGGTTGAAATGGTAAATAAGAGAGATACCTCAAAGAATATTGAAAGATCATTTGCCTCAATTTTCGAATCTGGAGAATGTTGGGGGTATAATAGATTCTATCGAGTTTCAGAGTTGGCTGGAAATGGGTTTATTGATGTAGATGATGATGTTTTGAACTTGAATTTCTTTGTGAGACCAACATCATACTTTGAATTATGTTTAGAGCAAGCAAGATACATTAAAGACCTGGAAGATTTCAAAAAGATGAATCCAATTACGAGTGTTACAACTGAGGAGGAAGTTGCAGAAGAGGCAAACAACCTATTGAAGGAGGAAGCATTCAACAATCCAAATCTCTCCCCAATTGAAGAAACAGAGACTTATCAATTCCTTGTGGAAAGTGAGGAAACAATCGGCAATCACCAAGTTCAAGAGCAAGAAAATACTTCCTTAAAGATAGAAGAAGATAATTCTTTCTCGATCAATACCCAAATAACCCCTGAAGCTGATGAATCCATATCTCCAACAGTTTTTATCAATCCAATAGATGAAGATATTGTCACTATCGAGCAAGACACAAGCATTATATCTTCTGATGGTAGCCAACTGGTTATTGAACAGGTTGAAGAAAAATCAGACAATAAGGAACCATCAACGGCAGGATCTGTCTGGTCCAAGTCCCAACAAGAGCAAGCATTCTCATTGCCATCAGTTGGAAACCATAGTAGTGACACCGTTAATGTTTCAATATCATCAATAGAAAACAGTGATTAGCTCAAACAATTCAATCTCCGAACAGTAAAAAATGCTTCCATTTCCGCACAGGTTGTCTTATTTGTGTTTGTTATTTCTCTTCTTGGTACTCTTTACCCACCACAGCAACACAACAAACACTTTCTATCCTGTTGAATATTCTATGGAAGCAATTGTTGGCAACAGTCCAAATAGTACTTGGCATGCTTTGGATTACTTCTTCAAAGTAATACCTTCTTTCCGAGAGCCTGATAGATTCATCTACGTTCATGCAGCCAGAATGGGTGATGGTAAATTCAGTCTTCATAAATTTGATAAATTAGAAGGAAATTATCAAAATATTGCTCCTGATGTGATGTATTTCACACTTGTTGCTCACATAACAGATGACAACTCTGTCCATGATGTGCTTTATTATGCTACCGATTCTACATGTACTTTTTACAAGTATAACGAAACAAACAACTCAACCACAAAAATTGCTGGTAATGGAGTTTGTGATACAAATTGCAATGCACGTGAAAAGCAATATAATGAGAGTCTTTGCAGGGGTTATTTAATGTCTTATCCACATAAATTCAATAATGAGAGTGAATTGTCCTTCTACTTATATGGTGGACAAGAAATTTATCGATTGAAGAATAATTTGGTACAGATTGTGGCAGGTCATGGAAAATCAACTTCCTTAGAAGATCAACCAGCAACAAATGTTACATTGGGTATATCTGGAACTTGTACCAACTCACTTGGAGAGATTTATATACTACAAAATTATCGAGAAGGAACAGGATATTATATTAGAAAGATTTATCCAAATGGTATAATTACTACTGTCCTTTCGTTGATGGGAAATTATGCATATTCTGGTACTTGTTTGTTTGATAGTACTGTTTACGAGGTGGAAAATAAGAAAATGGTGTTGGATAGGTTATATATTTACGAACATCCAGCATCTACTGTAACAAAGTTTGAGCTTACTTTCGAATATCCAAACACTGGAAAGCCAACATTGCTTAATTATTCACAAACTACTCTAATTGGAAAATATAACTCTTTTGTACAAGCTGGAGATGGTGGCAAAGCAATCGATGGCAGAATTAGTACTGTAAATGTCGACGCTTTTGATGGATTTGTTGCACTTTCTGCTCTGGGTAATGTTAGATTTATTGACAATCAAACTGGAATAATATCAGAGGTACTTTCGGCAAAAGGACATGGATTTTACACAGCAATTAATAATTTCAAATTCATACCAAAGGATATTATTTACTCTTACAATGAGGGAAATCCAGAAATTCACATAGCTGACCATGTCTCATCTTCAATTTTGAAATATTCTTTGAAGAGCAAGAGTATGGAGCCAATGAAAAAGTATTTTATTAGCGATTTGAATAATGCCCCATCTACAGCAAAACCCTACTCTATGGCATTGGATTCCTATTCTAATTTACTTGTTTCTAATGATTTAAGCTATTGGAGCCCCAACTTTTTAGTTAATATAACCAAACTTGGACCAAAGGTGATATTTGGACAAAACAAAAAAATTGATGATTCTATTAGTTTGGATTCCTCAATATTGGGTAGGCCCTATTCCAGTTTTTTCATTATGTACAATCAGGCGTACTATAGCATAGTTTCAGACAGAGGCAACAATAGACTCTTGCTTATTGACTTTGATGGAAGGAATATTACAACAATAGCTAGTATGAAAGATGGTATCAATGGACCAACTGGTATTTGCTATCTGAGCGATAGAAGTATGGTGATATTTTCAGATACTGGTAATCACGTCTTGAGATATTACAATATTAGGACACGTGAATTGGGAATATTTGCTGGAAGATTAGGAAAGAAAGGATTTACTGAAGGTTCTTTGCTCAACGCAACATTCAATCAAGTAAGTTTTAAAATGAAACCAAACTAATTATACTAACTCAAAACACAGCCTGTTGGATTATCTTGCACTTTAGATAAAATTCTTGTGGCTGATTCTCATAATCATGCAATCAGATTAATCAATATATATGCAAGCACTGTGGAAACTATTGCAGGAACTGGTAAGTGTTTTTGTTACAAAATTAAAGATCTTAATGCTCAATTCAGGAGAGGAAGGTTTTAATGGAGATTTCTTGGTACCTTTGAGTACTACATTCAATAATCCAATGGGAGTTTGCTTCCAAGAGCGTAATATTATAGTTGCTGACACGAATAATCATAGAGTTAGAGTTATTGATGTAAACAACAGATATGTTTCCACAATCGCAGGATCTTTTTTGGATGGAGATAGTGGAGATGAAGGATTGGCCTCAAAAAGTTTACTCAATTCACCTCATGATGTTCAATATGAAGATAATGTAGTTTATATTGCTGGTATGTTTCAGGTATTTTTTGTTCAAGCTTCTAATCATTTCAGATTCTGGAAATAACAAAATTAGAGTAATTAAAGACCAAACTATTAGTTCCTTAATAGGGAGAAGTGGTAATTCTGGATTTGAGGGAGATGGAGGTCCTGGTTTAACAGCAAAGCTCAATTTCCCAACAGGATTGAGTCTTTCTACGAAATATATTGTAATTTCTGATTCAAAGAATAATAGACTTAGATTTTATTTAAAAGAAGAAAAAACTATTTATACATTAGCGGGTGGTTTTGGAGATAATGGGCCATCTGAGAATGGTATTGGAACACCGTTCGGAGTTACAATCTCTCCAAACAATGAAATTTATGTCTCAGATGTGTTGAATAATTTAATTAGACGAATTAAGAATGGAAAAATTACAACAGTAGCAGGTTCTGGAGCATATGGATATAATGGCGATGATATTAGTGCATTGAAAGCTTCTTTGGCATCACCTTCGAACATTGTTGTCAATCCTCTAACAAATGACATTATATTTTCAGATACAAACAATCATAGAATTCGAATAATTTACAGTGACGGAAATATATCTACATTGGCTGGAACTGGACAAGCAGGTTATAATGGTGATGGAGTGGCTTCAGCTACTCACCTCCACTCACCTTCTTTTATCAAATTCATTCCACCACAATTCGAAGTGATAGTTTTTTCTGATTCTGCAAATGGAAGAATACGAAAGATTAGCAAGGTGAATAATATTTATATGGTATCGACAATTGCAGGACCTCCTGACTTGATTGGAGTACCTGAGGGATTATCAATTTCAAACGAAGGAGATGTATATTTTGCAGATTCAAAGAATTTAAGAATTTCAAAACTAATTCCAACCTGTCAACCAGGATATGTACTCAATTTGGAAAAAACAAAGTGTATTCCTATTTGCTATGATATTTCGGCCCTTGATCCTTCCTCTTGCTCCAGTCATGGAAGTTGCATCGATAGAAACAATTGCCAATGCATGAATGGATATACTGGAAATTCCTGTCAATATTCAATCTGTCATGGAATTTCTGGACAAAATATTAGTGTTTGCTCATATTCGGGAACTTGTGTATCTCCAAATAAGTGTGAATGTGTTTCAGGCTATGCTGGAGATCAGTGTGAATTACCTACTTGTTTTGGAAAAACTGGAAGAGAGGGTTGTAATAATCGTGGAAAGTGCCATGCTAGAAATTTTTGCATTTGTGAAAATGGTTATGCAGGAACAACGTGTGAAACAAATGTAATATTGATTGGCTCTCTAGTTGCGGTCTTTGCTGTTGCATTGATTATTATTGGCATTGTGGTGTTAATTTTAATATTTGTCTTTTCCAAATATAGGAAACAGAAGAAGATTATTGATACCGATCTTACACTGGATGAGAGATTGTTATCACAAACTGAATTGGAAATTAGCAATACAAGTTCTAATCGTACATATCATCAAGAAGAAGACAAGTTTATCATTCCAATTGAACAATTGAATATGGATAAACCAATTAAAGTAAGTATAGCAAAGGAAATCAACATTAACAAATTTAACCTATTTTACACAGAGACTTGGAGAAGGAGGAATGGGAAGCGTATTCATGACCAAATATAATGGAATGAAGATTGCTGTCAAAGTATTTGATTTGAACAATTTTAACATTTCCGAAGATGATTTCAAGATTGAAGCAATTTTATTAAGCAAGCTTAGACATCCAAACATTATCAACTTCTATGGCATATCGTCTACACCTACAAAGAGATTCATAGCAATGGAGGTAAGTTTCAATTATTTCCACGAGTGAAAACTGAACTATTTGAAATATAATCACAGTGTATGGACAAGAGCTTGGAGTCCATGATTAGTTCACTGCAAAAAGGTACCTCTACATGTTCTCTTAAAATGAAACTATCCATTATTCTAAATGTAGTGAGTGGTATCAATTATTTACATCATTTGGAGCCTAATTTTATTATTCATAGGTATGTTTTCACAAAGTGGCCTTTCACAATTTCTTATTGAATTATATATAGAGATTTAAAACCAGCAAATATTCTCTTGGATAAAAATGGAATTGCAAAATTGTGTGACTTTGGATTGGGAAGGGCATTATCTTCCAATACAGTATCAGCAATCACTAGTAAGGTTGGAACATATAATTATATGTCGCCAGAACTTTTCTCAGATGATATAGAAAGAGGAGATGCTCGATCAATTGATATTTACAGTTTAGCCATCATTCTATGGCAACTCGTATTCGAAATTATGGAACCATATCAAAGCTCGGATACAAAAGTTCTTCAAAAATTGAATTTGGAAAAACCAAAAACCTTTAACAGCACTTATCATTTCCACAAAAGTATCTGTGAAGAGAAATTGAGACCAATTATTCCATTTTCCACATTGGAGGAATGTCGTGAGTGGTGTGAAAAATTCCTAGACCAAGAACAAGCCAAGTACTATGAGGTAATTTATGAGATGAGTCAATTGATTGAACAATCGTGGAGTCATGAGCCAAGTAAGAGACCAACAAGTGTTCAGATTTTGGAAAAGATTGAGGAATGGGATGAACGAGTTTTGTAAAATTTAATTTTCAATTCAATTTCTGCATTGAGTTCAGGTTCAAAGTTTAATTTTCCAATTTCTAATAAAAAAAATGAGTACCAGATCATCTGCGATTGATCGATTCACTATTAGCAATGGACCACAAAGGTGTGAAAATCAAATTAATAGAATTTGTCCATTGTTTCTTCGGAATTTGTGTAGAAAAGGAGATGCATGCAATTTCCTTCATGAAATGCCATCAATTTCAGTGTGTCCTTTCTATCAAGGTGGATTTTGCAAAGATGGACCAAAATGCAAATTAAAACACATCAAATCCGTGGCTTGTCCTGATTATTTATCTGGATTTTGCATCAATGGTCCAAATTGCAACTATTCACATCCTAAACTTGAATCTGATCAGATTTTCAACATGAAGTGCCAATCTGATCAATGATTATCCATGAAATCCTACTCCGATTGTATCAAGATTACAAAAAATTCATTCTTTCAAATTCCACTCCAATTCCTCTCTCTCAACATAATCCATCCTCTCATCCGACCGAAACAAATTTCAAAATACCCACTGTTCCCGCCAAAATCATTGTAAACATGCACATGCACACCGAACTAACTCATGTCTTGCCTTAATTACTCCTAATTGTCCTGTTGAACGTGCGCTATTGCATTTTATAGCCTTTATATTGTTGCAGAGCATTTAGCCTTTGGCTCGAGAATCTTTTTGAAAACGACAATTTTTCAAAGCACTCGAAAAACGACGCTAAAAAACTCTCGAAAAAAAAATTGTCGTAATTGGTCGGTGATTGAACCACGCAAATTTCAAAGCCTAAAAGAAGATTTTTCACTACTGCAAGCCTTGACTAGATTTAAACAGCTGTTTTAAAGATGCAAGAAGCACATGAGGGAAATAACATTGAAGGAGTTTCGACTTCTGTAGAATTAGAAATTGTTGATAGTAATAATAATAATAATGGAGAGCAACAACATGATGTAGAGGTGGTGGCGAGGAATGAAGAACAATCGACGCAGCATCAACAACAACAACAACAGTTTAATGTAATGATAGAAGAAGAATCTCCTCAAGCTTCGAATAAGCCAATCACATATTACGAATCTTCACCAACAGCCATTGATAATAATTCTTCAATAACAACAACAACAACAAATAAGAAAAAGGTTAAATTACCTCCTCCAATGATAACCAAAAGCATTCAAACTAAGCAATGGCAAGTTGACTTCTCCAAGTTTCCCATAATCGAAACTGACAAGGCAACTAAACTTAAAAAGCGAGTTTCCAAATTTTACGAAAAGCAAAACGAACTGGTTGAAGGTTTTGCTGATTTATATACGAATACCATTACGAAAGATTTTCTGGTAGACGGAGAAGACGGATATTTAGAATTGAACGACGAGCTTAAGGAAGAAAATCCAATTGACTCTTCAGCAAAGGACGATAGATATGCAAACTTTTGCATTCAAGCAAGTTTTTGGGTGAATATCTTGTTATTGTTTTTAAAGGTTTCAGCTAGTTTCTTATCAATTTCACTATCAGTTATTACTTCAACTGTAGATTCGATTCTTGACATTGTTTCTGGGCTAATCCTTGTGTATACGAATCATTTGAGAAAAAAGAAGGGAGATTCTCACAAATATCCAGTTGGTAAGGATAGATTAGAACCACTGAGTTTCATTATTTTTGCAACATGCATGGCAACTGCAAGTCTTCAAATTATTAAGGAAGGTGTTGTGACAATTATTCAAGGATTAGTGACAGGAGATCCATATTTACCTGCAAATAATGAAAACTTGATCAGTTGGAGTTCTCAACCAGAAACTCTTTCAGGTGAAATGGAATGGATGCTTGGAATCAAAGTTCCTGCCACCTTCAAGTTATTTGCCTATTCCTACAGTTTGGCTGTCATGTTGGTTGCTGTCGTTTTGAAAACCATCTTGTATTTCTTGTGTATTAGAGCTAAATCTGCTTCATGTGAAGCCTATGCCTTCGATCACAGAAATGATGTGCTCAGTAACTCATTCCTAGTTGCCTCCCTTTTCATTTCAATGTGGGCTTGGTGGGTTGATCCATTCAGTGCAACAGTTCTCTCCTGTTATATTATCTATGGATGGGTAGGTGAATCAATGGAACATGTGACCAAGCTTGTTGGTTTATCAGCTGAAAGTGATCTCATTCAGAAATTGACATTTATTGCTTACAACCATTGTGAAAAAATTGTTAAAGTTGATTTGGTCACTGCTTGGTATAGTGGAATGAATATTATTGCTGAAATTCATGTTGTCTTGCCACCTGACATGTCACTTAAGGAAGCACACAATATTGGAGCCAAGTTACAGACAAAGATTGAATCTGTTCCAGAAGTGGAAAGATGTTTCGTCCATTTGGATTTCAACGACACTCACAAGAATGAAAGATCATTAATTGGAAAAGATGTATAACAATTTTATTATTATAAATATTACAAAATACCATTTATTAATTTTTTCAAGATAGTTTCCTGTTCTCAACAATTTACAAATTGAAATGTGGTGTGAACAAGCTCAACAAGAATGGAATCAAACATAAAATGACCAAAATCAATGGTGTGACTGATGCATTCATTAGAGAAGCACCAGAAGTGGCATTTCTATTCAAAGATCCAGTTGGAATTGTTGAATTGTTACCATTATTGTCATTATTTCCAATGGTGGTTTGACATTGAGCTCCAGTATGTTTGGAATCACATGTGCAGGTGTCATTCTTGAGACAAGTACCAAATCCAGAGCAAACAGTGGCTGAAGTATTTGAAATTCCATAACAAACAACAACTGGTTGACTTGGTTGAGTAATGGTAGTTTCACATTTGGCTCCAGTATGCTTTGAATCACATGTACAAGTATTGTTTTTGACACAGGTGCCGAATCCAGAACAAACACTTGGTGAACTACTCAAAATTCCATAACAAACAATCACTGGTTGAGCAATCACATTTTCACACTTTACACCAGTATGTTTGGAATCACATGTGCAGGTATCATTCTTGAGACAAGTTCCAAATCCAGAGCAAACGCTTGGTGATGTGCTCAAAATTCCATAACAGACAATTGGAATGGTATTTTCACATTTAGAGCCTGTGTGAGATGAATCACAAGTACATGTATCATTCTTTAAACATTTACCAAATCCAGAACAGACAGCAGCTGAAGTATTTGAAATTCCATAACACATAATCACTGGTTGACTTGGTTGAGTGATGGTATTTTCACATTTGGCTCCAGAATGAGATGCATCACAAGTACATGTATCATTCTTTAAACATTTACCAAATCCAGAACAAACAGCAGCTGAAGTATTGGAAATTCCATAACAAACAACAACAACTGGTGGGTTATTATTGTTGCTATTCACATTAAAGGATGGAACAACCAATAAACTTGCACTTCTTGCATCCAATGAAACAGTTACCTTACCATCAACTGAGCTAGTAGTCAGAGTTTGAGAATTCTTTGAAATAGTTCCAGGAGAAACAAATGTCCAAGTGGTGATGGATTTGCTCTTTCCAACGTCACCTGCCAATTGTAAACTAACACTTGAAGCTGAAGTTAACTTGTTCACAAGGACAATGTACAATGTATTTGAGGCAGAGTTGACAAATGAGTAAGCTCCAACACTGTCAACATTTGAACTAGTGGTATTGACATAGGCTCCATTAATGCCAGCTCCCTTTCCGTCATAATTCATTAAAAATTGGAATGATTTCTCAACCATTGAACCACTTTTTGGAACTGTAAAACGAGTTGCCAAATCAACTCCTTCTCTACCAAAAATGGTTAAAATTTCAACTTGGGCCAAAGCAGAAGACCAAAGATTGTCAGCTCCAAAATTATATTCAGTAATGGCCAACTTCAACTCTGGACAATACTTGGCAATGGATGCTTTCATACGTGGAATGAGTGCAACCCTTGAAAGTGGTCCATTAGATTCAGCATCAGTAATCCAACTTTCATCAACATAATTAAAATCATACAAGCTCTTGACAGTTCTCAAACGAAGATCTGAATTCGTATCTGCTGTTTGAGTGTCATCATAAATTCCACTTGCTTGTGGATAATAGTGAATATCCAAATAGTCAACCAACAAAATTCCAGTATTCTTCTTATATTCACAAACCTTTGTCAAGTAATAATCAATGAGTGGTAAATTGGAATGAGCTTGACGATCAGCACCAGAGGAACAACCATCTGCAGGGGAATAATAATATCCGCAATGTCCCCATGAATTTGGACCAAATGTCTTGATTGTGGAATCTTCTGTCTTGATTGCTTTGGCATATTTCTCAGTTAAGGTCCACATTTCATCGTAGGTTATTGGATTTGGATGGACATCATGATGGGTGGAATGCCACAAGTCCATTTCATTATCCAATGACCACAATTTGACAGGTGTTCCTCTACTTTTCATGTATTTGATCCAGTTGACTACATAATTTTCATCAATGACTTTTGAAGTTTCTGCTGGATCATTTCCAGTAACATAGATATTACCAGTCTTTTTACCATTACCAGCATCTCCCATACACCAACTAGGAAAACCAGTTCTAGTACATTCAGTTTCCAATTGACTACCATATTTAGCAACTGAAAAACCCCACTTTTTAGAACGATCATCCAATGGAGTATAACCAATCAAACTAGCAGTCAGCATCAACTTGGATCCATGCTTATTAGCTGTGTCCATAAACATTGTAGCTGCAGATCCATTCGGCAAAATTTGTCCGCTCTCAATTTCGTCTGGAATATTCATGAAAAACCAATCCTGAGCCGTGTTATGAATATTCTGTTGCCAATTATAACGAGTATCTGAATTACCACCTTTACGATTGATTGTATATTTAACAGATTGAAAATTGGCTTCTTGTGCGTAGTTGACTCCAAAAATGTCTTGGTTGAGTTGGTTGCCGATTGGGAGGGAAGAATCAATTTTAACGGTGAGTTGTTGGTGGGTGGGGAAGAGGAGGAAGCAGATGATTGTCAGAAATAACAATCGACATGATGGTGTCAAGAGTTTGTTGACTAGTGACATTTTTTTTGAGTGATGGGTTTGTTGGGTGCTTTTCAAATTTGTTTGAATATTTTTATGTTGCGATGAGGCTACTGATTTGGTAATTGATTGTTGTGGAAGGTTTTTGAAAATCAACTGTTTCGAATAATTATGTTGTAAAGGTTCACCAATTCAATAATTAAAATTCGATTAGGTAAAAACCTTCATTCTTGCCAACCACCTTAATAGCAACTTGAAGCAATATCCAATGATTCAAGTGGTAGTCACAAATCAATTAACAAAACATTCAAATATACCAACAATTTAAAATACAAGTGTCAAATCCTTTGGATGTGAACAAGCCAGAAGCTTCAGCTGTGGCAATAACTTGTCCAGAACTATATTCTACATGATGACCTCTCCCCAATCATTGTGCCCTTAAAACGAGGAATTGCCTATTTAGAGAATGGAAATGAAAATACCCTTTAATAAAACGGATTGGGGACCAGTGGGAATCGAACCCACGGCCTCTCGCACCCAAAGCGAGAATCATACCACTAGACCATGGTCCCTTACACATGGTTTTTCAAAAACACTTTCAGTAGGCAAGCCTTATTATCATTTGCCTTAATTCAAAGGACGTCTCTTCTTTCAGTCTTGACAAATTGCTCATATTTTGATTGACTGCTACAACAGCCACAAATGGTAATACTACGGCAAGTGTTTCAACCTCAAAAAAAAATGTGCGTTCCTACTAGACATATGAAATAAGTAAAAAAATCCAACAATAACTCGAGCAAAGATAATGATGATTCATCGTTTCCTCTTCCGAAGCAGCAATCCTTTAATATTTTGCATTCTATTCATCCTTGTTACTACTATTTTATTCTCCTCTCATCAAGGTACGATAAATTTTATTTAAATATTAATTAATTAAATTAAATTAGCTTATTGTGATGAGAAGAATATTTTGATATTGTCATTACCATTTCCAGGCCATATTCGTCCGAATGTAGAGCTGATGGAATCCCTTTCAAATTCTCCAACTGTATCGAATATTACTTTGATGACTGTAAAGATTGGAATGATGGCTGATCCTAGATTGAAAAAGTGGTATTCTCAAGTGAATGGTACAGACGCAGATAGAAAAGTTCATGTTGCAGTGATGGAGAGTGAGTCATTCTTATCTGAAAGTTCTGATCTTTCATATCTTTACAATGAAATGAGTAAGATTAGAGATTTGGATGTAATTGACCAATTCAAATTTACTTTCAATAGATTTATGATTCCATACGAACGTTTACTTATTCAAAGTTTGGAAATTGCTGAAGTTTTAAATGGAAAAGTTATTAATATTGTCCCATTGGAAGAACGTTTACAAAAATTAGCTAAAACTCCCCAAAAAGGTGTCAAGAGATTTATGAGAATTCGTAATGATCCATCTGAAACTCTATTCGATCAGGCAGTTGTCGATTTTGCTTTGATTTCAATGCAAGCTATCGTTGCTGGAGGAAATATTCCATGCACCAAGATTTATGCTGCCTACTTTAGACAATTCATGTTCCATTATCCAGCCATTTCGGTTGCTTCGATGGATTATTTCACAACCTACCCAAAGAGATTAATCATGCCTTTCAAGGCCCTTAAAGACTTGTTCTTTATTACAGAATACATGGCCGGATTGGGTAGTTATTTTGAAATGGAAGAATTGGGAAAGAGTGATTATTCATGTGCCTTGATTCAAACCACCAGTTTTGGATTCGAATATGCTTCAAGTAATGTGCAACAGTTTGGTGCTTTCCTTGTTGGTCCATTCATTAATGATAATCACATTGCAAATGAAATTGACCATTTGAAACAATTGGCAGGCACCTCCAACGAAGTTTCCAATAAGTGGACAGAAACTTCTGGCTATGAAGGATTCTTTGAATGGGTTGATGAACAACAAGATATCATGCTAATGATTCTTGGATCTACAATGGTTTTAGATGATAATATCATGGCCAAATTGATTAAGGGATTACAAATTGCCCTCCAAGAAAATCCAAACATTTCCATCATTACTGCATTTGGTCATATTAATATGGATCTTTTTGAAAAGTTGGCACAAACAAATGCTCCACTCGTTCAATCCGTACTGAACAATAAGAGATTCAAATTATTGAAGGGTTTCGTTCCTCAGAAAGCTTTAATGTCCATCGAGAAGGTCAAAATTTTCTTTACTCACTGTGGAGCTAACAGTGTAAATGAAGCTCTTTACTTTGGTAAATTGCTGATTGGATTCCCATATGCTTTCGATCAATGGAAGGTAGCTCATACTATTGAAGAATTCCAACTTGGACGTGCCATCTATAAATCCAGAGAGGAATCTATGGTATGGAAATCAGAAAGTATTTCACAAGCCATTCACGAATTGCTCTACAATGAAGAAAAGAGAGAACTCTACAAAACCAAAGCAAGACACACCAAATCTCTCATGAGAAGATCAGGAGGCGTAAAGAGAGCTGCTGAAATTGTCGAAATGGTGTCGGAAGTTGATGGTGATCTCTCTTGGAAAATTGCAGACAAACACCTCACATGGTGGCAATACTATTGTCTTGATATTGTGTTAGTCTATTCATTCCTCATGTATCTTGTAGTCAAATTAGCATGCTTGCTTTGTTGCAACAGAAGAAAGGTAAAGAAGGAATAACATATCACTCTCCAAGCTCAATGACTGAATGGGATGACTATGAAAGTTCAATAAATTAAAATCCAAACATTTCCATCTATACCTATTTCACATTTGAATTTAATAGACGTCAATTGTCTCTTATCCTTGTTGAATACCTTGAATACAACTCCTTCAGATCCACATTCCAATACTGAAATGAAATCATACTCCTCCTTTAGATCTTTGTAATAAAAATTGAGAATTTCAACTGACTTTGCAAACTCTCCATGTAATTCGTTATATTTGCCGAGTATTTCTTTGTAATTATCGAAAGTTTTCTCATCTTCCAGCCATTTTGTGGCGAACAGCATCAACTGTTGGATTTCCTTTTCGGTATAAAATGATGTATCAAACTTTTCTGAAATATATTCCACAACGTACTTCAATTCTTTCACATTAGTTGAAACAGCAGGATTATCTTCCATAAATTTATCCAATCTAAAACAAAATAAGTAATAATCAATACTGTCTTCTTGACTAACCTCAATGTTAGATTCTGAATTATTAACTCTCATTAATATTTGAAATATAATCAACTTTTCCACAAAGCTGGGTGAGTAGTTGCGGTTGAACTTGAACAGAGTCTTCTTTAGTTTTGGATTCATATTTGGCAATTCGATACAATAAAATAGTTCAGTTTCATCACTGAAATTTTGATATAACTCAATAATATTCCGTGATAATTTGGTTTGGAGATTGTAATGTTCAATAATTTGTGTTAGATCAGGTGAATATTCTCTTGCTTTTGGTAAATTTTGTTTTGATAATAAATAAATAAATTTGACATTTGACTTCAATGATTCGCTGGCATATATCAGAGAAAATGCATTTTTCTTAACAGATTCCAATACAATTTCTTCATCTTTTTTAAATATTTCATTGGTATAGTACAGAACTAATCCATTTTTCTTGACAGCTTCCAAAATAAATTCTCTATCTTTTCGTAACGATTCATTTGCAAAATTGAGTGAAAATTCATTCAATTCAATAGCTTCCAACAAAAACCCTCTATCCCTTCTCAATGTTGAATTGGCATAATTCAAAGAAAAGCTATACTTTCCAACAGCAGCCAACAATATCTCTCTATCTATCCTAAACGATTCGTCTACAATTTCAATTACTGATCCGTCCTGTTGAACAGCTTCCAATGCCAATTCTCTATCCTTCTCCAAGTCAATGGCATATACCAGTGCAAATCCGTTTTTCCTAACTGCCAACAATATAAATTCACGATCCTTCCGAAGTGAAATGTTTGCTTTCAAGAGACAAGAACAATCATTGCCAAAGGAGGGAATTTGTTGTAAAACGAATTGTTCATTGGACTGGTAAAAGTTGGATTTATGAAAGTTAGTGATCAGAAAATGTTAAATACTAACCCATTGATTTTGCATTTTTTTCAAGTTGACCTAGTTGTTTATTCAACCAATTCATGATAGGTTACCACTTGGTAACAAATTATGTTGTGCTGATAGAATTGATTGGTGGAATATTTACTACGGCGAATTAAATGGTAAACTCCCCTAATTGATCAATTTCCTGCTGTTTTCACAAACTTGGTAAGACGAGATCGCATCTCTGAATACAATCCTAGCTCAAATTTAAAAGACATGCCAAAACCATGTTTCCATGATGCATGCATCCAATTACATGTTTGCTTGTTGGTAACCATGTATCACAAACTTGATGGCCACACATTTTCATGCTCCATGAAAAGTGATTTGTCATCAAAAATACATGCTCGCCCAAAGCTAATCACCAACTGCCTCTTGCAAGATGGCAAATATGACATGCAAAAGACCAGGTACGTAGCACAACATGGTCAGCATGGCACAAACAACAATCTGTCTCACCTTCTCTCCCTTCTCCATTGGGTGCTTGAGATGGAATCTTAACAAGATCCCCATCGCCAAAGGAGGAAACAGGATAGCTGTCGTTAGCAACATTAAAGAGCAAGATGATGAGCCAGAATTTTCATCCTCCTTCCTCGAGGATGAATTCTTAGCCTTCCTAATTTCATCATCAGATGATGCTGATGAGGGAATATTTACTATTACAACGCCTCCTCCTCCACTGCCAACACTACTTCCCTCTGTCATGTAGTAGTGATTTCTGGTTGATATTCCTCTCTCTGTTTATTTACACCACCAGTTCTTGGATGATTACCGAATATTCGTTTTGTGTTCTTTGAAAAATCAGAGTGTACGCTGCTGAAAACTTTTGTATTTTTTTTGAGGTGCGCACTGGAGTAGAATGGAAACGAGGCTACAAATGGCATGCTCGGGTTGACTTTTGTGGACTGGTATGAAATATTGTAGTGGCCACCACTTTACAACTCATTTGCATAATACTGTAATAGTACTTAATGAGCTTGAGGTACTTTTATGAAACCTTTTGCTTGTTGGGAGTAGATACAATCCACGAATGTAAGAGTAGAGAATATTTGGAAAGCAAAAAATTTGAAGTTTTACAATAGTTTACAATTTGTGAATTTACAAAAATTGGAAAGACGTTCCAAACATCTTTCAAATCTCAAGTGATCGTTGGAGTGCAAAGGTATCAGTGATGCTGCAGGGTATTATTATTTTACAAGAGTCAAAAATGTTACTTTGGATCAAAGAAATATCAAATCATTTTAGGAAGGAGGTGGAATAGGAAACAGACATTTGATATTTTGTTTGGTAATGGTTATTGTTACAATACGTCAATGAGTTAGCAAATGCAGTTGTAGAGGCAGCAGAAGTATAATAACTGGAGGTAGTTGTTTGAGGAATCACTGCAAGTACATCTGCAGAAGATCGTTTGGTTCTCTTAGATTGTTTGTTCTTCTTTGGTTGTGCAGTGTTGGCATTTGAATTTGATTGAAGTAAATTCTCGAGGAAGGAACACACCATACTATCATCTTCAATATTGGTAACATCCATAGATCCCTTTCTCTTTCTCTTTTTAGAAGAGTTTGAATCAGTCTTCATTGAAATATCTGAATCAGTTGTTCCTAACTCTAGTGAGCCGTTGCTGTTGGTGTTATTACAAAATAATTGTGGTGGAGATGAAAGGTTCAAGGAAGGAGAGTAAAGTGTCACCAAACAGTTTTGAGAAGGTGTAACTCCTTCGTTGCAATGAAAGTTATCGTCCCATGATCTCATTCTTCAATTAACTGTAGGTTGTTTGGAATTGTTTCTGTTCGGTTTGGTTTGAGTCCAATTTTTTGATGTTGAGTTATTCGTAAAAGAATCAATCTTCTTTCTAATCGAATCGTGTTATTAATAAATGTGTGCAGCAATTCAATGAAAGATGAGAAGGTTGATAAAGTTGATTGTCCAATATTGATCAACTTCTGTTTGTGAGTATTGTTCTTTTTTTGAGAATGTATTCATAATGTAAAAAGATTCATGCTTTTTCAATGTGCAAGAAATGTTATTGTGAAAAACCAGATGAAGCAGATAGAATCGTGCATTGACAAACAAGTCATTTTTCTGTAAAAGGGTATTGAAATGGTAAAATATTGATAATACGAGCAGTTCATGTACTAGCTTGAAATGGTCTTTGGTTGATGCCGTACATTCATAAAATGAAAAACACTATCATTAAAAAAATTCATGAATTCATCTCATCATGTACCTATAAACAATATTGGCATTAGCATGTTGACAATCATTAGACGGCATACCAATTATTGTACCAAGAATATTTCAGATAAATATCATAATCAGTGAGATTAAAAAGTGTAACTTTTCGATATGTATTTCCATATGTTAACATGGAGAAGAATAATTTGTAAGAATTATTTGTTGTTGTTGCCTCCTCGGTGTATGAGTTTACAATTCATAATAACCGTAGTTATCTTGTTGTTGTAAATCTTGTTGTTAATTTCTGTAGATGATGTACACAGACGATGTAATGTTTGAAGGATGTGGTAAAATCACGTTGGTTGATGATACTAAACTATTGTCCTTCTTTTTGTTTAAACAACACCATGCTGTTTCAAAAATCAGTATTGATTTTGTTCTTGTTGTTGTGTAAACTTTTCTATTATTTTTGTCATCCTTCACAAAGTTTTCTAGTGACAATCAAATTTTTCTTTCAACGAAATCTCTCAGGGTTGATCTGGTACTAACCACTTTCATCAAGATAGGAAGTTGAATTAGTGCATTTTTTTTAATTTTGCTTCAATTCAACCGCCACAAAATGTCATCTTGTTAAACAAGGCCAGACAAAAATCTTGCTTACCCAGTGCTGATCTGATACTGCCAGATTGCTTGTGTGCTTTTCACAACTTTAAATGTATTATCTAAAGATGTCGTGTACTATTATTGGATGCTCTTTTGGGGAACCATAGATTTTAAAGGGTGAATACGTCAGTAGCAATTTGTAATTCCATATTGCCATTCGAGTTCGTTAATTGGCGCGACACATGGACTGTGTGTGAGTTCTTCAAAATCTACAACTGTAGTAATTGATAATACATTCAATAAAGAAAGAAGCACAATGGGGTAGGACAATGGACAATCTTCAAACCGAAACTAATTTTGTAAATTTTTACAATTTTGCATTGTAACAAAATGCACTACAGCAGTCGCGACATTCTGTCCATTAATATTATAATAATAAAATTGTAATGTGGCAACCAATCTCAGTATCTGGTATCGTCGTGATAGCATGTTAAAGAAGGTTTCTGCCTTAAATTTGAGATTTCTAAACAGAGTACCATTCACCTGTTTAATGAAACAGCTGTTTCGTACATTATTTTCAATGAGGAAGTCACTCAATCATTCCTATTTCAATTATTCGAACAGTTAACGACAGCATTAATGAATACTCCTTCCTCAAAACCTCACCCATCAAAAATATTATAAATATCTTTGCATCGTCATAATCGGCCAAACTATTAACTTCTTAATATTACCAATAAGCAACAACAAGAATCTAACGATTAAAAATCCATTCATCCGAGACTATTTGTTCTCTTCCAAGTTAACATTCGAAGGAGAAAAATCTCATTTCCTTTGCCACATGTTTTCATCATCATCAGCAACCAATTCGGCACAAGGCAAACAACGGCGTATTTCGTGATGAATAGTATCTTTGCCTCATTTGCGTGTTTGTGTTGCCTTTCTAAAAGTGTTGTAGAAAACGCGCCATTTTTTTAAGCAGGCAAAAAATTTAGGCTTTACACTTCCACTTTACGCTGGAGAACTTGTGAGTCTTCCAAATTTATCAATTAAAAAAAAGTGAGAACAGACGTATTCAACAATTCTGTTAGAGATCTCTTCTGTGCTTTGATACAACCACAAAGAAGAAAATTTTCGTCTCGAGATAATTTAATTATAATGAATGGTCAATCATTTGTGGTGATGACTAACAAGTCAAACAATGAACAACAATGGAATGAAAAGTGTTTATTTCGATCCTTGATACACGATGAGGATATTTCGAATGTATTAATACATGATGAAGAGGAGGAAATGAATGATACATTGAGTCATGATGGTTGCTTAGCAATAGAGGATGGAATGGAAGAGGAATTATTTGATAATGTATTCTTTTTCAATGTGACGATGAAATTGAATGGTAAAATATTGTCCTGTGGAGTTTCCTTCTGTGATACTAATCAGGTCAACCAGAGGAAGGACTCGTATATAATACTCACGACTGATATGATACCAATGAGTGACTCCATTTCGATACATCAGCTGTGTCTGTACATACCAGAAATCATTCTCAATTATTCACATATGAAATACAAGTGCAATAACTTGCATATTGTCATTGAAATGAAACAAGCAAACCAAACAATAGAAATACAAATGAATTGCCAAACAGAATGCATCTATTCAGAGCTTCTACCACTCAACAATGTAAATATTACGACCACCAACACGGTCAACAAGGATGGAAGGACGCTGCCACTATTACAACTCAGACTGATGCAAACCCGTCTTCCTCTTTCATGGTCGGTTGATTAATCACCTTCCCTAAATAACTATAATAAACCCTGAATAATTGTTTTGTAATGTAGATCTGCATTTTCGCTCTTCCAAACCGAATACTACCACTTGCCAAGTATGGCAACACAATCTATTCATTTTCAAAAAAGTTACACCTTCTAAATACATAAATGTAAAGGATATGGTTTTAATTTGGTATTTAGTATGAACTTGCGAGTTTAGAATGCAATGCTTCGGCCATCATTTTGCCCTTGTTGTGAATTCTCTTGCCTTCGAGATATAAAATTGCTTCTAAATAAGTGTCTGGAACGACTTTGTAAACTATTGGTGAGTTGAATGCAAAGTGGAAAATGTTACAAAGCATCTTCTTTTGAGTTGGTGGATCCAAGACCCAAATTTCACATCGAATTTCCAATGATTTTTCACCAGCATAGACAATTTGTGAAGTGAATTCGACAACACTTCCTACTTCAACTGGACGTAAGAAACTGTTTTCATTCAAGGCAAGGAAAACTGGTTTGTGTTTAGTGAACATGTATGCAGTCAAGAATCCCAACTCATAGGCCTCTATTTTAGTTCAATAAATTCCAAATTTCAAAAATTCCACAATATTAATTCCATAAATATATTATAATGGATTTGAGTAAAATTAAAAATATAAATTAACAATTAAAACATACCCTTCAAGAGGAAACCACCAAAGATTTTTCCATGAATATTTCTATTAGTTGGATGCATAATCTTAATATTGCTTTGACGAGTTGTTGCCATTGGCATGCAAGCTTGAGGTTCTCCTCCATCCAAGGATAATTGGTGGACAGTGAGACAGTTTGGATTTGAATTATCAAAGTCAGTTGTGATTTGTGGTTGCTTCATCTTTTGAAGGAAAATATCGTGAATGAGTAATCTTTCTTCATCACTTGGTGGCTTCTTCATGAGACTTAGGTCGCTCATTAATTTTCTTCTTGTTTGATTTTCCTTACCAATTTCGAACAAAATCTTATCCTCTTGAGTGTCTGGACTAATACTGTGAACAACAGTGGACTTGTTGGAGGACTTGTCCAAGGCAACCATGACGAAATAAGCAACCATGACAAGATCTCTTTGTTCACTCAATCCATTATTTGTGAAAGTATTGCTGTACAATGAGCTATCACTTGTTGGTGAGTCCTTCTTCAAACTGTGAACTTCAATTCTGATTTCCATACTAGATTTACCAGTACATGTAACTTTACCAACAATTTCCAAATCAAAGAAAGGAATAATTGGCTTTTGTAATTCAATTCTATCGATGGCTGCAGTGACAATGGTCAAAGGTCTTCTCTTATCAAAACCATCGGAGTGTTTATAAGCTACTTCTCCTGCAAGAGCATCCAAATCTTCCAACTATTTTTCAATATATATGAATTCCAAATGTTAACATTGATTATTAGTAATATTTCAAATAGATATATAATAATAATATTAATAATATTGTTAATGATATTATTCACATAATTTGATAGTAAAATAAAAACTTACAAGACGACCAATTCTCATTCCATTAAAAGCATTCATATAGATATCTCTCAATTTAGAATCGGTAGAGAATGGCAATTTAATAACAACTTCACTTTCCTTTGGTGATTTTGACTTGATTTCGAAAGGCTTTTCCTCAGCAGGTTGTCCATTATTTAACATTTCATTCATGTGATCTTCTTGTTGTTGAGAGAGGTATCTTCTTTCAAATCTGTGCTTGTTCAAATGATAATCAATACTTTAACATTATTCCGAAATAATATATTAATAGTAATAATAATAATAATAATGTAAAATCATCGTGATCATCCACAATTAATCCGATCATTAGAGAGAAGTAGAATAATATTAACCAATAATCCGTAATGATCAAGATATATCAAAAAGGATTGAAAATAACCTACTCTTTAGCGACTCTTACAGACAAGGATTCGGCATCTTGTACTTCTGTTTCTTGAGTTTGATTTCTCATCAATTGATTGGAGTGATAACAGCCCTTTGATGATGCTGAGAATCTCACCACCAACAACGAACATGAGGAAGAACCAATTCTTCTTGTGGCTCTTGAAAGTGTTGAAGTGAATGATTTCATTTTTTTAAATTCTAATTTTAAATAATTTTAAGGAAAAATATTCTTTTTTTCATATTTATTTGAATTGAAATAATATCAACATGAAATTTACATTAAGAAAAACTATTTTTAAGACAAAATTGATTGAAAATTTGAGCATGTTAACTTAAAGTGATTTGGAAGGTGTTGGTGCACGGGTCAATCTTAAATACCATTCAACAAATAAACATGAAGTCACCCAACCAGCAATGAATTCGAAAGCAAAGAGTTTGTGAGCTGTGGCAGTAACTAACCAAGCATCTGGAGCACAGAGGACATTCTTTGCAATGGTGACCAAAATTCTCATGTAGAAGACTCCAAAACAAAGAGCCCACATTCTACAAGCCCATTCTCTATGAGCTGCAAAGTCCTTTCTTCTAGCACTTTCGAATGATTTGTAAATACACACCAAGGTATAAGGTGCAAACACAAATGTTGCCAATTGACACAAAATACCCATCTTGGAGGTCAAAACCAGCAAGATTGAAGAGATGACCGAAACAACAGCACTCACAAATGTAATCTGACCTAACAATTTGTGAACTTTTCCACCAACCATCTTTCTCATCACACCCAACAATTGGAAAGGAGACAAAACAAAGACCACTCCTCCACAAACCACATGTCCCAAAAACAATGCATACTTGACCAATCCACTCTCATGATAGGCCTTAAACCACTTATCATAAAATCCCTCTCCCAAACTCTCTGTTGTGCTGGCTCTATGATAGCTATCACTGTACATCATCAGACAATGAATGCCGAAATAGAGAGAGGCCAATGTCATTAAACTCCACAAGGAATAAGAAGCAACCGAAGATAAAAAAGCTTTCATTTCTGGTTATTTGCTTGGATTATAGCAGTGTAGTTGTTTTTTTTGAATGTTACAAATGCAATGAGAATGTTGGTGCAAGGTTAGGTGGTGATTTAGTTGGTTTTCACACAGAGTGCCAAAAGGTAAGTAGTTGTTGGTCGATTCGAAGATGATCCAACAACTCCTTAATTTCCCCGTTTGGAGCATATTAATAAGATCAATGAGATTACAATAAAAATTGTCCGCATCGTTGACTAATATCTTGTGTTGTGAAAAATAATGATGGTTGTGAAAATAATTGACTCGATTTCAAAGAACACATAGGATTCATTCGTTGATGATGCACTTTTTGTTAAGGCAAGTCAACAAGAGTTCCTAAGAGGATGATGTTTCTCAATGCCGTGAACAAACCTTTGTTATTGAGTATCAATTATTATAAATTGAGATGGTAACCAAGTCGAAACCAATTTCCTTTTAGGTAATTTAAAAACAACTTTTGGTCATTGCCTATCAAACAATCCAATTAGAAAAAAAATCATTGATGATGATTAGAACGATGACTCTAAATTTCCTTTGCATTGCTTTACCACTAGTTGCATTGCTTTTCATCAGCTCCCAGTGGATTGTCTTTTCGAAACCTGTCGAATATCAAATAGAAACACTATCAGCCACTTCCCAACCATTGTCTTTTTCCTTCACACTTGGTCGGCAATCTTCATCACAAAACGAATTAATTTACTTTCTTTCTTTTTACCAATTATTCGAATTCAACCAAAATGGTGGAAAATTGTCACAATTAATTGGTTGTGATTCCTCTTCATCTGGCAGTAAATTGTCATGTGAAAGCTTTTCGCATTTCAAGAATGGTGCTAAATTCTCATCTGCCAATCGAACCAATATTTTGTTTTCCAGTTTTCATGTGGACGAAAGTGATGAAAATCAAATTTATCTTTCCAGTTTTTATCAAATTTATTTATTTAATAAGAGGGAAGGTATTATTACACTACTTTCCGATAAGGATTTTGATAAAAAAACGAATGCACGAGATGGAATGTTTCTAAACGAAACTGTATTTACTGAAATACGGTCAATTACGAAAGATTTTATTGGAAATATGTTTATTTGTGATGATGAAGTAATTTACAAAGTTGGTTTAGATGGAATTTTACGAGAATTGACCTCTCGTGAGGGAACTTCACTTAAAAAACAAAACGGCTATTCGAATCAGACTATTCTCCTGAACCCAACTTTTATTTCACATCATAAGGGTTATATATATGGATATGACATATTTTCCATCTTTAAAATCAATATAGAAACAGGTTGGTTGACTGTTATTTCAGGAAAAGTATTTGGTTCATCATCTGGCACTGATGGACCTGCGTTGGATACCGTAATTTCGCCGAAAGGTCTTTCGTTTCTTCCAGACGATTCGATTCTGACATTGGATCATGAATATTTCAAGATTATTAATCAGACAGATGGAATGTTGAGAACACTATTTAAATTAGAAAGTTTCAAGCCAAGTACAAGTTCTTTCGTTTTTGGGAATTATTTGATTGGAAATGAAAACAAAATTCTAAAGATTGATTGGTTGGCTGGAAGAGTTTCATTAATTTTGAAAGGAGGAATAGGTGCTTTTGGAGATGGAGTTAATTTAAAGAATAGATATTTCAAATCAATTTCTGCAATTGCATTTAATGAGTCGAGTGGTGAATTATTTGTTGCCGATTCATCATCTGAAAATACTTTGGAAAAAATTAACATTTCAAATGGAACGTTGCAAAGCATTTCTCTAACATTTTCGAATGTTTCATGTTGGAATTCATCAATAGAGACGAGGAGTGTTATTTCATATAATCCAGTTTCATTGCAAATCAAGGATTCGAATTTGTTTTTGGCAAATACTGGAAGCCAAAGTTCAATTCAAAAATTTGATCTAGCTCAGAAAGGTGGATCGAGTTGTTTTTATGCAGGTTCAATCAGTAGTGATAGATTATTATCTAGATCTGGACCTCTTTCAGTGATAATGAATAATCCAAATGGAATTCATTGTTCACAAGTTTATGATGAAATTTATATTGCAGGTTTGTTTCGCATATTTTGGAAAATCAAATAACTTTCAATAATAGATACTGATAATCATCGAATTTTGAAAAGTAGAAGAGGAACAGTGGAAGTTATTGCTGGAAATGGTATTCAAGGTTATTCAGGTAAGTTGCCATTTCTAATAATTTTATAAATTATAATAAATTTTAAGGTGATGGAGGTTTGGCTATTAATGCTCAGTTAGATAGACCTCATTCAGTTTATTATGAAGGTAGCACAAGAACTCTGTACATAGCAGACTCTGGTAATCATCGAGTGAGATCTGTACAAATGGATACTGGAATAATTTCAACAATTCTTGGAACTGGAAATTCTGGTTTCAATGGAGATGATATGAATCCGTTAGAAATTCAACTAAATTTCCCAAAATACGTTGTCCACTCACCAGGATGGGGTCTATTCATTTCAGATAGCAATAACCACAGAGTGAGATGGTTAAACAATTCGGTTGTGACTACCATTTTAGGAAGTGGAAATTCTGGTTCAAAAATTGTGACTAACAATCCGACTCTGACTGAGCTTACTTCACCATTTGGATTATTTTTTGAAGCCTTGGCAAGTACTCTCTACGTTGCAGGTATGTTTCATATGAATTAATTTCAGTGTTTGACAAATTCGTCTAGATTCGTTCAATCACAGAATTTTATCTGTCTCCCTATTCGATGCAAGATCTGTTTCCATAATAGCAGGAACTAATTCACCTGGTTACAATGGAGATGGTATGAATCCAACACAAGCCAAGTTATTTCTTCCTAGTTCTGTTTTCATGTTATCTAAATATGAAATTTACATTGCTGATTCGTATAATAATAGAATTAGAAAGATTAGTAATGGAATTATTTCAACATATGCAATGGCTTCTCAAAAGACAGATCTCAATATACCAATTGGAATGTGTGGATATGGAAATGACCTCTTTATTTCAACCGAGAATGAAATAATAGAATTAGTTGGAAGTTATATTTATAAGAAAGTGGGAGGATTAGGAGATGGATTGAACGTCTTCTATGCTCACGTCAATCCAACAAAGATTCTCTTCTATCCAGACAATAGAATGTTAATTTCAGAATCAAGTACGAATAGAATTCGATTGGTGAATGAAAATGGAACGATTTCAACAATTGCTGGAACTGGTAAATTTGGATATGGAGGAGATACAAGTGAGGCCAATGTTGCCATACTTGCTTCACCGACTGGTCTGTCATTTAGCCCTAATCATTCCACAGTTTACTTTGCCGATTCCTCCAATAATCGTATCAGAAAATTGGTTTCGGATTTGGTTTTCCTTGTTGCTGGCACAGGGGATGCTGGAAAATCCTCATCAACCGATCCTTTTCAATCCAAATTCAATAATCCTAGACTAATTGCCACTCTCACCAATGGAGACGTTGTAATTGGAGATACTCTGTCCAATGAAATTCGAATTATTTCCAATAAGGAAGGAACAATTCGAACAATTGCTGATATCACAGCAGCCACCGACATGATTTCCACACAAAACAATACTCTCTACATCTCCACCAATGAACAGATCATCAAGGCAACTCCACGCTGTGAAACAGGATTCCAATTAGTGAAACAAAACACTGAATGTGTTCCAATTTGTTATGGAATGTTTGAGAGTGGAATGGTTTGTTCAAGTCGTGGTGAATGCACTTCTCCAGATAATTGCAAATGTTGGAATGGATTATACACGGGAAAGGAATGTGAAATTCCAATTTGTTTTGGGATCTCTGCAAATGATCCTAATGTATGCTCGTATGGAAATGGAACTTGCATGATCAATAACAAGTGTCAATGTTTGGATGGATTTTATGGAGAAACTTGTCAATTTCCAATTTGTTTTTCTAAAATAATTGGAGAATCATGTGGTGGACCAAGCAGAGGAGCTTGCACCAATAAGGATGTTTGTAAATGTGGTCAATTTTACACTGGCGAACAATGCCAATACCGAATGTGTCAAGGAAAGAGTGAAATAGACAAATCTGTATGTAGTGGACATGGAAAATGCCAAGCTAATGGAAGATGTGAATGTGACACTCTTTATATTGGAGATGATTGTTCCAATATGTCACAAATTTATGGATTGAGCATTGCTTCTGCACTCATTATTGTTATCCTCACTACAATGTTGGTAGTTTCTCTCATTTTGGGAGTAATCGTCTATAGGAAGAATAGGCGAGAGAAGAAAATAATCGAAACTGAACTCTCACTTGATGAAAGATTATTATCCTCAACTGATATATATGAAATGTCTCTATCTCACGGTTCATTAGCATCGCATGCTACTGTATCAACTGAAGATGCTTCTTCCTTCGTGATTCCACTTCACAAGATTGGAATGGATAAACCAATTAAGGTTAGTTTCAAATTAATTATTCTATTAACAATTGAATCTTGATAAATTAATTTAACACAGAGACTTGGAGAAGGTGGAATGGGAAGTGTTTTTATGACCAAATTTAATGGAATGACAGTTGCTGTCAAGGTCTTTGATTTGAATAACTTGAATATTTCAGAGGAGGATTTCAAGAATGAAGCAATAGTATTAAGCAAACTTCGTCATCCAAATATTATTAACTTTTATGGAATTTCTACATCACCAACTAAACGATACATTATCATGGAATGTTTGGATCAGAGCTTGGAGAAGGTAATTGCCAAATTGGAAATGAAACAATTATCTTTCACACTCGAACAAAAATTGAGAATGTTGCTGAATATTGCTAATGGAATTGAATATTTGCATTTTTTGAAACCGAGGAGGATTATTCATCGCGATTTGAAAACAGCTAATATTCTACTAGACTCGAATGGAAACTGCAAGGTTTGTGACTTTGGGTTGAGTAAATCCATTTCACAAGCAACTGTTTCCGCACTTACTAATCAATTGGGTACACATTTTTATATGGCTCCAGAATTATTCGATATCAAACCGATTGATCCGACCTATGCCACATCAGTTGATATCTACAGTTTTTCTATTATCATGTGGCAATTACTATTCGAAATTAAGGATCCCTATCTCAGTAAATCTCCAGAAATATTGAGAAAGCTTGGAACTACCTCAATTCTTGAACAAGTAACTTCCTACCAATTGACCAAAATGATTTGTGAGAACAACCACAGACCAAGCATTCCTTTCAATTCCATTGAATCATGCCATGAATGGTGTTTCGAATACATGCCTTCCTCCCAAGACGAATCTCCTCAAATCTTTGCACTTTCCCAATTAATCCAAGAATGTTGGCAAACTGATCCAAAACTCCGACCAAACATTGAACAAGTTATCCAACACCTTCAATCCCTACTCACCTAAGGAGAAGGTAAAAACCCATATCACATCATCCTACTATCTTCTTTCTCTAATTTTTTGTAAACTCTCTTCCAATTCCTCAATAAATCCACACGAAAAAATTTGGCAATGAAAATTTTCAAGTCCATTTTTGAGCAGCTGATGATAAAAATTCTTTTTGAAAAAAATTCAAATATTCGTTTCGCTAGGAAGGTGCTGTTTAGAGTTTCATCATCCCGCGTTTTTTATTTACCGTTACGAACATTATAAAACCATCATACCAATATATATATAAATTTATTAAATACAAAGATGATGATGATGAATCAAAAGAGAATATCTGCCGTTAGATCATTGATGAAGAATGTTAATGGCAAGAATTCCATCATCATGATGAATAAGTGTTCCAATATGATGTTGATGAAGAATAATTATCACTCGAGTTTGTATCAATCGATGAAGGTTGTTCATCCGGTTGAGATTGCTGCTACACCAGAGAATAAGGATACTTCACTTCCAACTGCTGAGGAAATTCAATTTGTTGCTCCTATTGAAGATGGTGGTTTGTCGTCGACTGCTCATGTTTCCTTCTATGATATTGAAGAAGCCTTTGCAAGAATTAGTAAGTTTTGTATATATTGTTCATCAATTCTCATCATATCATGTAATTTATACATTGTTTATACTTCTTTCCATCATCATGTTGCTAATTTAAATCTTCTTCATCATCTTTCATTTATAGAACCACTTTTACCTCCAACCCCACTGCAAGAATCAGCTGTTTTAACACAAGAAATATTCGGACAACAAAAGAACGTTTTGCATCCTAGAAAGGTCTTTTTGAAATATGAAAATAAGCACATGACTGGAAGTTTTAAGGAAAGAGGAGCTATTAACAAGTTAGCTGCTTTGGATACAGAACAAAGAAAGAGAGGTGTTGTTGCCTCATCTGCTGGTAACCAGTAAGTATATTATCTAAATTCATTTTAGTTAAATTTCAATAGTGCTCAAGGTATGTTGAAAATGCATTTTGTGGAGTTTTTAACTGTTTTTTAACTGTTTGATCAATATTTGGAATACAGCTGTTGCTTATCATGCTATGAGACTTGGAATTAAGGCTACTATTTGTATGCCTGTGAATAGTCCACTTTCTAAAGTGGCCGGAACAAAGAGATATGGAGCTGAAGTAGTATTATTCGGAGAAAGTGTCGATGATGCCTATCAAGAAGCTTTGAGAATTAAGGAGGCAGAAAATAGAGTTCTCGTCCATCCATTCAACGATGACGCCATTATTGCTGGCCAAGGAACATTAGGTTTGGAACTTTTGGAACAATCACCATATATTGACACAATCGTGTGTCCAATTGGTGGAGGTGGTCTTATCAGTGGTGTTGCCATTGCTTGTAAGACTGTTAATCCAAAGATTAAGGTTTATGGTGTTCAAACTGAAAATGTTCCTTCCATGGTTACTGCCAAAAAGAATAGAAAATCCACAACTGTTCCTTTCCATGCTACCATTGCTGATGGTATTGCTGTTAGAAGAATTGGTGATTTGACATTCCCAATTATTGATCAATTTGTCGATGATATTGTTACTGTCACGGAAAGTGAAATTGCTCACGCTGTTCTCGTCCTTTTGGAAAGAGAAAAGACTCTCGTAGAAGGAGCTGGTGCTACTCCAGTTGCTGCCCTTTTGAGTGGAAAGTTAGAGGAAGTGACAAAGACAAGCAGTGGTTCTCATCGTGTCTGTTGTATACTTTCTGGAGGTAATATGGATGTTGGTACTGTTAGAGATATTATCGATAGAGGTTTGGCACAAAGTGGTCGTTTAGTTCGTTTGAGAACTGTCGTTCCTGACGTTCCAGGTCAATTAGCTAAGGTTTTGACACTTTTGGGAGAACTTAAAGTCAACATTAGAGAAGTTGACCACGAAAGAAATTACAATGTTCCTGTTGGTTATACTGGTACTGTTATTACATGCCAAACAAGAGGTTTTGAACACATTGAAAATGTCAAGAATAGTCTCATTCAACACGGTTTCAGTTTTGAAATGATTCAGTGTCATGATTAAATTCTTTTCAACATTACTATCATTTAAAAGATATTGGAAATATCGGACTTGAACCGATGACCTACTATTGTAATTGCCAATAGCTTGCTCTCCCAAACTAAGCTAATTTCCAAATATCACTTCTTAATCCCTCAATGGTCTGGAGTAATTAATATTTTAAAATAAGGTAATTTATGGTATGGAGCAATTCATATTTTCATTGGACATCAGTTTTATTTTTCTGTATTGTGATAAATACCATTCCAATCTCTTGGTGGATGAACAGCGTACTCTCTACATCTTTCTCTCAATGTTCTCGAAGGGCCATCTTCTGGTCGAATCTTTAGACATTCCTCAAAGAATAGTAAAGCTTGAGCAAAATCTCCAGATGCATACATTTCCAACGCTCTTTCGTATATTTGTCTGAGTCTCATTATTTCATCGTTTGGAGTTGGGAGAGGTCTACTACTCTTTGTATCTTTTGAGGGTTCTTTAATTGAATTGTTGGTTCTTCTTCCAAGCAACTCATATATAACACAACCAACACTCTTACCCTTCACACTGATTTGGTCAATCTTTCTCACCTCCAATTGTTCGGCAACATAAGGTTGGAGGAATGTATCTTCAGACAACAGAATGCTGGTTCCATAAAACTTGTTTGTTCCTTCCAAACGAGAAGCCAAATTTACAGAATCACCAATAATGGTAAAGTTTAGTCTCCAAATACTTCCAATATTACCAACAACACAGGACCCACTATGTAACCCAATACGACACCTAAACAGTGGCTTTGCTTCCCTTTGCCATTTTCTTCTAAGGTCAGACATTCTTTGTTGACATCTCAAGGCAGCTCTACATCCTCTTAAACCAGAAATTGCTGATGTGTCAGGAGCTCCCCAGAAGGCCATTACTATTTCAAAATTTTTGTTACATCCTGAAATCGTTAAACTTACCTGAATCACCAATATACTTATCCAAAGTTCCATTCTCGTAAATAATTTCTTCTGTCAACACATGAAAATATTCAGAAACATGTTGAATCAACATTTCAGGATCCAATTCTTCACTAATTGTTGTAAAATTTTCAATATCTGAGAAAAATATTGTCAAGTTACCAACAAGCCTACCACCCAAAGTAATTTCATTACCATTCTTCAACATGTCTCTCAGTAGTTCATTTGGAACAAACTTTTTAAATGATCGAACAGTTGTTTTCATCTTATCAAAGGCAATAGAAAGTTCATGAATTTCAGTTGTGGTGTTGTAAACTTTTGAAGTTTTTGGAGCTTCTAAATTTGAGAGAGCCTTACTTTCTCTTGAGAAGAATCTCAATGGTTTGGACACAGCTTGAGAGAATATGCAACTAAAAAGTACACCAAAAGCAAGGCACACAAATGCGATACCAATTGTTAGTCCCAACATGAGCATAACATTACTGACAAAGTCACCATCTGGAGCAACTACGACAACAATCCAATGCATGTTCAAATCGACTGTTCTTTTTACTACTCCATGGGCAACAACATAGTCTTCACCACTAAAGGAAAAGGAATTCAAATGTGGATTATACTCAGCTGTGGACTTATTCTTATAGCCAGAGTAATCACTTGGTAAGATGTTGAGTAATACGTGTTTCAGTAAAGGATCTGAAACTTCGTGTGCTTCAGCAATTCTGATATCGAAAGTGGAACTTTCATCAAAAACTGCTATTGCTGATGAATTCTTGAACCCAAGAACACGCTTATGGAGAACGGGTGCACCGCTATTGCTCTCTCTAGTGAAAAATTCAACAATAGCTACAAAAGAATTTGGAGAAACATAGAACGATCTAACAAAATCTGACAAGTATTTGATGTTAACATTGATACTGGTCATTCCTAGAAAAGTTGAATCATATGGAGAATAAACGTTAGATTGGTAGCAGGTATAGATTCTTTCCTCAATTGACGATCCCTGCCATTGAACATCCATTGGAACGAGGGCCTCTTTGTGTTTGAGAGCTAATTTGTAGAACTCTCCTTGAGTTGGGTCCCATTTATCCATTAATTCTGAATCAGTGACAGTTCTCAATTTTCCATATTTCGAAAAGTAGTAAAACGACTGAAATGTTTCATCATTTGCCTGCTTCATCAGAAAAACTCTTTGCATATTGTCGAATTGCCCCTCATCTTCGTTTGAAACTGGAAGTACTAGTTCATAACTTTCATCAACATACAAATAATCTGTATTTGGGCAAGTAAAATCCACCAAGAATATCTTTCCTATATATTGATGATGGCTTACAGCTAGTAACCTTAAAATATTTACATAATTTTCATAAGAGTAAAAGTTACTAGTTGAAGAATTAGTATTAAGGCCACCCTCATTCATAAAATAACTCCTATAGATGGCATGTCTCTGTTGTCTTGTTGCCTCCATACATATCCACAAAAAGTCGGAAACATAAGACTCTGCTCTGAAATATGACTGTGCCATTACTTGATTTTTAACATCATTGGAAGCAAGAATTGAAAATCCAATAGAAATTCCTATTAATGAAAGAACTGGTATCACTAACATTACTAGCATCATGGTGATCAATAAACATCTGAATGAGCAAATATAAAAATGTGGCCTCAATTCAACAGAAGTTGGTCTCTTCTCCTCTCCGGTAATACTTTGTGGCGTAACTATAGAATCGTTATCAAAAAGCTTTTTTGTACTAGTTTTAAAGCTTGATGCCAACGACTCTTGCTCTGCCAAATTGTGGAAGGAAATTTCTCGAGAAGGAGCAACATAATAAAGTGAGTTGGAACGAGCAAGTTTTTCTTGAGGTTGAATTTGGAGCATACTATTTCTCCTAGAATTTGGATTGGATGATAACTTAGAATTTGGGGATTTGGTGGAGGACATTGTGTTTGTACTTTTAACATTTGGAATAAAAACACTGGAAGAAGGTGGAGCTTGTACTTGTTGAACTGGAGTTGAATTTGGTATACTAGTGATGGACTCTAAACTTTGTTCATTGTTGGCCGTCTTGGTCATCACATAAGTATTTAAATTATGAACTGTGGTTGGGACAGACTCTTGGTCCGACAAATCACGAAAGAAGAATTCCTTCACTGGTGGAGCATAATAGATGGGATTATTGGCGTAAACTGGTGTTCTATCAGGAAGAGAGGGTGGGATTTGCATAATACTATTCCTTCTCGAACTTGGGTTCGATACAGGATATTTAGAAATAAGATTGGGTAGTGATTCATTACTACAAGATTCAATGAGTGGTGTTACTTTGTTGCTGTGCATTGGATTCGTCATTTAAGGTTGCGCTTAATGTTGTTGAAGTATGTTGGTAGTAATTAATAGCCAATGATGAAGATGATGATGAACAGCGTTATCAATAATTATTAAGGAAAAAAAATGAAGAGAATGGCCTTATCCAACTGCGCTTATTTTTTTTAAAGTACGTTAAATAACCAACAAACGCGTTAATGCATCAGATATAGCTCGAGCCTTTTCAGGCGATTAAGTCCCGAAATTGAATCTATAAGTTGGCTTTAAAGTGAGTTTGTTTTTTAAACCTCAATACCTTAATACAAACTCTAATTATGATTTTCATCAATATCAATTACTTTTTACTTGAATTCAAAAATTCTGAATACCATGATCGATTTGGATAGGTTTTCATGTTTTCTCGAAGTGTTTTGAAGAGATGAAAGTCATCCTTATTCTCTACTCGATAGAGAGAATCCACAAATGCATCCACTGAATCGTAATTAGATACCTCGGGTTTGTCCTGTTTTTGTCTCAACTCCATTGCTTGACAGTGAGAATGCCACTCCTTCTCATAGAGAGGCAAATTCTTCTGAAGGGCTTCCCTTAATTCCTTTCCTCTCGATTTGGTCAATAATTTAAAATACAAATCACCTTGGAAGGGAAGTCTAAGATCTGCATAGGTGAGAGTGACAAGGCGTGTTGTCGTATCTGAGGTTTTGTAAAAGTAGTGAATGGTCAATCCATCAGCACTGATTGGTTCCTTTCCATCTGTTGTTCCATTCACTTCATTAGATACAGATGAATCACTATTCTCGTAGGTTTTATGATACATTATGAAGCAATCAAGCCCAGCATCATAAATCAAGCTACACAGATAATGGAACACTCTCTGACTGAATCCCAATCCAATTGTGAAAGGAACATCTAATGTGGTAAAGGCAAGATGCGCTTCTTTTGAACACCTTGGGGAAATAGGTGGAGAACCCGATAAACAAGAGCAGGATTTTGAGTTTCTCAGAATGGTTCTTGGTACTTCATCCTCTGGAACAGTACATTTGAACTGTGTAGTATCAAAGATTCGATTTGAAGAGTTTTCTTTCTGTGCAAGAGGTGATACTTGTTGGGAACCTGTTGTATCATTGCTCATACTAGTTCTGGTGCCTCTTGGTGATTGAGTTGTTTGGGGTGGATTCAATGCTGAACTTGTTGAACTTGTTGAAGATGATTGAGGGAATATTGAGGCAGTGGAAGAATTTCCTCCAGAATAGGTGATATTCTTGAAATCCACAACCCAAGGGTCCAACTTTTTACGGACCTCTTTACTGGACGCATAAATTGCCAGCACGTAATCTCTTGGGTAGGGTAATTGATAGACATACTTGATACACTTGAGTCCTTTCAAATTCTTTCCAATCATGAAATTGGTCGAGGAAATGTAGCGAGCTGTTGACATTGGTTTCTCCTTCTCATAGACACAATTCCAATAGGGTGAGTCTTCAATGAGAGCAAAACTATTCGTAATGTGATGATCTGACAATGTCTTGTGAATGAAATCCTCAGTCTTGAATCGACAATCTCTTCCCTTGGTTGTGTCCAATGCAATGGCTCTGGTAAATTCCTCTCCATTCTTTAAGAGAAAGTTTTTCAAAAAGTCACTCCTTGAATATCGTGGAAATTGGTCCAATTTCATGTCAGTGAGTACAGCCAAGTAGACAGTGCTGAATAGATTCTCAGGCGATAGTAACTCAACCATTGTAATGAAATGATAAGCCTCCTCTGGCCATTGATTGGCTTCATAGACATTTTGTAAAGTTTCCCAATTATTTTTCACCTTCTTATTTATGATATTTGGTAAATTCAACCCACCAATAATATACTTCTCCATAATTACAGAAGCCAATGCATAACAAATCTTGATGGCATTCACATAGGGTTCTGCCACTGATGAGCTAGCAACGACCCCCGAAAAGATGTCATTCACAAAATTCAAACTACGCACAGATTTTGTATCCAATGTTTGTGGTGTATTGCCACCAGTTTTTCTCCTTCCAAATAGTGAAGTTCCAGTACTATTTCTTGGAGTACTTGTTGTTGAGGATGATGAGGTGGTAAAGGATGAATTCGGTAACAATCGGTTGCCAAATCTGAGAAAGTAAGCATTCTTGTACTCTTCAAAATCTCTCAAAAAGTGAACAGTTTCATTACAGAGGGCAATATTGGTGAGATAGTCATAGAAATGATTTCTTGCAGCTTCCACTTCCATAACTTCAGTAAATTGGACAGCATACTTGGAAATATCAAAAGAACCAGAATTATTATTGGAAAATGCTGAACAATTATTAGAAAGATGTCCACCGTTAGGAGAGGTTTCATTCAATGAAGAAGAATTTGATGATGAACTTGCCGAGGAACTATTCGAATTGTTAGAATTATTGAAGAGGAGTGGAAACAGAGAACGAGACGATCTCTTACTCGGTGTAGAAGGAGAATTGACCATCATGAAGGAGATGACCAATTTTCAAAATGTATTTTGTTTTACTTGTTTTTTTACCTTTTTGAGGAGAATTTGAAAGGTGACTAGTCTCTCAGGTATGGTTAATTTATGAAGGTTGATGAAGGAGATGAAAAATCCTGAAACCAAGTACGAACCAGGTCCAGCACCACCTGTTGATATCTCATTGGAATTAATCGGGCAACTTGAGAATGAATTAAGGTACTTTCGAAAATGTTACAAAAAAAAACTGTAAAACAAGTTGGACAGAGATTGTAACCGGATAACCATGATAAGAACCTTGCTTCCTCATTTTATTCTTTATTCGAATCCTGAAACTAGTCTTCAGCAATTTGTTCAAAGTAAATTCCATCTCCTCGTCTAGTAATCATTAAGAAATACATTGACCAAAATGTGCCAATACCACTCCCATAATATTCTGCAATAATTGGACATTCTCTCTCAAGATACAATCTCAATCCATTCAAATCTTCAGAAATTCCATCACTCTCTCCACCAATCATGGTTTTCATCAATTCAATTAATTCCAAATCACGATCTGCTTTATCTTGTTCATAAGTTTTGTCATCCTCAGACCAATGTCCTGATTCTAATACTTTCTCTGTATTGATTCGATATGTTTCAATGAAATATGTAGAGTTGGAAATCCTTTCTTCCATGTATTGAAAATAAGGACTATTCCAATAAATTTTAAAAAATGATTTCATGAACTTGAAGAATTGATTTCTAATTTGCTCATCATGACTGATCATTCTTTTCAATATTACCAATCCAAAAGTGGAATTCATTTTGAATTTTCTTATGGATCCTTCAGAACCATAATTAATTCCGCCTAATCCTTCAAATTCAACTTTGTAAACTTTGGAAAGGTCATTTGGCAAGTAATTTGGTGAAATTAATCTCCTCATGTCTATCAATTGTCAATTCCGTTGCAGAATTGTCATTAGGGGAAATGATAATAGAATTTCTATTGGCCAACAACTTCCAAATATTAGGAGAAGTGTCGGTGGTGTTGATTTTCCAATGTAATAATTGATGCCATTCCTTGCAAACAAGAGATGCAGCATAAAGAGTATGGAGTTGCCATTCATCATTAAAACCTTCCAAGAGTGTTGTCAAAATCTCAAGCCACAAGTCTCTGCTCAGTAATTGCATTTTGTTTTTACAAAACATGTGAACAAACTTCACCACAGAAGTTCCTACAGTAAACCGCATATTGTTACCGTTAAAAAATTCAAAAAAAAAACCAACACTTCTTTGCATGTGTTCACCATCTTGATAGGTTTTGTTTTGGAGGTTAGTGGTTTTTGGCATCAACTACTTCACCAGAATTAGCACTTCCTTCAATCCGTGTAGTGAAATAATAATATCATATTACTATCATCTACAAGAGGTTAAGATGTAGAGTAAGAAAATTTATCAATATTCTGTATTGACCAATTCCTCAACAACAATAAACCTCCACTACTGAATCAACACCAACATGTTCTTCAGCCTTCATTAATCCAAGTTCCATGTCATCCTCGATAAGCCACTCCTCCAAAGGAATGAAAGCCATCAATTTTCATCACAGAATCGCAAAAAAACACAACCAAATCCTCCCCAAACTACAAAGATCAAAGGCTTTGTTTTTAATTTAGCCTGGCAAAATATAGAGTAAAACACAATTTTGGCGTTTTTGTGTTCAGTCAATTATTGATTTTTGTTGTATTTTGAATCATTGACAATCGTAATAGTTACATAATTATTTAAAATTTATATATATTTAAAGAATGTTAACTTCTAGTTCGAATAATAACAATACTACCTCTAGTACGAATGGTAGTACTAATAATAATTCATCATCATCAATAACGTCATCAGCAAGTACATCTATTTCTAATACAACAACGACATCTTCAATAATAACTTCAAATAATAATAACAACAATGGAAGTACAACAACTGGTGGTAATAACGTTGGATCATCATCATTAGGAACTTTGAATAGTAGTTCTAATAATGCAAATAACAATAATAATAATGGAGGATCATTGTTGACAACACCTACAATTGCAACTCCTGGTATGAATAACAATTTAATGTTGAATTCTGGAGGAGTTTCATTGTTAAGTATGGCTCAATCTCCACCTTCGAATAATTCTATTCTAAACTCTGGACTTCATTCGTCAAGTTTGTATGGCATTCAGAAAAATGCAACTGAAAACGTTCCTACTAATAGTACAGTAACAACAAGAGATGAAAATTCAGTGTATGGAAACTATTCGAAAATTGTTGAAAAATCAGAAACCTTTAGAACAGTGACATATGCAAACGTTTCACGTTTGGCAACAGATTTTGGATTTTTAATTGATAACGAGGAGTTGAGTGACGTACAACTAAGAATTGGAAGTGGGAAGAATCAAAGAACATTCCATTGTCATAAGGTTATATTATGTCAGAGATCTGAATATTTCAGAAATATGTTCCTTGTGAGTAGGGGAATGTTTTTAGAATCTGGAACACCTCTTTCAACAGGTACAAGTTTACCATTCTCTGGTAATTCAGAGGTGTTGACTAATTCGTTCGGCACTAGAATTTCAATTGTAGAAAAACCAAATATTACACCTATTGTTTTTGAAAAGGTATTACAATATATTTATACTGGAAGAGTTACGTTTACCACACAACTCAAACATAAGAAAATCAAGGATAAAACAGTGCATGTCACTCACATGATTAGCACAGATGATATTGATAATGTCATTTCAATGTGTATGCATGTATTGGCAGCTGCTGATGAATTGATTTTGTTGGAACTCAAGAATTTCTGTGTTGACTATGTAAAGCAATACATTGATTCGGAGTCGGCCATTGTTCTATTGGACTTGGCATCAAAGTATGGTTCTGAGGATTTAATTGAAAATTGCTTTGACTTTATCAAGCATAATGCTAGAGAAGTGATTGCAAGTGAATCGTTACCTTTTGTATCCAAGCTCACTATGAAGACTTTCCTTGAGAGTGAATATCTCGCTGTGGATGAAATTGAACTGTTTCGTGCCTTGTTGAGATGGGGTTTGTCACAAATTGAACACTGTCAAGATGAAGATGCTGTAGAGACCTACATTGCCAATGCAGATGATGAGGAACTTTCTGATGAAGAAGAGGAAATTGCTCTCGGCAGCAATGGTCTATCACCAGAGGATATTTCACACATTAAGGAGATACTATCACAACCTCCAGAAGAGGAAGAGTTAATCTTCCGTAAAAAGCATATAGCCATGTTCAGAAAGAAACAATTACTGAATGATTACGAGAGCCCAAATGATGGAGATGACACTGAGACAATTCCATTTGCTGTTGTCAAAAATCCACTGAGGGATGACATTAGTTTGCACACAAGACTCTCATTAGATCCTGTACCTCAAAATAGACATCATACCGATTTGATTCAACTTGCAAATAGATTGAGGGATGAGGATAAACAACTATTAAGAGATGCTTGCATGGATTTAATTTCTTGCATTCGTTTCCCTCTCATGACAGCTCATCAATTGACAGATGTTGTGGAAATATTTAATATTGTGGAGGATTCACTATTGTTGGAAGCTTACAGGCATGTATGTGCACCAGATAGAACACCACTTGTGAATTGCAAAAGAGCCCAGAAGAGAAAGGGAGCCACTGAAGGAGAGAATACTCACTTTGGAATTTCCACCATTTTGAAGAGTAAAAACAGGCAGGAACTTATCAAAATGGCTGGAGAAACCTCTATTACAAAAGGAAAAATTTGGACCTTGGCTTTCAAAGCTACAAAGGATGGATTTGACAGTAATGTATTCCACAAAATGTGTGACCAGAAGGGACCCTCCATTCTTGTTTGCAGAACTACTGAGGGTTACATATTCGGTGGATACAATTCAGTGGAGTGGAATTCAAGTAATCAATGGCTTAAGGCAAATGATACTTTCCTCTTTAGTTTGATCAATCCATACAATGATGGTCCAAGAAAACTCAAAGTTAAGAATACACAGAGAGCTGTCTATTGTCATGCAAGTTCAGGTCCATCATTTGGTGGAGGTACAAATCTCGTATTCGATCCCTATGATTTATATCTCGATTCCACCCTTAAACGAGGCCATACCAATGTTGGAGGTGCTTATTCAACATTCAGAGGAGGATTCAGAAGTGATGAAGCTCAAAAGAGTTTAGCAGGAAGCTTGAATGCATGGATTTTAAACGAAGTTGAAGTTTATCTTCTCCAATAAACTTCACAATCACCACAAGTTCATTTTAATGTTTTACGTAAAACAAGTGGACTCGTCATCTGGTTATATTCTCCGATTTTCTTCCTGTCCCTCATATCCATAGAAGAGTTCGGAAATTTCTTTGCACAAGAAACACAAAGAAAAAAATGTCTGCAGGATCTTCATCGTTATTGGGACAACAGTTACCACGTAAACGTGTTTGTATTGTAGGTGCTGGGTGTAGTGGTTTGTGTGCCATTAAAGAATTGGCAGCATCCAATGATCAAGTTTATGAAAATCAAGAATTTGCCATCAAATATCAAATTCCACTCTTTGATATTGCTTGCTATGAGGCTTCTAATGATATTGGAGGATTGTGGAGGTATTCAGAGAAGGAAACTGATTTCTCATCGGTTTATAAATCAACAGTGATCAATACAAGTAAGGAGTTGATGAGTTATTCGGATTTTCCAATTCCTGATGAATTTCCAACTTTTCTTCCTCATGAAAAGGTTGTAGAATATTTGAAATTATATGCTGCCAAGTTTGAATTGGAACAATATATTGAATTTAATACTCGTGTGGAGAATATTGATCTTGTCAATTCTGGATCAACTGACAAGTATAAGGTTATTATTAGAAAGGGTGATCAGTTGAGTGAAGAAACTTTTGATCATATTATGGTTTGTACGGGACATCACTCAACACCAAATATTGCAACATTTGAGGGATTGAAGGAAAATTTCAAAGGAAATGTCATTCACTCACATTCTTATAAGAATCCATTCGATTCTGACATGTTCATGAATAAGAATGTGCTTGTAGTTGGAATTGGTAACAGTGGTGGTGATATTGCTGCAGAATTGGCTAAAAATGTGGCCAAACAAGTGATCTTATCAACCAGAAGAGGATCCTGGATTATACCAAGAGAACTACTTGGTGATCCACTTGATCATGTTCCAAGATTTGCATGGATGTTACCACGTAGAGTTATTCAATATGCCAACGAGTTCTTATTAACTCTTGTGAATGGAGATTTGAAAAAATTCTCTAAATACTTGGCTCCTCGTCATCGATTCTTTGGTAGCCACCCAACTGTAAATAGTGAACTCATTTCCAAGATTAATAATGGTGTAGTTCGTGTAGTTCCAAATATTGTGAGATTTTCCAGAGATGGCCACACTTGTAGATTTGAAAATGATGAAAATGCTTCGAATATTGATACAGTAGTTATTTGTACAGGATATAGAATTTCATTCCCATTCTTTAAGGATGGTTTCTTTGAGGATTGTTTCGATGAGAATAACAAGGTTTCACTATACAAGTACGTTTTTCATCCAAAACATGGAACTGGTATTGCATTCATTGGACTCATTCAACCATTTGGTGCCATCATTCCAATATCTGAATTACAATCAAGAGTTGCTGTGAGAATGTTCAGAGGAGATTACAAACTTCCATCCGAATCCGAAATGAAACAAGATGTCGAACAAAAACGTGAAGCAATGGCCTCGAGATATACTGAATCAAAGAGACACACTGTTCAAGTTGACTATCCACATTACACAGACGAATTGGCCGACATTATTGGTGTGAAACCTCAATTTACAAAACATTTAATCAAAGACCCTCAATTAGGATCCTTACTTTTATCATCACCTGCCTATCCATGTACATACAGAATTGAGAAGGAGACGAGTTTAATTACAAGTGAAAGTCATCAAAAGAAGGAACGAGAACAGGCCATCAATCTCATCAAACACTATAGAAAGCAAACGAGTAAGGATGAAACAAGTACTTTTGGAAAGATTTTGGCAATTATCAAGGCAGTTTTCTTCCTCTTATTCTTATTTGTGAAGGTAATCTTGTCTAAATTCATAGATTGGGAGAAGGTGTAAACTGGTCTGGTCGAGTTTCGTCTTGGCAATTCTCTGTCCAATTATTAATAAAACAATAAATTATTAAAACGAAATGGCCATAATCATTTGGAAAATTCGTCTATCCAGCCATTGCTGAAGATACATTGCTAAGGGTAATGATGGGCAAAGCTACGGCCACAATGGACATCAAAACGAGTAGTAATATGGTAAGGAAGAAAAGAGCTAGACTAATCCTAGCACAGATTCTTGCTCTAAGGTTTTGTGAGTTTCGAAACTGAAAAATTGAAAACATTCGAATGTGAAATTGTGAAATAATTTAACATACCATGACATAGTTGGCGATCCAAACGACCAGAAAGAAGAAACCGATAATTAACAAGACGATTGCAGTGGAAGCTTCTTCACTGATTAATTCATCATCTACAAGCCATCGCAAATCTCCTTGTTGGTAGTAGAAATCTTCCGAAACTTTATCTTTCGAATAATTATTTTCATCAATTGGTGATTTATGATTTTGTTTAATTCTTGAATTATCATCGTAAAGACAAGACGCTGATGAAGACAATGATGAAGCAATATATTCTTGTTTACCCATTCCGCAAGGTTTCCAATCTTTTTTTCTGTGTTTCCATTCCATTCAATGTTTCTTTAATGTATCTTATTTTACTTTTCTCAACATTTCAGTGTTACTTTTCCGAATCATGAAATGTTAAAAAAGGAAAGCAAGGTGCCTCGTGATTTTTGCCTACTAATCATGAAAAGGTTTCGTTTAGTTTACAATAAATAATGGGTGGACAAGGTATTGAAATGGGTGTTTCTCTAATGTTTCGTGATAGTATCCTTTCAGACTTTTCATTCTTCGCACATAATTTATGATCAAAACGGACATTAGTTGAAACATGTTAAGAAAGATTTTTCTGTCCACTCTCCTAATACCCAAAAAGTTGCAAGAGCAAGATCAAGGGTAAAACTGCATAATCACTGTGGAAATTACAACAAATAATGTTTTGTGTAATCGTATCATGACTGTCTCCAACCTTAGAAATTCTATTATTGAAATCCAATTTTATCAACTAAGTTGGGCCAAATAGCTAATGACTACAACCGCATAATTACACTCTCTTTTTGGAGAAACTCTCTCTTGTCCTAATACCAGCAAAGACTCCTCCACTTTAATCTCCACCACAACTTTACTAAGTTAACGACATTATTTGTGACCTCCTGATATCTCGGATTCCTCTTAGCTTAGGATAGAATTTGATGGTGATGATGATAATTGTTTTCTTTCTCCATCGTTGCACTGGTAATGACTGGCTTAACAAGTCAAAGCCCAATAACATGGCCGTAGAAATTTACAAACAAGAATTCAACTGTCCCAATGCAAGGTTCACTATTACCTGGAATACCTCTCTTCCTACCAGAGGAAGACGCAAGACTTAACATCAACTCTCAAACACAGAGTCTAAACTTAATGATTGAAGGCCTCATCTCTCAGGTCTAAACGATTCAAGAGACGTTAACAATCAATTTTGAATTTTCTGTAATTTTTACTGTAAAACACAATGAATAAATAAAGAACTTTTAATACACTACTTGTAACAGTTCAACATAATGGAAACAGGTCAGTTAATCAATTATCATAAACATATATGGACCATTGATCAATTTGGCTGTAAATCACAATAATGAGGAAAACACTCATCTGCACTTTGTAAAGTCCGAGTTGAAAGAAAGGATGAAGATATGATATTGCTATGAAAAGTTCCCGCTCAAATGTTCAGTTTTTAATTTTAAAAAATATCATCACAACTAACCGCCATCATGATTCACTCTCATCCATTCCTTGGTGCAAGGGGAACATTGTTAAAAAGACACACAACAATGCAACAACAGCTGCATGACGATTTTTCAGCTCGGAATAACAATGTCGTCATCCTCGGCCAAACCAAGGGATGTAATTATTGTTGGACAAATAGGATTCGTTGCATCACCTTCTAGCCTGGCACGAAATTAACAATCGAAGAAAATCATTACTTTTGAAGAGTGGGGAACCAATAGTAAGAGAAATGCAAAACCGTTAGTTAGATAACATGTTAGTTGACAATCGGATTCAAATCATTCTTTTAAAGTTAAATTTTCGCATCAATGCGATGGTGAAGGACCCCAATCAAGAATAGCCTTCTCAAACAAGACATTTCAGTTGAATACTTCCTTTTATTACAACGGACTATAATTGAGTGTTCGTAATGAATAGAAAGGAAAGATACCACATTCTCGATATTACTCTCTAAAAGACCAGGTCACCTTGTCTTTCTTCATGCAACGCACATTTCATTGAGTTTAATTTTTGGACCGAGTAAGGGTGAAAGGCACATCTTGGAACGTTAAGCTCGTCAGCATTTCATTCGGTTAGGTGTTTAATAGCGCGATAATTGTGTCTTACTATTTGAATTGGTGCTGCTGCATATTTTTCGATTTCAATCGTCGACAGACTTTCTCTTCCTCACATTAATAGCACAACACGAAAAAAAGACTCAGTTCAGTATTACGTCTGCACTCCAATGGCACTGGTAAGTTTTATATGCGTTTAATGCGTGATTCAATTTTGATAGAGAAACATTTCGAATGCAACAATAGTTAAATCAATTGTTGTTGCAGCAGTTGTTTTGGGTACTTTGATAGGTGCCCTAGTGATTACACTCGCTGTTACTCTAACAATCAAGTCTGATTTGAATGGCCAATTCACAGATTATGTTAAAGGATACAAGAATAGTGATATTGTAGTCCAACCAACAATTTCAACAACATCTTCCAGTTCTCCTGCTCAATTAGACATTTCACAACAAGGATTAGAAAAGCCATATCATGGCTCCCTCAGACTAGGTTCAAACAATACCATCATCTACCACTCTGAGAAGTATTTCTCAGGTAATGATACTTTTGAATATTATGTTACCTATGGCGAAAGCTCTTCTCTAAAAGTAAAGAACAGAGTATCCATTCTAGTTATGAATAGAGATCCAAAAGCTGTACCACTCACATTCGAAATACCAAAGAATTCTCATGATAACATCATTGATATCTTTGAAAAGAATGATAAGTTTGGAATGAAGGTTACTGATGACGATGATGATATTCTCGAGTTGGTTTCAGTATCCACTCCAAAATTGTCTGGCTCTGTTGTCTCCTCCAATAGTAAGCAAATTATCTACACTCCATGCACTAATTGTATTGGTGTAGATTCTTTTACATATACTGTTACTGATTTCAATTCAACAGTCTCCTCCACAATTACTATCAACTTGGTCAATACTCCACCAAATGCTGTTAGAGATGATTTTACCATTAGCAAGAACAAGTTGGCAACTCTCAATGTCCTCTCCAATGATATTGATGAGAATCTTGACGAGTTGTACATCATCTCTGCTGGAACTGGTGAAGGTTCTATTGGTAGCGTTGTTGTTTCAACAGACAGAAAGTCATTGATCTATTATCCTAAAGCTGATACTAAGCCATACCTTGACGTTTTTAGTTATGTCATTACAGATGACTTGAATAATCCAAATTCAACCTCTACAGGTTCTATCCATGTTACAGTTACCAATTCACCACCTAATGCTCCTGAAACCAAACAAGTTTCAGTTTCCAAGAATTCAGCCAACTCTACCATTGATCTAACCTTTACTGATAATGATATTCTTGATACTGTGAATGTTGAAATATTATCAACACCAAAGAGAGGTTACTTTTCTTTTGTTCAACAAAAGTATATTGATTCTGTTGATTATTTGGGTCAAATCTATGTAGATGTTCTCAAGTTAAGATATCAATTATTGTACTCTCCAGAGAAAGGTGTTTCCTATTCTGAGAGTTTCAATGTAAAGGTAACAGATGGCTACTCAAGTTTGATTACAAGTATTATTATCAATGTGGTCAACACTCCTCCTATTTCTGTTAATGATACCATTACATGTACAAAGAATAATGAAGTAGTTGTTGACGTAATCTCCAATGACTATGATGTTGATGGTGATTCTATCAAGTTGTCTACCACCGATTGGGAGCCAAATAGTTTCAATGGTGGAGAAGTTTTCAGAACTGATGACAGGTCAATAACATACAAAGCTCCTCAAGGGTTTGTTGGTATTGATACTGTAAGATATTACATTACTGATGGTGAATCAATTTCATATGGATTCTTGACTGTCAATGTTCAAAGTGTAAAGCCGATTGCGGTGAATGATGTATTCTTTGTTCCAAAGGGACTCAAGACGTTCTTGAATGTATTGAACAATGACTACAGTCCAAGTAAGGATGAAATTTTGTTATCCTTTGCTACCATTAGAAGTGTTGAAGAATCCAATGTAGTACGTAGTCTCAGAAATAACGTCTATGGTTACGAATACTCTGCCTCAGATGTGGAATATGTCGATACATTCAATTACAAGGTTGTTGATGTTTTTGGATTGACTTCCGACTCTGCAGTAGTAACTGTTAAGGTTGTAAACACTCCTCCAAAAGCTGTTGATGATGTCATTTCAGTTTCTTGGAATAGAGATGCTGTTTTGAATGTTCTCGAAAATGACTATGATGAAAATCCAAGTGATAATCAATTACTTGTTGTTAAGAGAACTATTCACGGAGAAAATCAAACAGTTCCTACTCCAGTCATCTTTGAATCAGGAAAGAAGTTACTCCTTTCCCCACCAAATGGCTTCACTGGTACTTTTGAATTTTTCTATGTTATTTCTGATACTTTTGATGAATCTAATGTGGCTAAAGTTACCGTTTCTATTGTAAATCACCAACCAATTGCTAATGATGATCATGTTAGTGTTCATTGGAGAGATGGAATTTCTGTTATTAATGTTTTGCAAAATGATAGTGATGAAGATGGTGATATCCTATTAATCAAGTCTTTCACTCAACCATCCAAAGGATTTGTGGTCAAGAAAGCACTCCCTGATGGAACTGAAGTATTTGAGTACTCTATTCTTGCTTCTGTAAAATTTGTCGGTATTGATAGTTTCCAATATGAAATTACAGATAATGGCAAGTCCTCAACAGCCACAGTCTATGTCAATGTTACCAACTTTTCTCCTGTAGCTAATGAAGATTCCTACAATGTACATTGGAACGCAGAGCAACAAGAGTATGAGATTCTCTCTAATGACTTTGATGGCGATTCTGATCCATTGAAAATTGTTCCAAACTCTCTCATAATACCAAGTCAATTCAGAGGTCAAACTGAAATCAATGCTGATGGAACTGCAATCAAATTCAAACCTTCAGTTTCAGGTGTATTTACTCTCACTTACAGAATTAGTGACACAGTAAGCCAATCATTGGACACTAAAGTTACTTTTAATGTGACCAACTTGGACAAACCGCTCCTGAGAACAATCGAAAAGAACATCCATTGGACTATGAACCAACCAATTTCTATTCCTATCACAACTTTCACAAGAGATTCTGATGGTGATTTGCTTGTCATTTCTTCAGAGTTTGTGAAACAACCAACTAATGGTAGTATTGAGAGTGTTAATTATGGAGATGCAAATACAGTACCATCTCTTGTTTATAAGAAGAATCCAGGTTTCTTTGGTTCTGATATCATTCAAGTTTTATTGACTGATGGTTTAGACTCTGCCATTATTACTATCAAAGTCAATTCTATCAATCAAATTCCTCTTTGTCAAAGCACTATAAAGGAATCAGTATTTTGGAAGGATTTACCATACGTTAGAAATAGTTTACTTATTGCAGGTGCACTCGATCAAGATAGCGAAGATATTGTCTATTTGAAGAGCGTTGCCAACAGCTTTAATGATATTTCTGTTAATGGTGATGAAATAACATTCTCTCCATTGAAGGGATTTGTTGAGGAAAGAAATGCTCAATTGATATTCTCTGACGGATTGGACATTTGTACAAGTATTTTGAAAATCAAGGTAAATGATTCAAAGCCTCAAGCAACCCCTACTATCAGTATGATTCACTGGTCTAAATCATCTTCCCTAATTGATGTCTTGTCTACTATTGTAGACGCTGATGGTGATTCATGTGATTTCAGTATCAAGTCACAATCTGACTACTCAATTGGAAGTGCCAGTATTGAATTGAATGCAAATACTAAATTTGTAAAGTGGACTGTATCTAATGATAAGAACTTAGGAGAATCCACTTTTGATATTGAATTCACAGATGGTTATTTAACAGATACAGCAACTTATAGAGTCCAAGTTTACAACAATATTCCAATTGTTCCTCAAAAAACCATTGAAGTCCATTGGTCCAAATATTTGAATGGTATCTCTATCAATTTGTTACAAGATATTATTGATAATGACGAACAAGATACTGTTTCAATCCCATTAAATTCTTGGGTAACAAGCAAGGTTGGAACTATCACAATGACTTCCGACAAGATTGCTCTCTATAAACCAAAGCAATCTTATTTGGGAGATGATGAAATTAATTTCACAGTAACTGATGGTTTGGCCATTGTCAATGTTACTTACAATATTAAGGTCATTAACAGAAAACCTGTTGCTGTTGATGATAATATTTCAGTTCACTGGAATGATACTAGTGTCGATATTAATGTTTTAGCCAATGACTATGATCCAGATCAAGAAGATACCATCTACATTGCTGCTTTACTCACAGAACCAAGTTCTGGAAGAGTAGAAAAGATTTCAACCACAACTGTAAGATATTACTTACCTGAAGATCACTCTGTTTTGGGTGATTTTACTTTCCGTTACTCAGTCACTGATGGTACTGAGATTGCTGAAGCTAATGTTACTGTAGATATTGTAAATAGAGATTATCCAATAGATGCCTCTATTTCAAGATCTATCCATTGGAGAGAAGCTGTTTCTGGACTTGCAATCAACATTGTTCCTTCCAAGAATGATCAAGATGGTGATTTAATAATTTTAAATATTGTTGAATCAAACAATCCTGGCATATTTAGCATTTCCAATGATGTTAACTTGCTCGTAAAGAGTGAAGAACCTCTCAAGGGAGACTTTAACGCCTCAGTTTCTATCTTTGATGGTATCTCTGTTGCTAATGCACATATTCAAACCTCAATTTACAATCATGCTCCAACATCAAGGGATTTGTATTTCAACTTCCACTGGAGTACAATTAGTAGAGGAGTCTATATTGATCTAGTTCAACGATCAAATGATATTGACTTGCAAGATAAATCAAAGTTGAATATCAAGCATGCTCAAGTTATTGCTGGACCAGATGCTAATGCCGTAACCATTGTAAACAATACTCTTTACTTCAAGCCAAGCATTCTTGAAATTGGCAACACAACAATTGAGTTTATTATTAGTGATGGATTTGAAGATTCTGATTTACATACCATGATTATTGAAAGTAGAAGTGTTGTTGCTCAGAAAGCAGATCAATACTTTGATGCTCATTGGCGTTCGTTTGCTTTTGGTAATATCTATGGTCTCGATGAATCATTCAGTAATGAAGAAATGATTACCTTATTGGATGTCATTCAACTTCCTGATCATGGAGGACAAGTATCCATTAGTACTATTAGAAACGTTACTTACTATCCTAAAGAAAACTTTGTTGGTACTGAAGTTTTTGCTGTTTCCTACACAACAGGCATTACCTCATCAAATATTACTGTTCATGTTAATGTCTATAACAATAATCCACAAGGTGCTCCAAAAGATTATGAAACTCACTGGAGAAATCCTGTTTTGATGAATATTCTTAATGGTGCCTTTGATGAAGATGAATACGATAGATTCTACTTGTTCCCAGAGTTGCTTGAAGAGTCAACAACAGGAACTTTGTCACAAATTGCTCCTGATGGTTCTGTAACCTTTACTCCAAATGTTACTTCTGGTTTTATTGGAACAACTACCTTCTATTACAGAATCAATGATGGAAATAAGGTCTCTTTACCAACTCCTGTAACAATTACCATCAATAACAATCCACCAACATCACACACTAAAGTATTGAATATAATGTGGAAGAATTTCCTTGATGGTGTTGATTTTGACATTATTTCAACAAATCCAACAGACACTGATTCTGACTCTTTAGATATTCCATTCTTATTTGTAAAGAGTTTCAATCAACCATTGCCTTTTGGAGAAGTTTCTCGTTTATCTTCATCCAGAGTCAAGGTTCAAGGTAGTTCATCGTTCCTAGGCTCAACTTCATTCTCTTATGTTTTATCAGATGGTGCCATGAATGGTGATTCTACTGGTATTGTGGCCATTAACGTTTACAATAACAAACCAAACTTGACCCAAGATACAATTACCACACACTGGAATGTCGACTTTATTGATATTGATGTTTTGTCCAACGATTTTGATATTGATAATAATCCTCTCTTGATTACAACTCTTAAGAATTATGCCTCACCTGACTCACAAATCATTTTGAATAATAAGGTGAGATATTATCCAAGAACTTGTTCTTCCTCTTCAGATAAATTTAACTATGTAGTTTCTGATGGCATTGAATCATCAGAGAGTGAAGTTAATGTAATCATTCTCAATAACAAACCAATTAGCAAGAATTATAATACCACCCATGTATGGCACAATGCTATTGGAGGTGTAGTTTTCGATATTGTCTCTGAATCAGTGGATGTCGATGGAGATTCTATCAGTATTGTTAAATTCAGCTCTATTCCTTCAGAACAAGGTACATTAGAATTGACCAACAATAATAAGAGTCTAATCTATACTCCAAGACTTGGTTTTATTGGTAGTGTTGAAACAATTTCCTATGTAATTACCGATGGAAGAGATGAAGCTGTTGGTACTATTGATATTGAAATTACTAATAATTTCCCATCTTTGGGTGTTTCTGCAGTTTCTTCTCATTGGAGAAGTGCATTGGAAGGAACTTTATTCGATTTGAGCTCGAAGTTTATTGATACAGATGGCGATAATGTAATCTTGAAGGCTGTCATTCACCAAGCAGCTAAGGGAACTGTATCAATCATTGATTCCAAGACAATCAAATATCAAAGCTCATTTTCTTTCAAGGGTAGTGATTCTTTCACTTTACAATTATCAGACGGATACAACCTTGTTACTGTTGATTTGGAAATTGATGTTACTAACAATTTACCAACCTTGAGTGATATTTCTATCCAAACTCTTCACAGATTATCTGGAAATGTAATTATTCCATTGATTAACAGAACCGATTCGTTGAAACCAAAAGATTTGGATATTCTCGACAATGACAAGCTTACCATTTCTGCTTTCACTCAACCAGGTATTGGAAGTGTTGTTTTTTCTGATGCTACACAACTTTCATTCACCTTCTCCAATGTTTTGGGTAATCTTTTGGAACAAACCTTCTCTTACACTGTGTCAGATGGATTGGAAAGTGCATCTGCATCTATTACCATTCAAATTCTTAACAATCCTCCAGTTTTGGTTGATGCTGCAAAGAGTTTCCACTGGAGATCTATCTATGAAGAAGGTGGTTCAATTGCTCTTGATATTTTGAAGGAATCTAATGCTTTAGATGCTGATGGCGACAATTTGTTCGTAAAGAGCTTTACTCAACCAAGTGTTGGTTCTGTATCTTCCTTGAATACTTCTCATGTCACATTTAGTCCTGTTGCATTTAAGGCATTTACAACAAGCTTCAAGTTTACTGTTTCAGATGGTGCTCAACAAGTTGAGAAACAATTTGACATTTCTATTACAAACACCAATCCAAAGGCAGTTGATGACAGCTTGAACAAATTGTGGAGCAACAAGGTGTTCACTTTCTCTCCATTGGTTAATGATTATGATGATAATAATGATCAAATCACTATCGTCCCAGAGTTGACTGAAAAAGTTTCAAGATTGCGATCAGCCTCAATTACTGTAAACAGTGACTTGAAAACTATTACCTATTCTGATACAGGTTCACTCACTACAGGATCTGATTCCTTCTCCTATACTATAACAGATGGTGTAGCAACAAGTTCTGCTATTGTTTCTATCACTTTTACTAATACCGAACCTTCAGTTGAATCATTTGAAGTTTCTGTCAAGTGGGATCAATCTATTACTTTTGATAATCTCCTTGGTAGATGTAAAGATCTTGATGGTGATGCATTGTCATTTGCTGGTATTACTCAAGGGATGTTAGGAACTACTCAATTGATTGACTCTCAAATCGGAACTTCTAAATATACACCAAATCGTGCCTTGACCTATACCAACAAACCATCGACTGGTAATTGGACAGTTGTTGATACTATCCAATACTCATGCACAGATAGTGTTGTTCAAAAGGCAGGTACCATTTCAATCACAATTTACAATGAACCACCAAAAGGAAACGATATTTCCATCTCTCAAGTTAGAAATTACAATAATCCTCAAATTTCAATTGATGGATATTCAATTTTATCTCAATCTAGTGATTCCAATGGAGATTCTATTACAATTACCAAAGTCAAACTCTATGATAACCAAAATATTGAAACTTCTGTTGTTTTACAAGCTGACAGTTCCATCAAATTCAAATATGGCAAGTCTTTCATTGGAATTCAAAAATTCTACTATACTATTTCAGATGGACAACTTGAAAACACATACACATATTCTGTTGAAATATTGGGAAGCCCATCTTTGTGCGTCGATTATACCATTTCTACATTCAAAGACGCTTTGTCAACAGCATTCGGATCTGACTTGAATTCCAAGTTGAATTTGGCATTTGATGGCGAGCCAATCTCTGTAACAGTTTCTGGAACCTCAACCTTGAGCTCTGTTGGTACTATTAGCACTGTTGATAATACCCTCACATATACTCCAAATAAGAGAAGATCCTGTATTAACAATGCTTGTTATGCCACCTACACAGCAATCAATGCTGCTGGTCAATCAGCCACTTGTAAGATTATTGTCAATCAATCTAACCAAGCTCCAAATAATCCAAGCTATACCTACAAGTATTCTGCCAGAAGAGATGGAAACAACTTGATGATCTTTGATTATCTTGTTGATGCAGCTGTAACCGATCCTGATAGTACAGACAGCGTTTCTATTCAATCAATCTCAAGTCTTGGATCATGTTCTGATAAGGCCACTATTTCTGTTAGTAATGGAAAGATTTCATTCACTAGACAAGCCACCTTCCTTGCTTCCACTTGTACATTCAACATTAAATTACAAGATGATGATGAATTAACACCTGCTACAAGCATTGCCTCTATTACAGTTAATCCAACTATTTCTCCACCGTTGGCAGTTTCTGATAACATTATGGCCACTTTCAATTCCAACAGAGATATTGATGTTTCTGTTTTGCTTCAAAATGATATTGATTTATTGGGAGGTAGCTTTACATTTGATGGTTTATTCTGCCCAGACGCAACTTACTGCAAGAATGGTCTTCCAACCTTGTTGAATGCCAACACTGTTAGAATTCCTTTCAAGACTGGAAGTTGTGAAGCTGAAAAGGTTCAATACAGAATCAAGTCAACCCAAGATGGATCTGTATCATATGCCAATATTATTATCAGATATGCTGGTTGTGTTTGCGAAAATATTTTCGACGTTGTTTTCATTGTTGATGGTTCTTATTCTATTTCAGATGCCAATTGGGTCAGTTTGAAATCATTCTTCTCCAATATTACCCAAAGCTTGAACGTTGGTCCTTCTGCAACTAGAATTGGTATTGTTCAATACAGTTCTGATGCAACTGTTGAATTAGATCTGAATAGTGGAACTTCGTCTAATGCTATTGTCAATCGTATTAGTAATATTGCTCAAAAGAAATCAGCAACTGCTTCAATTTATGGTATTGATAAGGCTGTTGAATTGATGGTCTCTCAAGGAAGAAGTGATGTTCCAAACAAGCTCTTTATTCACGTAACTGATGGTCAAAGTAATATGCCTTGCTCATGTGGTGAATGTAAGAATTATTATGGAACATTTGAAGGATGTAACTCTGTCTTATATCCTGGTAAATCGTGTGACTATTGCTCATGGAATGATCCTCAAAGTCGTTGTGCACCTTGTTCAGATTACACAGAAAAATGTCAAAGAATTAACAAGTGGAGAAGTGGTAATAATGATAATCCTGAACCATCTAAGAATTGGAATTATAGAATGATGGCTATTGGTATTGGATCTGGTGTCAATAATCCGTACGGTCTAGTTCAATTAGAAAAATCAAACTATGACCCATCCCTCTTCCATTTATTCGATTGGAATGATTTGAATTATAAGATGATTGTTGATGAATCATGTGCTGCTTCTTATAACATTTATGGTGAAACTGCTCTCCAAAATACTACTTACGCTGATTCTCAAATTACAGTTCAATATTCTGGTAGAAGTGTTGTCAATCAATCAAATATTGCTAGTACAACATTTACCTATGTCTTGACAGCACCAACAAGCACAAAGCAAAAGAGTATCAAGAAATTCGTACTTTCCAATTCAATTTCTGATCCAGAATCATATGTTTCATACAACCCAACATTCCCTGTATTTGTTGGAACTGAATCCTTGACAAGCTTATTTGGATTTGTGTGGGACTCTGTTCCTTCCTCATCACTTGTTCCAATGGGATCATCTAAAACTGTTACCATTACTGTATGCGGTGATGTTCCTGAAAGTATGGTTTCTTTTGGTGTTGTTAGTGAATCCTTCATTACCTATTCAACAATTAAGGGACCAGCTACTTCACTCTGTGTTGATAAGCCAGTTATTGATCCTAATACTCAATGTTTTGCTAAATCTGGAGCTTCATCATGTAGTGGACATGGTTTGTGTGTTCAACCTGATCTATGTCAATGTAATTCTGGATACACTGGAACTGAGTGTGAAACTCCTATTTGTTTCGATTTGACTGGTAACTTTGCATGCTCTGGTACTTCTAAGGGTACTTGTACTGGACCTAATACTTGCCAATGTCAAACTGGTTGGACTGGTACTGATTGTTCTATTCCAATTTGTTATGGTCTTGCAGCAAATAATGCTGGTTCTTGTAGTGGTTCCTCAAAAGGTACATGTATTTCTAAAGACACATGTCAATGCCAAACTGGATGGACTGGATCTGACTGTTCAGTTCCTATTTGTTATTCACAGACTGGATCATCTGCCTGCTCAGGACCATCTCAAGGAAGTTGCATTTCTAAAGATACTTGCCAATGTCAAACTGGTTGGACTGGACCTGAATGCTCAATTCCAATCTGTTATGGATTAGCAGCAAATAATGCTGGTTCTTGTAGTGGTTCATCAAAGGGTACTTGTATTTCTAAGGATACATGCCAATGTCAAGATGGTTGGACAGGATCAGATTGCTCAATTCCTATTTGCTTTGGTCGTCCACAAACTGATACATTATCTTGCTCTGGTTCCTCCAAGGGTACTTGTGTTTCAAAGAGCAGTTGTTCATGTCAAACTGGTTGGACAGGTTTCGATTGTTCCATTCCAATTTGTTATGGTGTGAATAGTACATCTACATCTGTTTGTGGTGGCTCCTCAAGAGGTTCCTGTACATCTAAGGATACCTGTCAATGCCAAACTGGATGGACTGGTTCTGATTGTACCGCTCCTGTCTGTTATGGAGCTTCTGGCAGTAGTGCTTGTGGTGGATCCACTAAGGGAACATGTACTGCACCTAATTCTTGCTCCTGTAAGACTGGTTGGACTGGTTCTGATTGTACAACTCCAATTTGTTTCTCAAATACTGGAACATCTGCTTGTGGTGGTTCCTCTAAGGGAACATGTACTGGTCCAGACACATGCCAATGCCAAACTGGTTGGACAGGATCAGATTGCACAACCCCAATTTGTTATTCACAAACAGGATCTTCAGCTTGTGGTGGTTCAACTAAAGGTACTTGTACAGCTCCAAATACTTGTTCATGTCAATCAGGATGGTCTGGAAGTGACTGTACAACTCCTGTATGTCCAGGAAATTGTAATGGTAGAGGTTCATGTTCTGCACCAAATTCATGCAGTTGTAATAGTGGATGGACTGGTTCTGATTGTTCCATTCCTATCTGTTATTCACAAACAGGATCTTCAGCTTGTGGTGGTTCAACTAAGGGTACTTGTACAGCTCCAAACTCTTGCTCCTGTAATTCTGGTTGGTCTGGTTCTGATTGTACAACTCCAATTTGTTCAGGTGGTTGTGGTAATGGCGTTTGTAGTTCACCTGGTTCTTGTTCCTGTAATTCTGGTTGGAGTGGTGCCACTTGTACAACTCC